TTAACACCATAGCTGCAGACCAACACAGAGCATGAGGCTGGATCTTGTGTGAACTGCTTGATGAGTACAGAATGCTCATGAACACTGAGTCCTGCATGAAAAACCCTTGCATCAAAGTTGGCCTCCACAAGGGTGGCAGCAACATACACCTGTTCAGCTGGAAACTGTGTCCACACAATTGCTTTCTCCCCATGTATGATCACCTGGTCACAAAGGATGGGTAGCATGGCTCACATCTTCAGGCTTCTGCGCAGCAGGAACTCCAGGCACCAGGTCTGTTGTTGATTGGTGAGAGATGAGGCATGTTTAAAAAAGTGTGCCATAGCCGTTTTGTTCACCACTGCCATTTCTTTGATGGCGCTGGCCATGAATGGGGCAACCTGATGAGTCTTGAGCTTAGCAACAGCGACAGGGATACTTTGTGCCTCCAGGGAAGATTCAACATAGTGCATGCCAAGCCACGAACTCAAGAGCATCAACATCCAGAGCTTCCGCATATTATAAATGAACTTATTCCGGTCCACTGGCAAACATGTGAAGAGACCCTTGCATAGGTTTGAAGCAAGATCACTGAACATCTCATCCTCAGGCTTGAAGAATTTCACATTTATCACCTTGTGTTCAATTGGAGGGATATCAGCACCAATCAGTGTCAGTGAGTCAAACAGAATTCAAGAGGTGAGGTTACACCTGATCATCAGATGCTTCAATACCAGATGAAAACAATCCCCTGACACATTCAGTGCCACTTCCTGATTCAGTACATATTTCTCAATGGCTTCAACGCTACAGCACAGCTTTGCCCTGGGATGGTCCTCAGGCAGTTCAAAAACATTCTGTTCTGTCGATACGCCGAGCGTGGTCCAATCAGTATGGGTCCAAATAGACGGCATTGTAAACAGCAGGGGCATATAGCCATGCATGTCATCACAGGAATTGTACAACAGGGTGGCTGAGAGCAGGAGGTGAAACGATGCAGCTAACCAATACACAGCTTGTGTTTGAGAGGATGTTGGGTTGCAGAGGCTATGCGCTTCATCCAGGATGACATCATGGAAGCATTCCTGTATATTGAAAGGGAAATCAGAGGGAGAGCATGCTGCGTTATCATAGTACCTCTGGTTAGCCTCCTGGCACCAGGACTTGACCGCAGCCGGCCCATGGCATTGATTCAAGGTCTGGTAAGTGGTCAATACAACAATTCTCACATTTTCTGGCTCACCATTGAAAAGTTTATCTTCTGGCTTGAGACGCCCATTGATCTGCGGAACCCCAATTTCTGTGGAGCCACAAGAATCCCCATAGTAGAGCTGGACCGTCAATTCCTTTGTTATTGACATTATCTCCGCGGCCCATTGCATGATCAAGCTTGGAGGGACCACAATGAGGAAAGGATACACTTTCAGCACATTGGAGCCAGACTCAGATGCTTCCTTCACCTTCTGACAATAATCTGCCAATAGCTAGAATTGAAAAGGTTAGTATGGAAAAGCCTTTCTCAAGGAAGTAATATGAGCCAACTCACATATAGCAGTACGCCAACAGCTTCCCAGGTCTTACCCAGGCCCACATGGTCTCCGAGTACGGCCCCCTGAAGATAGTCCACTTCCCGCATCCACATGATTCCAGCAATGGCAACCGGCTGCCAATGCTTTAAAATGGCTGAACAGTTCATGTACAACAGACGGGGCACTGTATGGCTCTGAATTCCTAGGAAATGACATGCTTGTTCATGGTCATCGCGCTGGCAGTCCTTATTGTCAATGATTTTCTTAAGGTCCTGCAGCCAGGTGATAGACTCTTCTGTTGGGATAATAACATCACTGGGCTCCTTGGTAGAGTCAATCTCTCCTGCATAAGAGGATTCCAGGTCAGTGGCATTGATGTAATATGAACTTTCAAATGTCTCTGTTCTGACCTGAGACTTTTTAGAGCCAGGGAGGATGACTGGTGGCTCCCACACTGTGTTCACAATACTTGATGGATCATTATCAACGGCAGCAGGTGTGTTATCAGTAAATCCAACAATTTGAGTACATGCAAGAGCTTCAGTGATCAACATGAACTGCCAATATGCCTCTTCCCTGTTGAAGTCTGTGGATTGTTTCTTCAGGACAATTTGCTTGCGTGGGCTCAGGAGTTCATTTTTCCATAGATCACTGTCCAGAAGCAGTGGCTCTCCATCATGATCATCACTATCATTCTCATCTTCATTGGCTGTGTCCACCTGTTGACTTGTAACCGCCTCTTCTGACTCAGTGGCTTGGGTGGTCTCAGCCTCCTTGAGTTCATTTTCATTGCGTTCTTCAGACCCAGCATTTGCCTTGTCGGACTCCATGCGCTTGAGCTTGGAGGGCTGTGGTGTACAAGATGAATCAGTCTGCTTTCACTTGGCATCTGGAAGATGTAGGCATCAGGGTTTGTCTGAGAAAGGCTTTTCCGGGGGGGGCTACTAGCTAGTGGGTGGTATACGCACCTAAGACCCTTTCACCAAAAATAGCGGCCCCACCGGTGGGCTTGTTGATATGCGATGGCGTATGGATTTTGGTGAGGTAACCCTTCAAGGCCCAGACAACCTTGTCAAGGTAGGAGTCAGCAAAGTTCTTGCTGTAGAACACACCCTCATTGGACACCAGGTTTCAGGTCTTCACCATGAAATGGAACCTTGCTATGTGGTCAGCGGCGCTCCATTCCTTCTTCTTGGGTATGGGGTCACTGTATTCATTCCGTCCGTTGCCCTCACCAGCCAGGATTTTTGCCTGGATCTCACCCACACCAACTCCCCACTCTCCACTCGCACGTTTTGAGAGGCATTCAGTCCATAACTCAATCCACCATGGTTGCACCAGGTGTGACCTCAACCACTCTGTCCACTCCCCTTTGTCTGTCAAATTGAGTATCTGCTGCAATTCACCCTTGTTCCCCACTAGTTTGCCTTCACGCTCTGTCTCATTGTTAGGCTGTTAACGGGAGGGTTGGAAAAGGGTTTCACTCACCAGGATTGTCGTCGTTGCCGTCATCTTCAGGAATCAGGGAAAAATCAATTGGCGCAGGTCAGTTTTCTTCCACCATGATGATGGTAATGTGTCAGGTGTACGCACAGCAGTTCTACTAGGAGATTTATGTATGATAAATAGACAGGTGTTTAGACAGATGAATTCAACAAGGTTATAAGAGATAAGAAGAGTGATATAGTAGAAGTTGGCATGGAGAGAATGAGAGAATGAAGAAAAAGAAATTGATAAGATGCAGGCCATCTTGTCAAGTTAGTGTGTTTGATGGTGAAAGAAATAGGTTCTAGAGATTTCTTTGAGGTGAATGCGATGTTCTTTGTGTCTTGGGGTTGAGCCAAGGATGTTGCTAATGATAGCAGGCAGGTTGTCACTGTGTCAGTCTACAGTGTGATATCAGTTTGAGAATCAGTCAGAGCTTATTATTAATCAGTTGCCAGCATGGTAGTATGATGAAAATGAGATGGATATATGCTAGTTGAGAGAATGTGATGATGATAGTGGCTAACTATAGTTCTGTGTTGTTCGGATGCCAGGCGGTTGGATACTGCCGCCTGCCAGAGCCAAACATTGGTCACCGCTGACAACCTCCCACAACTGTCTGAAACTGAAGCCAACCTGGGAATGCCAAGCCCGCCGGGCCCCTAAGTACCGACCTCAAGATTCAACTTCTCGAGGTTGGAGGCATGTAGTATTAGGTCTAATGCCCATTCCTCATTTGAATCACATTCAAAATCGAGGCTTAATGTGAGCTCTTTTAGATGGGACCATGCTGCAATAAAACCGGCTTTGTCGACGGACGCTTTACCAAGTCGTCTTGGATCTGGATGGTTGAGATGATCGCCAATCCGAAAATTTGCTGTGAATGAAGTAACAAGAAAGCAGGATGCAGCGATAGCGTCTAGAATAACCGGGGCTGCGTCTGTATCTCTAACATCGTCTGTACCGCTGACATTGTCTGAAAGGTCAGGGTCATCTGATTTAGATACAGCGTAGATTTCGAATGATTTGCAGTTGTCTAATTGGTGAATGATATTGCATAACTGCTTTGTGGCTGGCTGTTCTGGTAAGAGATGTCCGTCTCCATGACGAGTCCACTGAAATCCCTCTCCAAGCTGATGTCCTTTCAAGGTCAAGTGGCGTATATAATGCTGTTGAGGGTGTTGTGTGATCATTTCCAGTCGCTGCAAGCTGGCGCGAGAAAGATCCGTGTAGACAGTATGTAGTGAAGTTCTCCAGAACAGAGAGTCAGTTCTCCAATAAAGGGTCCTGCATGTCTGTCGCAGTGCGCGGATGCCAGCAGGCTCTGAGAAAGCAATTTTTTCGACTAGCTCTTGTGGTAAGGCGCAGAATGAACCCGGAGTAGAAGGCATGATGCTGGTCTGTTGCTTTGGGAGTTTGTCGAGGCGCCAGTTCGTGCCCGACTCGAGGCAGCGGGGTAACATATGAGACTGCTGTCAGTGAATGATCAAATCAATCTCGTAGCTATAATATGGTACAAATTAAGATTGATAGAGCATGCTGTTAAAACAGTAAATAATTTTCCAAACAACGTAGGCTGAGCTCCAATAATACAAGACTGTCTTGATTCCATTGTATGACTGATTGAAGCTGTAGCCATGGCAGCACCTTGTAATCTCTAGGAAGGTAGAGACTGTATTACCTTCCCAGCGGAATTCCGGAAATGGGATCAAACTTAACACGTTAAAGAGGTTTCTTATCTGGAATTTGAGAACTATCTCATTCACAAGAACGAAGAAGACGGCGACGAGAACATTGAAAATAGTAAAGAAGAAGTGAAACTGGAGAAGAGAATGTTGTTTGATGTTGCTTTTTTTACATCTACTGAGGTGACGGTGCCTTTTGTCCGTGTAAAATGGAGCAGCTTGAAGAAGAACCAGATCCATTTGCGGATGATAGCAGACCTCTTTCACATCCAGTTCAAATTGCACAAGAGTCTATCAGTGCCCATTACCTAGAGCAATGGTCATTCTTCAACAAGACTGATGGCGACTCTTTCCAACAGTACGGAGTCAATTGGTTTCTCTCTTGGCAATGTTGTCTTCTTCTCAATACTATCGCCCATGCAAATTGTGAGAGCTGTATTGCGCTAAAGGCTTGGCCTGAGGGGCCGCTTATGACGGAGTACTTAAGATTAAGAGCCGCTCGCGCCTAGGCGGATGGACTTCCGAAATCCGTCGGCCGATGAGTACCCACCAGAGCATCCCTGTATCAGAAGTCATTGCATATTTCCCACGGTGTTATGCGTTTATCCCAGGCTATAGGTCATGTAACTGTAATAACTTCTGCCGCGAATCTGCCGAGTCTGCACGGCCCCCATTGTGGAGGCTATAGTGGTCCAATCTTTTAGTCCAATGATATTCGAGCTGTGTAGTCCCATTTGAATATGTGGAATGAGCTATCGAGCCCTCTATATAGAACTTTGCTATTGTCTGACCGCAAAATCTCGAAGTGGGCGGAGTCTAGCAGCAAAAATCTATCTCACTCTTCACGACTCTGGAGAATAATCCGCATCTACGCCCGTACGCCCGGTTATTGGAGATCTTCATTGAGGGTACTCCACATCCAGAGCATATTTACCGGATAATGGACCTTTTACCGTGTGTCCGCTGCGTAAGTGTCAAACTTGAACATAAAGAAGCCTATCCACCAATGATGAAAAATATCACTACGATGAAAATGGAGCCGAGAAGGCAAAATGTACACCAATGATGGTCAGGATGGGTGTATTGCATCGATATGCACAGAGGAAGCAATGACACAGATATGTCCACCTGAACAAGAACACAGCGTGTCTGCACTGACTTGTCTCAACCTCCGATGGCCAGATGCCTCCATCGCGGTGCGAATTTTTACTCCGCTGGCCTGCTAGGTTGGAAGAAATTAGTCTGGAATTGTTATTTGAACCCCAGCATAATGTACACGGAATCCAGCTCTTGCTCTCAATTCATCAGATGATGTTGCGAAAGATTACACTTGATCAAATTCGACCACATGGAAGAATTCCTGGCTTTTTCACATAATACCTATTGAAGTGGATGGACAGTTTCCTTGATTTGGTTCGACAAGGAAATAAAGGATCAACCTTGAGTGAAACCTGCTTGGCAAATATCGACATTAGATGCTCCTCATGGAGTTTGACTCTCGTATTGACTTGGAGGAGCAGTGATTGTCATCCTTTGTGGACGGGTCCCAGCCTTAGCTAGTTGTATGCGTCCTTAAAGGACATGTATCCGGCGACTATCAGCGATTTACAACGTCGTACTACTAAATTCTACTAAAGGAAAGGCATACTCTCTAGGCTCTCCTGCCCCGAGGAGCTAAATCTCACGGTATGAAGCAATGACGACGATGAGTTTGAAACATGATTTTTGAACTCGAAAAAACATTATTGGTTGTGAGAATTTGCTCTATCCTATTAAGAATATTTGCTAGTAGAAATTTCTTGAGATTAGCGTGCACGTGAAATCAATGCCAAAGTGACTGACAGCAGCATCTCCAACATCCACTCCATGGTAACGAATAACGAGGAAATTGTCTGTAGTGACCCAAAAGACAATATATAAAAAATCGTACTTTTGTCTTCTCAATCTCCGTATTCTGAACCTAGACACTTGGCGACGAAGACCTCTATGATGAGCTGGAAAACCCATCATGCCTAGGCACCATATATATTCATTCCGGAGATGGTGAAAAGCGGAAGGAACTGGACTGTTGCCGAGATTGTAAATTGCCTTCCTTTCCTAGGCTCATGGTCTCATACATACTGAGCATTTCTTCAATACCTGAAGCTGCATAGTCTGATGAGCCGTCCTCGACGCCGTCACGATCAACTAGTTTCCGCAATCCTTCAGCGTAGTCATTCCATCGATCCGGTGTAACTGCCACGCTACTTGGACCAAAAGGCGGCATTTCCCTCTCCCCCGTCTCCATATCGAGACCTTGTCCTTTCTGGCATCGGATTCTCACTGATTGACGGAAGATACGGAGAATATCCTTTCCAAGCTGGGAGCAACTAGCGACTATGGAAAATGAACTTGTCAAGGAAAGGAATTCATAATCCAGGACGTCGAAAGATTCCTGTTCGAGCATGGTGAATAATGCCAATGTTATCGTATACATCACGTACTGGTGAGCTCGAACCAGACCGTACTGGTCGCGGTGTAGCCGAACAAGAGCAGATATCTCTCGAGCAGATGCGAGCGCGGTCTCTAGCGTACCGTCATAGATGGTTGGGCCGGACTGCTGCTGGGTCTCCTGTTGTTGTGGTGCATAGAAAGGTGGATTCCCACCAAAGCAGTCAAAGAACAGATTTATGAGCAGAGCGTGATACCGAATCCTGTAATATCTATCGTTAGCCCCCAGGTCAGTTCAGAAAAGCTAAGTTGTAGCTGCAAACCTTAAAAGAATGATATGCGCCGCGGGCTGTTCAGCTGGTGCAAAGCCTTCCGGCAGTTCTTGTTCCCATTGACGAAGCTTGTCATACAGCACTCTTTTGTGCTCATATATGTCGACCCCAGGTTCCTGGTCGGGAAGGAAAAGACGCGAGATGTCCCTTGCAATAGTGGAAAGCTTGCAGGCTTCGTCAAAATATTGACTCATCCAAGACCGTCTAGCCTCTTTATTCATCGGATACGCAACCCAAAGTTCCGTTTCATTTGTCTCGTTGCGGTCGATTTGCTCGACACTCACTTCCAAGACGCGGCAGGGCCGGAGAAAGTTCGCGTGAACCACCCTGTCCTCATCAAAGATTAGCAAGCCACTGCAGAAGGTGCTGCGCGGGATACTTACGTGTCGATTTGAAACAAGCCCCATGCAGTTCTCTTGATTGAAGATACCATTTCTTCTGACATGTTTGACTGGTTGAGATTCAGTTGTGGACCGTTGACTATTCCCAGTGCTTCCGCCATCTCAACTGCTCGATGAAGCATGAAGTAGCCATGGTCATTGTTGCCTGACATGGAGTACCTGGAAGTCAGGAACAGGTCAGTTATACATGCGTGGACACTAGGGGTCTCCGATCGCGAAGTTTAAGTAAGACATCACCTCTCATACAATAGCAGCGTTGCTTGCAATGAAGCCAAGCGTATGCCGCTGCCCGTTTCAAACTGGTGGGTTTGCAGATACTGTTCAGCTTCGGCCAGAAAATCGGTACCCATAACTTTTATATCTCCTGGCAATGCATAAGCCTCAGAGTACTGTGCATAGTGCTATAAACCCAGCAATCGTATTAGTAATTATATTAAAAAGATGCACAAGATTCAAGGGCCATACACAAGCGTTGGCAAGTAGAGCATTGACAAGAAAGGGACTGCAAAAGTCAGAATTAACATTGCCGAGGAGGATATTTTTACTGAGGACATCACGGTCAACAAAGGCATAGAAAGGATAGTCCCAAGTAAAATACAAAGAGACCAAATGAGACACTAGAGCGTCATCATCCGTCACTGTTGTCCAAGGTTTCGCAGAAACTTTGTATGGAACGATGTCGCCCAAGGAGTGAACATCCACGATCTTCGGCCGGAAGGATGGTACTCTACTGTAAACCTCCATCCTATTCCGGACATTCCGGAGGTTGCGATGCGTATCCTCATCCGTACAGTGTACAAGCATACTACTCAAGGCCTGGTCCATGTAACACTGGATCTGCTCAAAAGTGGCATTGCCCCGGATCATTTTCAGCAATGTCTCTGCGTGTGCCTCGTCCAATGATCGCATCATCTCGAATAGGTCATTGAGGAGGTTGCGGTGATAGTCTGGCCTGCTCCCACCCTCTTCTGGGGGAGCAGCAAAAAGCCGCTTACAACTATGGCAAGCGGCTATAGACGAGCACTATTTCATTTTACTCGTATTAGCCAGCACTATCCCAGGAAATAGAAAGATTTTTGTTCAAGATAAATGGGTAAACAGATAGACATGCCTTCAGCCCATACTGCTTAAGAGCGGAGCAGTCATATGGATCACCCCTTTTGATGAACGCGGACATCCGTAACTGTATAATCAGAAATATATGTACTGGATGGAATCAAATAAAAGCGAAATAATTCTGCTAGCCTTTCCTGAATATATATACCCAAATCAATTGTTTTAGCTTGTCTGAATTATATCGGTCACATGAGGCAGGTTTAAAAGGATGACCTAACTTTGTCCTCATTTGTCCCATAAATATTGCTGTGTCATCATTCAACAGCAGCGTCGGAGGTGTTTATGCTGGACGCGACAAATGAAGTGAAAGACCGACCAGTATTTTCTGTTAGTATCTTTCAGTTAATAGGCCACCGAAAAAGCGCATTGAGACGCCTGCCGTGTCCTGAACGCGTTGCGACGGCGCAGTGACATGCAACACAAACGTCTCGTCTCCGGGGCCAAAGTGGCCATACCCCGACAGAGATCCAAGACTACCCCGGTCCATCGTCGCGTGCGCGTGGCATGCGAATCCTGCAGGCAAAGAAAGATCAAATGTAGTGGGGGTACACCGGTTTGCCGGCAATGCGATGAGTTGAGCTTACCCTGTCACTATCCGCTATCAGCGCGAGAACGAGCGCGCAGGTATGTTCTCTGTGTCCCGATATTTAGTCCGGTAATTGACCTCCCAGGACCACAGACAATTGAATAATCTAGCCGAAAGGGTTACAGAGTACGAGACTTTATTGAGAGATATCAGTCCTTATGTCGATAAACGAATCGCAGATCGTATTTTAGCTACACTGGAAAAGGTTAGCAAATGGACACCGTCGTTTATAATTTCTGAATATATATATATATATTTTCTCATGATTGTCCATTGTCATTCAGTACTAATGTGGGAATAGTATGCTGCCAGCAGTGAAATGGTCCAAGGTGAGGAGTCACAGGATGATGAAACAAGTTCTTCCTCATCTATTGGGTCCCTGGACAAAATCGACCGTGTTGAAGAAGATCTAAACCGAACTCCATGGACTCGTGCGACGGGATATATGGGCAAGAATTCCGAAGTCACTTGGATGCAAAGCTTACAAAAGGAGACGGAGCACCGCTCTCAAAAACTAGCTGGTCCGTCCGAGGCAAAAGCTGACGATCAATTTTCAATTCATTGTATGAGTTATCACTTAGATAACATGGACATCTCTGTTCCTAGACCAGTGCAAGTTTATAGGATGCCGCCGCAATCAGTGGCGGACAGACTTTTTGATGACTTCTTGGATACCATCTATCCATTTTTCCCCATCATTAACCGCCCTCTTTTCCGCTCACAGTATCAGACTTTCTTTAGAGGCTCGGCAAGGCCCGGTGACAAGTGGTTGGCAATCTTGAATCTTATCTTTGCCATCGCTGCCAAACATGCCCACCTGACACAATCCCCCTGGCGAGGCGAAAGTCACGATCATTTGGTGTACCTGACCCGCGCTCGTACTCTTAGCATGAACGGGGACATCCTTTTCAGCCATCCTGATCTTCAACAAATTCAGGTTGAAGGTTTGACTGCGTTTTACCTAGTCGCATGTGATCAACTCAATAGGTGGGTTCTGAGTCAGTCATGACCCCATTGTCGTGAAAAGTCACTAACAACTTGCAGAGCCTGGAGAATTGCAGCACTGGCAGTTCGGTCATCCTTATCCCTTGGATTGAACTTGAAGAACACCAGTAACGCAACAGTTGTCGCCTCCAAGGAAGCGCGCTATAAGGTGTGGTGGTGTGTCTATACATTAGAACACATGCTTGGGATCATGACCGGCCGGGTTACATGCATTTCAGATGGGGCTTTCAAGACGCCTTTCCCTCTTCCTTTTGACGAGGAGCAGCCGTCAGAGCCAGGTGTGGCTGAGCTCCTCGGCAACCACGATCTGCATTTGGAATTAATCGAATCAAAGTTAGCTTGTTATCATATACGGCATGTGCTACTCGATCCCCAAGGCGTTGAGAGACCGAGTTACACACAGAAAAAAGATGAAGCTTCATGGCTAAAGAGCCGGCCTCCCAGTAGCGCACTGGGTTTCCTCTATTACGCTGACCTGGCGGTCATAGCTCAGGAGATAGTCAATCAGGTTTATTCTCTAGATTGCTGCACAATTTCGTGGGACCATATTGAGAGCCGGATTAGGATTCTGAGAACTCGAGTTGAACTTTGGCAGTCGAATCTTCCAGACGCGTATGATTTTACCAATCTGAGAGACCAGGGTCAGGAGATGCTTCGTACAAAGCTTCTCTTGGGGTTTCACTATTACAGCTCACGGATCACACTAGGCCGTCCGTGTCTCTGTCGTCGTGGTTCTCAGCCGACCCTCTCAGACCAGAGGTCTACATTCAGCCACGAGATGGCATTGGTTGCATTGGAGTCCGCTCGCCTTATGCTTGACCTAATCCCCAATTCTCCCGATCCTATTTGGCTCTATCGGACTTGCCCGTGGTGGTGCATCCTGCATTATCTCATGCAATCAGTAACTGTCCTTCTTATAGAACTATCTTTCGGTTGTATTCACCAGCCTGAGGAGGAGAAAAATATCCTAAAATACAGCAGAAAAGCCGTTCTCTGGCTCTTGGCCATGTCCGACTACAGCCTCGCATCCCGCCGTGCCTGGGAGTTATGTGACAGTAGCTTTCGGCGGATTGCCCAAGGCATGGACTACGACATGGGCTATTCGCTCGACTCGATTCAACGACAACGTGGGGAGCAATTATCGCTCCGCCAGAAGTCTCCATCGAGGTCGAAAGCCCACATTGCAGAAAGTCCACCACCGGGCTCGCCCACTTCTGATCATGGCTTCCCATTTGATCCGATAAGCGGCGAATTAATTCGGTCTTTTTTCCCATTCATTGAAGAGGAAGATCCATGGGATGAGGTGTGAGGGCTTTCTTATGTGTATATGGGGTATACATATGAACCTGCAGGAACTATACATGATTCGATTGAAGCAGGTCATGTATTCCACAGGCAGTGACTACTGTACTCCATGTTTGAGAACAGTCATAACAAGAATAGGGCATCTTAAAAGCCTACCCTTACCCGTTTGTCCTGGCACGACGTGCAAGTCATATTTCGGTTCTTTGGCTTTTTGATGGGGAGTGCGAGCTCGGTGCGAATCCATATCTGTCGCGGTGAGCAGGTGGGGTGGAGCAGAGAATGACACGCAAACACCCATAGACCAAGATGTTTGACTGACTTCATGGTGGGTAGTCACCATCACACCTTGGTCGGTATTACTGGGCGGCATGCCAGTCTATATGAACAGGGATATACAGGGCATACCCAACATGTAACACTCAATACTGCTTGCAGCGCATATGTCATGACGATGTCACAATGTCACCATACCATATACCCCGAACAAAGCCACCATATATAGCCATCAAACAAACCCTCAAAAGCAAACACCAACACGCCTACCAATCAATAATCAAAACCAAACAAACACCAACCACCAAAATGCCCAAGAAAATCCTCATAATCCTCTCCGACGCCAAATCCTACCCCCTCAAAACCCCCACCGGCACGACCCCCCAACAAACCGGCTTCTTCCTAATGGAGCTCGCAAAACCCCTCACAAAGCTCCTCGAATCCTCCCACGAAATCACCTTCTCCAGCCCCAAGGGCCTGAAACCAGAACCAGACCCGAACAGTGAATCCCTCCTCGCGTTCGCGGGGAACTTCTACGAGCGACAGCGAGAAAACGAACTCATTGAGAGAATGAGGAGGGAGAATGGGTTTAGTAGCCCCCGGCCGTTTGGGAGTATCAATGACGCGGAGCTTGATTCGTTCGACGGGGTTTTTATACCAGGCGGGCATGCGCCGTTGACGGATCTCGGGAATGACAAGGAGCTGGGGAGGGTGTTATGGCATTTCCATGAGAAGGGGAAGCCGACTGCTGTTATTTGCCATGGGCCGTATGCATTTTTGAGTACGGGAGAAGTTAGTGATCGGGGGTTCGCGTATACGGGGTATCGCATTACTTGTTGGAGTGATGCGGAGGAGAAGTTTATGGAGACTGTTATGGGAGGGGAGATTCCGAAGGTTGAGAGTAAGCTTAGAGAGGCGGGGGCTAAGATGGTTGAGGGTGTGAGTACAAAGGTTGGGTGGATTACGGTTGATAGGGAGGTGGTTAGTGGTGCGAATCCGATGGCGGCGGGGGCGCTGGGGGAAAAGTTTTTGGAGATGTTGGGTGAGTAAATGGATTGGGCTAAGATGCGTTCACTGGACAGGGTAGATTATCTCGTTGGTTTTACAGGGTATACTATGCTTGTTGGCAGCTACAATGGTGTCCTTAGGACTCTTGCGTACAGTAGAACTCGATAGTTATATATTTCTCCGCCATCTACCTAATCTACACCATCACTCATCAAAGAAACAAAACAAAGCATAATTAATTATCAAAACAATTCCTCGCATTCTGCATAATGCACAAATACAATGTCGCATATATGGAGTACATTCGACGTATAACATCACTCTACGATCTACAAACCAGCGGTGTACGCCCTCCCCCAGCCTGCAAATGTGAACAATCACACACACAACGAACCCCAACCCCCAACGAACTGACAAATCCACTCTCGAATTTTCCAGAATCTGTCTGAAGGATTCGAGAAGAATGTTGGATGTGACTGATCGATTTTCGTATACTGTACCTGGTATGCATGCATCATGCATGTCGCGTATGTAGCTAAGCGTTAGTTAGGGGTTATAACTCGATACACCTGGTGGGCTATCTAAATCCTTCGGATATTTCCAGGTAGCGAGGTTAGCGAGCTTCGCCATTGTGCCGTGGAGTTTCAGCTAGCCACCGACGACGGTGTATACTCAGCCAGCCACTTCAATGTGCCTTGCCGACAGGACACCAATTCCATGTGAATATTCCGAATAACGCCGTATCCGTACGTATATGGTGTACATAGTACCTGACTATCATCGCCCAGTGCTATGGTACGGTCGGCAATTTCGTGTCAATCATCAATCTATCTTCATTGACGACCCCGAAAGGAGGCCGATGGCTATGGTCGAGCGACGACTTTCTCCCATGGTAGTAGTGATTGTCGAGCACTGCCTGCCCTCCGTAGACCCGACACAATGGACTTGCATTGATCTGATTGATGATTATCGCGATGACAATAGTCTTTAGGCTGTTAGTCTGGCATGTGGAGCTGGGGAAATTAAACGGGATTGCCAGTACGGTGTTCTCCGGACGGAGCACACTCGGTAGAATACCGCGGTCTATACTATGTATGGAACAGAATGGAAAGCGAGATCGAGCGAGGAGCGATGGCACCTGTCAAAATCGTCCATCGAATGAGAAGCAAAGATCGACCATGTGGGAATAGATTGCGGATCTGGCAGAAACCGGTCATGAGCGTGACTTTTGTATACGGCGAATACGTGTGGACGGTGGACGGTGGACCGGACTCCGTACTCCGTTGAAGTAGATTAAATCGCTATTCTCCGAATCCGAATCATGGCTGACCTGACTGGCACCTGTCATCTTCAGCGCGGAAAAAAAAAAAAAAAAAAAAGAAAAAAAAAAAAGAGAAAGAAAAGCAAATCATCTCAAGGGGTGGAGTCAATACATATAGTGCAGCAGAACCAGAGCGTCGGTACAGCGAATAAAAACCCTGTACTCTGTGAAAAAGAAAAACACAGACCACGCGAGATTGAATAAACAATGACAAGTGGACAATTGTTAATATCTGCCAGCGTATTCTGTACGGCGTACTTCGAGGTGTGCGTAGGTGCGTTAATCTGCCTTGTCATAATCATCTGTCAGACTGTCGCACTAGTTAGTTAGTTAACAGCAAGTAAAGTGGAGATGACAGCGACCTGACCGTCCACTCAAAACTCACCGAGATAATAGCGATTGTCGCGTCCAAGCTTGAAGATTTGACATTCGGTGCCTCTGCCACAGTGAAGAAAATATTTCCGCACGCAAGCCATGATGTGGCTGGTGCTGCCCCTGGGACTGGCACTCCGTACCTCAAATCCCCAAGACACTGGTAGAGTGATGTGATGCTCAAGACCAGTCCCTATCGGGATAAGTGTGGGATGACATCCTGGGCCCGAATGATTAATCAAAGTCCGAAGATTGACGAACATCTTCAACTCCATATCCTCGAAGAACATCGTCGATCGACCGAACAACTCCGGTAGGCTTCAACATAGTCCGGTAGCTTTGCAGCTTTGCAACTTTGTAGGGCTGACTATCGAAATAGACTCTATCCATGACGTTACTTGTACACCCCGTACAACGAGGGGAACTCTCATCCACGAGTCACAGCTCGAGTAACCCAAACCAAACCCCTCCCCCAAGATCGATAGTGAAGTACAGATAAATTAAGCATACATACTCCTTAATGTTTGTGCGGTTTGCAAACCCCGGCAATTTGTCATGCAAGTCGATAGAGCCATAGTTAGCAGAAAACTAGACTAACTGGACAAGGTAAATGAATGTGGACGCCTTTGACTATTGTCGATCCCTTTCGGAGACTCCGAAATTGTGGCGGTGCGCACGCTGTGAAGTGCGAACTATCGATCTCCTTTCTTAGCTCGACTGCATCTCATTGTTGGATGCTTTTTTTTTTTTTTTTTTTTTTCTCTTCGCTGGTATGCTCCATGTGTAGTCATGACGCTATGTAACTGAGGGGATGTTAACTTGGCGTGAGGCTGTGGCTGTCAACGCTTGTCATCAATTGACAGTCCAGCTCCCGTTGACCCGAACCGGCTGTAACCAGCGATAGTTGACGGTATCACGTGGCGTAGTTGTGCTACAGGATGAACCAGGATATTTCCAAAACAAAGAAGATTCGATATATTGCTCTGCTGTAGATAGTTACACCAAAATTGGAACCAGAAAAAGGAAATATGATACGTAAACTGCTTCGCTGCAGAAATCCCCCCCCCAAAAAAAAAAATACTGAACAAAAGAAAGATTCGAAACGAGTGATATATTATCGTCAAAATCGTAGCCCATCACATCGTCATGAGACGCTTCCCCTTTACCATGGACTTCGCGGTCCAACCATCCAATCCTCCATTGCTAGCCATTCGCTCCATCGCGCGTCAGCTGAGCACAGCTCCTCTTCCGTGGGGTTGCGAAGAGGTCGTAGAGTTGGGGTTTGCTCATCGGGGAGAGTATCGTAGGTTTCCTTGGTCGAGGCCCATCCACTACTTTTGGCCGTGAACAAGTAATTCATGCGTTCCTGCTTCCAAATGTAGTCGATGCCAGCCTCCCAGCCATTACCAAAAAATGCCTGCAAAACTGATGGCGTATCGTTGCCGGTAACAATAAGTCGTCGGATGTACGGCGTCAAAGAAACAGATGCGGCAGAAATCTCTGACTGAGTGAACTGAAAGACAGGATAAGACGACCGCTGGCAAGGAAGACGAATATTAATGAAGGTCGCCAATGATTGAACAGGAAGCGTATGCTGCGCGTGATCCAAAAAGTGCCGCAAGCAGATCAAATAGTGCGGATACCATTCAGTAGGATCGACACGGGCCGGTTCTGCAGCAGGTGCCTCTTCCATGCGGACCGGCAGCTCCTGCATCGGGCTCATTAAGCCATACGGGAACTCAGTAGAGGAGCCATTGGGGATATGCTCAGGTCTACCGGAAATTTGTTCAGCCTCTGAATCGGGGCCACGGGATATCAGAAACTAGTCACGGGAGTATGAAGAGATAAGAGGAACTTACTCATGGGAGTTGGAGTTTGAGCGAAGTGTCCGAGAGGAGAGCCCAAGCACGGAGAGCTTTGCAAGTAACGTTCTCCGGAATCCTGAGCGTTTGGTGCCATGGTTGACTGGAGGCATGTACAAAGAATATCCAAAGGACAATGAAAGAAGGGTAACAAAGAAGTAGACTTTGAGGACTTTTGACAGCGTTGATTGAAATCAAAGTGAGACGCTCAAGGAAAGGAGGGAGGGGGGAAACAACCTCTCCTTATACTTATAGACTATCACGTTCATCCTGGAAAAGAAAAAGAGCCATGGTCCGGCGCCAAAGGCTTTCCCCAAATGGAAACAAAGTCGGTGTCAAGGGAGACACAGTAAGCGAGAACGAAGCAGATCATAAGAAGAAGCGGATCATGGATTACATGGTCCAAGCACTGACTTCCCGGTCAATCTGTTGTTGGGAAGTGTGAGGGAAAAGGATTTGTGTGCAAGAGCGAGGGTGGAGCTGCAGGAGACTGAAGCTATTCCCAATAACTCCCTGCTCGATATGGGTCAAGCCACAGATAACTCCAGCCACAGGAACCACACGAGCCACATATATCAAGCCACGATTGCAAATCAGTCCCGTGATGTGGCGCAGCGATTTCCAAAAGGGTAATCCTTGCGTGGCTGTGTTCTAGACCGTGCCACAACTATCCCTGTTTTGGAACCCCGAGGGCCGCCGAGCCCTCGCGTTAGTCCTAGTTTAGAAATAGTGCGCCCCAACATATTCAGCCTCAGGCAACCGGATTTCCCCTATTCTTTACTAGTACTTGTATGTATTTTTCTTAATTAACTAAACGAATTGATTAATGAATGCCTGATTGAGCAACGAGTCCCAGGAACCTGGACACGATCCAGACGCTAAGGTGCAAGATTTGGAAGACTCGTCAACTAGTGCCACTTCAGGCTTTTAACTCTTTCGAGTCTGGTCTGGCTCGGGCTAAAATGATTCATGGATTCCATGGTTATAGGAGACATACACTAAAACTGTCCTGACACTGTGCACTGATCGATAGTGTCAAAAAACAATGCCAAATTGCAACGATGGCCTCGGACATGCCTACGACCGAACATAGCCTGGACTCAGTGCAGGGAAAGTATTGTACGGAGGATTTCGAGAGGCACACGGGACACCATACGGACGGACTAGAACGGAGAATAGAGGAAATCATTTGAATCATCCGTTGTCGCAGCGGGGAGGCCCGTCGACTTTAACTTTTTTTTTTTTTTTTTTTTTTTTTTTTTTTTTTTCTCTCCCCTAAACGTTTCCCATGGTGAAGCGAAACCGGTTGGAGATGGTCGTGCGAGTGCGATTACGATTATGCATCATTCCATGGTGCATACGACCTATCTCAACCGGCTACATACAACGTGGTACGTAGTCATGCAGTATAAGAAATTGAAGCCGCGCGAAGCGTTCAATTCTCTCTCTCTCTTTTTTTTTATTTTTTATTTTTTATTTTTTATTTTTTATTTTTTTTTTTTTTGCCTCTCTTGATCGCGATGATAAGACAACCCCAAGGTGTATAGCGAACAGGAATCCCGACAGGCGGGTATTCGATGGTGAGATCGTCACTACGGAGTACAGTAGGCGGAGAACCGAGTTACTTACAGATTTACCAGCCGGAAAAGCGAACAGGGATCAAGGGAAAGAGAAGCTGGTGGAAGGAACAATAATAATAAAAAAGAAAAAGGAGATCAATAGCGAATGTGAGAAGTCACAATGGAAATGAATGCCATTTTAGCACACTACTACGGTAACTAACCTACGACGTGACATACATAACACATCCAGATAGATCGGGATCGTCTGGTTACATTCCCACCGGCTGAGGAGAGTGGGAGGGGAGATACTCGGTGTCTCAAATGTCTGAATTGAGCTGTGGTGCAGGAGCGAATGAAATGACACGTCCAATCGGCCTAAGCAAAGCTAACTAAACCAGTTCGCCAAGTTAATCAAATGCGGCCAATAGACAATCCCTACCTAGTATAGAAGATAGAAGATCGACTGCCCACGTCAACTAGTGAATCTGGACTAGGGCAGATCAGGGACGCTCTCAACCAAATCATGTCAAATCATATTCCACTCGTCAGCGTCATGGGTCCCAACCACGATCAATCAGAACACACGAGAGCCCGAAAAAGAAATGAAAATACATCGTTAGCTCCAAATGCAAATGCATGTCGATTCTCCATCTATGACGCCCTCTTTTTTTTTTTTTTTTTTTTTTTTGAAAAAATATATTATTATTATTATTATTATTATTATTATTATTTTTTTTTTTTTTTTGGTGTGCCCCGCTGGCCTCCACCCGGCTGGCTGGCTATGCTTCAGTTGTCGAGGAGAGATATAAATCCACGGAGCCCACAAGGCATTGTCTTGTACCACAGAACTTGGAATCAAAAGACTTATCCGGTCAAAACAATCTCTCTACAAACTACTCTCTTCCACACATTCTCTACACACATTCCTTACACATACTTCACAATGTCTTACAAGACCAACTACGAGCCATACGTGAGTTTTCCCATTTGCATTCTCTAGTTTTCTCGGTATTGACTCGGAACAGAACAGTGTGGACTTTGACATGGAAAGAGAACGCTCCTCAGAGGAGGTTCTCTACCCATTAATAGACCTCTACCCTCACGTCGTCGCTCTTCAACTCCAAGCCGACGGACAATACTTCAACAGATCCGACTCCGATTCGGGGTATCACAGCGTCAACTACTGGTCCGATTCATCCCCAACACGGTCTACTTTCGAGGAGGAATCGAGAACGAGTCGCAAAAGCAATGGTGAGTTTTCCGACATCCTTGATAATTATACAGAACTGTATCTAACTTGAATAGAATCTACAAAAGACCGCTTCGTCTCGAAAATTCGAAAAATCCTCTGTCAAAATGACCTGCGCCGACGGACCAACTCGAATTAATCCGCTCTTTTATCTCTCGTTCCTCGTTCAATCTGTGCAACACTATTTCGATATCCGACTTTCTATTCTTTTCCTCTTTTCAGCAAGCGACCAAAAATAGCGAATACCCGGCATGTTTCTTTTGTTCACCACCGGCACTCTCCGGCATACAATCTTTGATCGATTTCCTTTCGTCTTTTCTCGATTTTCTCTCTGAACAATTAGCGCGGCGTTGGACACGGATGGATACCAGAATGGTACCTATTGGGATATTTTGTTTTCTTTCAATCTAATGAATTATACTTGGGCCTGTACATACTACTCTGTCATGATCAATTCACTCACACCACCTCTACTACCAATTTCTTCTCTCTTCTCTATGAAAGTAAACCATACAAACACACACAAATCACCATACCCGGAAATGCACGACCACACACATACTCGTGATCCCATAAACTCTACTCACCACCACGATCTCCTTCCCAGTATTAACTTTCACCATAGACTTCAACCGATACACACGAATCATGCAGGAACACCAGATGATCTGACCTGTCCGGTACACCCCGCGTTCTGTGTCACATTGCCTGCAGCGTAGTACAGGTTCGCACCAATAGTACTGTTGTTTGACGATCGTTATCTGAGGTGCAGTGTTCAGGTAAGTTTATTTTGCATTCTTCTTCATTGCCTTGTTTGGGAAAGGGGATTGGATTAGTCGGTGTAGGTAGGACAGGATAATGCGGAGTGCCACTGCCGGTGGAGGGAGGTTACACGACAAAAGGAATTGTGTAGGTTAATTTTACTTTTTTTTTTTATCATGACAAAAAGTTGGTTTTTATTCTACACTATATTGACATCTGTAACTTGAAGATAAGAAGTAGTGTAGAGCGCGACATTTGCAGTTGCTTCGCATCGCATCGCCGTCTCCACATTCACTCTCTACTTAACAAGTTTGCTTACACCTGCATCGCAGTGCATCACATCTGCAGGCCAATGCAAGCCCCTAATCCCAGCTATCACGCCACAGCGTGCGACGACTTGAAATGACATGTCTGCCATAAGGCCGAATAATTCTTGAAACACACGCGCGATGCGCTCGCTATACCCCTCATGCATTTTCTGTACTCCGTATGTATGCCTTAATGGGATACGACAGGTGCGGAGTACTGCTGCTGCATTTACCCAGAAAGTAAAGTCGTGTGTAGACAAGACAGCGATGTCGATGGTACAGAGTAGTTACTATGGGTACAGGGTAAACTACGGGTCAATATAGACATACAACTCTACACGGAGTAACTACGGAATATTGATCAAACACGATAATCGTATCTACTAGGTTCGGCCCGTCCGCTTCCTCCCTTCCTCCCTTTCGTCATGCCTTCATTCCTTTATTCCTGCTCATATCGTTCCTTCACCATTCTCCCCTTTTCTCCCGTATCCGTAACCCTCTTATTGCACGGACACGAACACGGCACGGACTCTACACTGCCCAATGAACCACACAAGCCAACACCCTCGGGACAAAGAACGGGGTGGTGTGACTGGCGCAGCCCCGCAACGAGGCACGTAACTGCAAAGCACAAAGGAATCGAATATATCATATCTGCAACGCGCCATGTATGGCGAGTTAAACAGGACAGGGATAAGCCGCTTTGAGTTTCTCAATCGGGAAGGAGTTCGATGTCGATATTGATATCTTCTCCTTACAAGTAGATGACAGGAAATGCAGTGGGCTGAGTGAAGGACCAGGACTTGGTTTTTCTTGAGGGGTTGGTTGGATCCTGATGGCGGGATGGTGCAGGATGCAGGGTTGTTAGGGTTTTGTGATATCACAGATCGTCTATGTCGGGCTGGCATTGAATTTGCGAGATAAGCGCAGAAAAGAAGGAATTGAAATCTAATCAGGAAATTATATCATATCGACATGATGTAATGGTCTTCGCGGGTTATTGTTTCGATTTCGTGATGGGATGAGGTGAGGCTGGCTACTTGGCAGTTCGGCAGTATGCGGGTGCAAACGACGGCTTGATAGATCATGTACGTCGCAAGGGATGAGTGGGTAGGGCTCGTTTGTTTGCATATGCAGGAACAGAGTCAGTCAGGAGCAGCAGATAGAGTGCAGAGATGGGGACTGTGCTTTAACAGCAAAAGTAAGGGTTGCGATGTTATTTACTTCGTACCTTGTTTTGTAACTAGGTTGATATCAGGCAGACAGGGTCATTTTGACACATGCGGGTCAAGCACGACCTACAGAATACATGACTCGAAGGAAAGTTAGACATATCGCACTAACAGTTGTCCTTGTGTGCTGACAGACAGGTCTCCGAGGATCCAACTGCGTGGCCGGAGCGGGCATCCTCCTCTGCAAATCGCTGCTCCAGTACTTTAATACATTGCTCAAGCGACACCATCTGCGTTACAAGTGCAATGTTGCCATTACTGGCTGCCTTCACACTGACTAACAAGGGTGCTTCTAGGTCGGTTGTTTCTTGCCCTAGAGTTCGATGTCTTTGTAGCCGGAATGGACCGCCTCTTCCACTCTTCCAGGCCTTGTATCAATGCATCCATCTTCTCCCGAAGCGATGCCAACTCAGCCTTTTCCTTCGTCTTGATTTTATCTACAACTTCTTTTTTTTTTTTTTCTCGAGGTGAGCAGAACTAAAGCATGTGTCATATGAATGCGAATCAAACCAAGTGGCCACTGCACCATTAATGTCACACTCGGCATTTAATTCATTGACGTACTCAGGGCCGGCCTCGATGCCTTACGCCATTGTGAGTCTCACGAACCGTTGGCATGACTACCTCTATCCTTTGTCAGTAGGCTCTTATGCCCTGCTTCAACGCGATGTTTCCATCTCCCTAAAGATTGGAAGACTGGCGCCTGCAAATCCGTAAGCCACGAAGAGGGAGTTAGTTCCCAACGCGTGACTGGATTCTGGTGGGTTTTTCCCTGAAAGCGGCGCCGGATGACCGATGAGACCTTCATTCAGTTGTTTATTTCAAATTCCGTCTCATTCACTTCCCAACTACACCAGCTTATTGTTGTTCCTGAGGTAGGGGCACATCAGGCAGCCTGTTCCAACTGTTTTGGAATATCCACCACATGGAAGGACTGTGCATGAGTCGCACGAATCGGCTATCATAGAGTTGTATCGAGTTGACGAAGAGCCGCGGGTCTCTAGCGACATGATCGTTTCGTGCGAGTCGCGCATGTATCTGGCGATCTGGCTTGCTTGTAATTATACGAGTATAGCTTATTCGCTTGGTTAAGGGCCACAAAATTGACCTTGTTGCATTCAGATCGCGTCATCGTCAAAATTCACGTTCGACAGGCGACATACAGGTATCCAGAGCGTCCTGGTCTTGCGGGTATTTTCACACTAGCCTCCTGTTGAACGTTGAGCGACCCGAACTTCGTCGTCAGTTCGTTGGCTATACTTGCCAGTGAACTGTTCGCCATGCCCAGTGTCATGTCATACTCACACGTTGAATATCGTTGCCTTAAATTCCCCTCGGATATATTGTTCAGATCAGCAAGTCAATACTGCCCTTATATAAAAATTGATCGTGCTCAGGGGTAGACCATTTGCACACATTGTCCATCGCCAAAGTCCTAATGGCTAGGCTTCTCTGAAAGACCTTTGCGACGGCTTTGCGCAGGTCCTGCAACGGCAATGATCTTACCAATCAGGCTTATGGGGACTGTCTTGTCAACACAATTCTGTCGACTATAGTACTCGCCGCTTGGTTTGTGTGGCGTGTACCAACAGAGCGAAGGGTCGACACGCGAACAGCACTCGTGAACTTGACAAACGGCAAAGACTGAATCGTAGCTCACAACATATCGGTGGGACAGCATTAATACTCACACCCATTCCCTTATATTTTCTGAAAGCATCACTTCAGACGCAGTCAATTTGTTCTTTACCTTACCCAGTCGTCTCGCTAGAGTTGTGACGCTTTGCCTTGACTTATTTCACGCTGAGCACCCACGCTATGGTAGGGATTAGGGGATTAGTTTCTCGGTTTGGGAAATAAGGACGGGTAAAGGGCCCCATCGTAGCGGTATTAATGTTCGTAGAGTAAGTCCAAACTCTGGTTTTTTCGTGTCGATCTGGTGTCATCAGACTGGTACGGCACTGATCGTATCGAACAGCGACATACTTGTTGACTGTGGCATTTGTCGATTTGAAACGATAATCCATGATGTTGGTCGAATACCACAATACCTAAGTTGGTCGAATATCTTCGACGTCCTCCAAATTCATTTCACGAACTGCAACTTTTGTCATTTTGTAATCCATGAAACCGCCCTAGCCACTCGTTGAAATTTCTGGTCCTTTCGCCTCGCCAGCTTGAGGCCTTTTTAAAAGGATATTTTAATATCGAGAGATGATACTTTGTGTAGGATGAGGTCTTTCAATTTAGGAACTGGAGTGCGCTGGACTGACTGTCTTATAGTTGATTCTCCACTCAACTAGACCCTCAAGGCAGTGGAAATACTTGTCATTTCCAGTCTTGGGACGCAAGATGTTCGTCGGTGTTCGAACTGTCAAGGACGCAGAACGCTCCGGCAGTGTGTCTTGACTGGTAGCATGCTGGTACCCTGGGTATAAATGCTAATTGATGCCAAAGGAAAATCAGGTGAGTAAAGGTGAGTAACCGTGAGAATGTCAATGTAGTCACAGACTGAGCTTCCCGAGAAGTACCCGCAATTGGCGAATATGTTCTCAGGGTCACCCAAAGCCAAGCAGTCGACGCCGTTGTAAACCGCCCTTCTAGACTAAAGCTCGTTTGGGCCACACTCTCAAGGCACAGAGGAGCCCAGGCAATGCCGTCGGGGGTAAACTTGTCGAGAGCTGATTGGAACTCTCTGATATGCCGGCTTCGAACGATTGGCTTCATGAATACCAGGTACCAGATAACCATCTGAGAATGGTGCAACTTGTAGTGTCGATCGGAGTAGCTTGTATCTCTGCTCGGTGTCGTGTATGCTTGACTATTTCTCTAAGTTGCGTCCTCTGTTAGCCACGTTCAAGATGAACTCGAAAATTTGTCTCTATTACCTCCTTATCTGTTCGAACTGTGTGCTGGAGTCCATTATTCGATTTGTTCACTTGCATTGGGCAGCACCTAGGAAGTTAAAGGCTCCGCTTCCCCCAGCTATAAACCAGGCCTTCTAGGATAACTCTGGCTTATTTGATATTATCGGCAGGGTCGCCACTAAATGCGGTCGCTGATGAGGATTCCAGTATGACACTGACACTGGATGAGAGGTCCTACGGTCTTGCGAGGTATCGGTAGTACAGGTCTCATACGCCGACTTCGGACACGACTGGCTTCTTCAATACCAGATATTAAAAGCCCATCTCGGGTAATGTGACTTGTAGCGCCGACTGTGGCGGTTTTCATGTACATTGTGATAGGTATCGTAGGTGTTAGCGGTCGTAGTTATTCGATTATCTTCTGGCCGTGTTCGGAGATCTATGGCCTGACGGCCCAGCTTGATGAGTTGGTAGGGGTCGTCTGATGCAATTCAGCATCTGCTCAAAATTGGAGGCCCGATTTTCGTCGTCGCCAGGCTAACATGATATTTGGCATCAGCTTTTCTCTTATAGTGATAGGCACCAGCGGCAGCGGTTAGAAGCACTATTGGCGATAGTATTGAAATTATTATGGCTTTCCAGTTCATTTTTTCTGGAGAACAGGCCCTGGGGATGTAAACTGAATGCATGCAGTTTGATACATCGACCACTTTGGTTCGTAGGTAACAGACTGTTCGGGACAGCGATGTTCCCTGAGTAATTTCACTGAAACCATTGTCGAGTAGTACCAGTCTCCCTCAGGACAATTTGTTCAGTTTGAAATTACTAGTTCTGAAGATAGAAATGACGGTATTTGCCATTTAGTACTGCTGAAACATGCCACTCCATTGTCTTGCCTGGATAGCCGGCAGATCAAGTCTTTCCCTTCAAATTCTTTTAGCAGCAGTTCTTCATATTTGATACAATCTGTGCCAACATAAAACCAATCGACTGAAAGTTGCCATGACAAACAATTCCCTACGAATTGACCCAGAGCAACATCTTACCAAGCAACAATGTCAAACACGGAAGCGACTTTTGCGGATCCCGAGAGAATCGCCCTCATAGAAAGCATCGCCGCAAAGATCAGCAGCTTTATGGAGGCGAATGTAGACATTACCTTTCGAACGACATGGGCTTGCATGTGGCTAGCCGACAAAGAATGCCTGCGAGAACTCAGCGCACATTCCTATCCAGGGACACGATCTGCGACGATGATGACAAGACAAGTACGAAATGCTGTGGCACAACTGGTACCAACTCCCAAATAAAACATATACGTTTTTCGCAAGCGGTACTAATAATCATCCAATGCATCGGGCGCGAGAGGGACTGCCTCATCACGAAGACGAATCCTATGTACTCAAAAATCTCGCACATATACCCCCTCTCTACAAAATACACCACCATAGCGGAAATAGAGAAATTCTGGAGAACCTTCCGCATCTTCTGGAATGAAGAACGGCTCAGCGCATGGTGGCAGCTTATTTACGGGGACCAGCTGGACACGGAAAAGGTGCAGAATGTAATCTGCCTGAATCCCGATGCGCATGTGCTGCATGGCATGGGGTGCTTTGGTCTGAAACCTTTGAAAACGGCACCAGATGGGGCTTGATTGAATGTTCAATTTTGGTGGTTGAAGAAAGCGGAGTCTGGTCCTGTTGGCTTGACTGTTCCACCGCGGCTGTCTCCCAATTCTGACCCTAAGCAATGCAATCTCGGTTTGTACAATATTAACGGACGTCTGGTTTACTCGGGAGATGTTATTACGTTGGTAACGGTGAACCCGGAGACTCATCCGCTTCCTGATATGCGGATTATGGAGATGAGGTGGTTCATGAACCGTGTTGTTGCGATGAGTGGTCTTGCAGAGAGGGAGGGTATTTATTAGACGACTCGGAGGTCGATGATAACGGCGGGTCCCTATGCTTTTTTTTCAATTAATACTCTGTAGAAGTTTTACGCTTTGAGACGTCTTTCCAGAACTCCACCGACATTAATCGAGATCTATGAAAGGGATACACATGGATCTCCCAGATCCAAGTATGTATGCAACAACCACGCAAGTCGATCTCCTTGTATCTGACATACATTCCTTGTTTGTGTCTGTCATTGTTGTGTTTCTCTTCCTCCAGAGAAATCTCGATAGCCTCAGCCGTCTCTCCCTCCGGTATACACAAACCCCCAACACCGCGCCCTGCCATGATACCAACATGTTCCAAGAAACCACCACCGAAACAGCCATCAGACCCTCCCATCACTCCCCTCGCAATCAATCCCTATTCCCCGAAAATGCAGAAACCCACGAAGAAGGCGAACCCGACCCAGAAACAGAATCCGAGCCAGAACCCGAATACCCAGGCAAATTCAAACCCACCTTAATCGTCTTCGCCATAGCCCTAGCCATATTCCTCCTGGGCCTCGACTGCACAATATTCTCAACCGCCATCCTCAAAGTCACGGAAGAATTCCACGCGCTGGCTGACGTGGGCTGGTACGCCAGCGGTTACATGTTGACATTCTGCGCGTTCCAACTGACATGGGGGAAAGTGTATACGTTTTGCTCGATCCGGTGGACGTATCTGGTTGCGCTGTTCTTGTTTGAATTGGGATCGATTATCTGTGCTGTTGTACCGTCGTCGCTGGTCCTCATTCTTGAGAGGGCGATTGCGGGTGTTGGGAGTTGGGGGACGAGTGTTGTTACCAGCCAGGCTGTTAATCGAGATGAGAGCCATGTCACTGTGCCCAAGCGGGTGTTTAAAGACCGCAGAATTTGGGCTGATGCTATCTTCGGGGCCAGCATCATCGGGCCGTTTTTCATTATGCTCTACTATGTACGTGAAACAATCTCGTCCTTGTCTAAACCATAGTAATAAGGAATCGCTAGATCCCCATCTGGTTCCAAGCAATCAAAGGTGCCTCAGCAATCAAATCCGGCATCATGAACCTCCCCATGGTCCTCGGCTTCGTCATCTTCTCAACGCTAGGCGGCGCCCTGACATCCAAAACCGGCCACCCCGTCCCCTTCACCTACCTCGCTGTCATACTCACATCCATCGGCGCCGGCCTCCTAACAACCTTCAAACCCACCTCTGGCCACCCAGAGTGGATAGGCTACCAAGTGATCTTCGGCGCCGGCCTCCTAACAACCTTCAAACCCACCTCTGGCCACCCAGAGTGGATAGGCTACCAAGTGATCTTCGGCGCAGGCACAGGACTCGGCTACCAAACCACCCTAACAGTCGTACAGACACTTCCAGTCCGCGACGTCTCCATCAGTACATCGATCGTCCTCTTTCTGATGAATCTGGTTGGCACAGTCATGTTATCTGTTGTCGAGAACGGGTTTACGAACCAGTTGGTTGGGAATTTGGGACGGTTGTCGAGTGGTGTTGATCCGGATGTTGTTATGGGCGCTGGGGCGACGGGGTTTCGGGAGATGGTGTCGGAGGATATGTATGGGGAGGTGTTGGTGCGGTGGGGGTTGTGTGGTTGCTGTGAGAGAGTACGAGGACAAGGGAGAAGGTGCAGACAGATGAGTCGTGAGCTTCGTGTAAGTCATGATAGATAAAGAGCTAATAGATAATGGTTTTCCGCTTGTTCAGGCCTCAATCTGACATCTTGCGTTGATTCGTCCGTCACCATTCCTGTCATTCGTGTCATCCTGCAACGATCAACAGGTACAGAACTCTGTCGTATGTATTCCAGAACAGATGCCATAGGGCTTCATCGGTCTACCAATAAGGAAACATGGATTATGCATCACGTGACATCTACATGCCGGCGTCGGCACGTTAGCGTGAATTGCCGGGGTCTGGAGAGAACTCCGGCCAAGCTTCAGACAATCAGGAATACGGTGATTGGACATGACAATTAGTGTACCCCGTCCTGACACAACGGCGGGCCGAAGTTCACGCCGGGCCCGACATCGGATCTGAAAAATCTGAAGACCTTTCCTCTTTCGGCGCTCGGAGCCGCGGTCTGATTACCCTTTCGGGAAATGGAGACGAGAAAGGCGGTTGCATTGGTTCGGACGGTGTAGTTTATTAGTTCATCAGTCACTCTCCCCAGTTTTGTCACTCCTCTCTCCTCTTGTTCCTCTCTCACTGTCATCTCAATCATCATGGCTCAAGATATCAAGGTTGAGAATGGCCCGGAGCCTCAATACTATGACCAAGAGGATGTGAAAAGCTCGCCTCCCTCGGCTCAGATCGATCCTTTTGGAGCTGAGGATTCGGCTGAAATCAAGTACAAGACGTTGACCTGGTGGTAAGCAGCTATTCTGAAGTCGCGATTTGGCCGCATTGATACTAACGATGATTTTCTATAGGCAAACCGGAATCAGTACGACGCGCTCTTCCTCTACTTCGATCTATACAGTTCTAACCGAGTCATAGTCATGATTGCTGAAACGGTCTCTCTCGGAGTCCTCTCTCTCCCAGCTGCTGTCGCTTCGATCGGAATGGCACCGTATGTCACCAACACTCGCTCAATTGCAATTGCTCGTATCTAATAATCTATAGAGCTGTCGTCCTCATTTTCGGTCTCGGTGTGATCTCGACATATTCCGGCTACCTGATCGGCCAATTCCGGCAAAAATATCCATTCATCCACAGCATGGCCGACGCAGGCGATATCCTAATGGGCCCTGTTGGTCGCAACGTTCTCGAAATGGGACAGCTGCTGTTCTTCCTCTTTGCCACCGGCAGTCACCTTCTCACGTTTACGGTTATGATGAATACCCTGACGGAACACGGCACATGCTCGATTGTTTTTGGCGTCGTCGGATTGATTCTTTCGTTTTTGTTTTCGCTGCCTCGGACGATGAAGAATGTGTCATGGCTGGCCATGGCTTCGTTCGTTAGTATTTTCGTGGCTGTTGTGATTACTATGATCGGTGTTGGTGTTGAGCGCCCGGGTAAGGGTATCTATTCCGTTACCCAGAAGACCGACTTTGTCAGTGGCTTTACTGCTGTGACCAACATTGTTTTCGCTTACTGTACGTTTCCCTCTTTTCATTCTTCTCGACAACATGCTAATGACTCAGGTGGCCACCCCGGTTACTTTGGCTTCATCGCCGAAATGAAGAACCCCGAAGACTTCCCCAAATCGCTCTGCATGCAACAAGGATTCGAAATCGTTCTCTACACCATCTCCGCTGCCGTGATCTACCGCTACACTGGTGACAGTGTCGCCTCGCCCGCGCTGGGCTCGACCGGTCCTCTCCTCCGCAAAATCGCCTACGGTATCGCTATTCCTACAATTGTCATCGCAGGTGTCGTCCTGGGCCACGTGGCTATCAAGAACGTCTATGTTCGCATTTTCCGTGGTACTAATGTCATGCACCAGAAAAGTTTGCTGGGTACTGGTGCTTGGATCGGTTTGACGCTTGTGTTCTGGACGATTTCGTGGGTCATCGCCGAAGCAATTCCTGTTTTCAGCGACCTCTTGAGTTTGATTAGCGCTCTGTTCGTCAGTTGGTTTTCTTGTAAGCACCCCTTCCCTCACTATCATATGGACAGGATTCTAACGTGCTGTAGACGGCCTCCCCGGCATCTTCTGGCTCTACATGTACTGGGGCGACTACTTTTCCTCCCCCAAGAAAATCCTCCTTTTCCTCGCCAACGTCGGCCTCGTCGGCATTGGAACCACAATCTGCGCCTGTGGTCTCTGGGTGTCCGGACTTGCTATCCATGAAGATAGCAAAGGGGCAGCTGGCAGTTTTTCGTGCGCTAATAATGCATAAACGGTGTTTGGGCTTGTTTTCTTTTTATTTTCTACTTTCTGTTTATTTATGCGACTATGCATGATAGAGGGTGTTATGGAATTATTCCCGGCACGTGTTTGTTGATTTTGTTATGGGAATTTGATTTGTTATGCTATAAGATACTCCGATTGCAAATAATGCATCAATGTTAATGTCGAGACTCTACATACTTTGAATTACTGTCGGTTGAGGTAACGGGAAACGATTTCCGAGGCATATCTGTGGACCCGTTGAGCCTCGTTTAACTCCCCAAAAATAGACCCCAACGAAACAGACAAATCCAGCAATCTCCTTCAATCTCTATTACTTAACTGCAATTTCCCAACCTCTTAGCAAACGGCATCATAATCCGGGGATTCCCCGCGTGGCGGCACTCTAAATTTGCGGGGAACTCAATACCCGAACTCCGTCCCATCAATAACCACCCTTTAGGCAAAAAGCAAACCACCAAAAAACCCATACACAATGAACAAACGGAAGCGATCACCCGACGAAACACCAGCCGGCCCGAATACTCATAATTCAAACGCTAGCCCTGTCGCAGCTGAACTCAACGAGAGTCTTCCGGCTATTAGCCGTAAGATTACGGCTTGTGCGGCATGTAGGAAGCAGAAGGTGCGGTTTGCTGATAAACTTTTGTTAAAATGGGTTTTAATGGATGGTAGATTAGGTGTGATATGCCAGATGGCGTTCCGCCGTGTACACGGTGTCGTCGTCGCGAGCTGTCGTGTGTGTTGAATAAGAGTCTTCAGTCGTTGGTTGAGGAGGCCAAGTGAGTCATTTGGTACATCATCCTATTTTATATGGGTATAGGTGTTGATGAATTCAGGAATACGGATATTTTGCAAGCGGACGTGCGCGAGATTCATAGTACACTAGGTGTTATCTGTGAGCATCTGGGTCTAGATAGACCAAAACCTCTACACAGTCACAGTCACAGTCACAGCAACCATGATATCTCAGCCCCAGATACAGAAGTCAACGGTAGCCAAGCACCACCAAGCACAACCAACAACAACGACCAAGACCAGACTCTCCCAGGCTGCGAGGTCTCACCACCCGGCACACCATCTGCCGTGCAAGCACCAATAGATACATATCTCGACATCGCAAAACTAGGAAGTAACAGCCACAGCCGAAGTCCTGGCTCCGGCTCTGCAGAGACACCTTCAAATCAGATATCCAGGTCCCGTCGCCATGTATCACAACACCTCGTCAGTAAGGGCATAATTAGCATGGCCGATGCAGAAACACTTGTCGATAGATACTTTACTCGAGTTGACTCGTATCTATATGGGATAGGAAGTCGTCTGCATAACCTCCAAAGACTACGGACTGGTCATCCGGTTCTATTCGCCGCGATATGTACCGTCTCCGCCCTACATGACCCGGGCGATCAATCGCTATACGAAGCATGTAACCGGGAATTCCGACGATTAGTCTCGCAAAGTCTCTTCGAGAAGCATGACCTCGAGTACATCCGCGCACTATGCATCAGCAGTTTCTGGCTAGCAGATGCATCACGAATCCTGCTCAGCGACGCAATTCGCAGATCCGCAGACGTTCATTTGCATCGTAGTTTCGGTAGACTCTGGAGTTGCTCCGGCGATGCACGATCAAACCCCGCCGCCGCAGAAATGCGAGACCGCGTCAGACTCTGGTACCTCCTCTTCATCTGCGACCAACACCTCTCCATTCTGCACAACCGAGACCCGCTGCTCCGCAGCGATACCGAAATCGCAATAAGCTGGGAAGCGTACCTCCGGCGCTCCGACGTAACAGACTCCGACGTGCGCATCGTCTCGCAAGTAGCCCTACTTCTGATAATGAGCCAAGTCCGCGACGTGCTGGGCTGCGACTCAGATACGGAAACACGCATCCCGCAAACTATGGCGAACCAAATCGTGCATTACTCCCGACAGCTGGATAAATGGTTCACGCGCTTCTCGTCGATGTTCAAACCAGATCCGTTTTTGGGTGATTTTCCGCGCAGGGGTCTGCAGTTACATTACCAGTTCGGGAAATTATATCTAGGACATCAGGTCTTTAAGGGTCTGCAGGGCGAAGCTATACCGGGACCCTTTATGGCAGCTGCATCTATGGCGCATGACGCGGCGATAAGTATCTTCGAAATGATCCTGTATGAAGAAACGCTGCAGGCGAATCTTGTAGGAATGCCGCATTACTTCCATATTATGCTTGCGTTCGCGGGTCATTTTCTGTTAGAAGTTACGAAGGGCTATGCGGGGCAGTTGGGGATTGTGCCTGAGGATAATTTTATGTTGATACGTAAAGTGTTGACACTGTTTCGGGGGACGCGGTGTGTGGCTATGCATCCGATTTGTAGGATGACGCCGGGGTTGGATCGGAAACTTTGTGATTGTGCGGCGAGTCTCTCATCATTATCTGCAGAGCCTCCGTCAGTCGAAGTTTCGGGTTTGGCGAGGGGGGCTGTTGAGGGTGCTGGTTCTGTGGAGGGGTTTGTTTGGCCTGGAGATGGGCTTTTTGGGACTGCGACTGGGACAGGGGCAGGGGCTGTGGATGATGTTTTCTTACCGGAGTGGGATTTTGGGGAGTTTTCGTTTCCGGGAATGTTGTCGAATGTTATGCCGTAGTCTGTATTCACTCTGCTCTAGATGGGAGTTATTTGTCGGATATTCACTGTTGATAGCCCTAGACCTAGCGAATTCAAGCTGCTTCTGCCATTACAACTCTTCTTCTATCTTACACATGTCTTTCCGTTTTTAATTACATGATATCAGCCCTGCAACCAAGAACTAAGAGCGTCGTCTCCAAAACCAGTACCTAGGGGACATCATGGTTCTATTTGTTCCATACCCCTTCGAAACCCCTTCGATAATACAACTGTCACAACGGAGGAGCTAACTTGCCTTCTGCTGCTTTGCAGTCGGAAACTTCGAAGATCCGAGATATGCGTTCACTAGAGCTCTATCAAGTGACACGAGGTTCTGAAAGACCTGGGATCTGTCGGCGTTTGGTCTGCATATCAAATTCGACAACTTAAACAACACCCGAACACCGCACTAGGCACTCTTACGGTGGTTTGAGGATGTCTCTGTCGGGTTGACGAGCATTCCAAATTTCAAACTACCACAGAGCTGAGATAATAGTTGGCTGATAGCTTGTGGAAGCAAACCATAATGATACTCCGCGATTGGAGTCTTCATCGCGATCACTGGAGCATCTACTTATGTCTCTCCAAAATCGGTGCTCAAAACGTTTCATGGTTCTAATTGTTCCACGCTTGTTCCAGCCACCCCCTATAATACAATCGACACACCTAACTATGCAGTTTGTCATCTGTTGCCTTGCAATCCAGGATTTTGAACAAACGAGGTCTGCTTTTCACTGGAATTCCCCTTAGGAGAGACGGTGTACCTAGAGAGATGGCATCTCTGCGCAATTGGTGATGTTAACAGCTTAAATGGCTTTGTGCGGACTCAAGCGCGAGATGCGATTCACAGCAGTTTGAGGATGCCTCGGAGGCAGTTTCTGAAGGACTTAAAGGAGGACATGCCGTGAACCAAGCTACAATCTTGCCTTCTCACGGCCTGCCTGTTTTGTAATTTGATCCAGTCGTCGTTCAGCGCAGTCTGATGGTTGCCGGCGTTCTCCATAGTAGAGTTATCCGGAGTATTCTCCGGCAACAGTCATTTTCAAATAGCTTTACGGACATAGTATCGATGTCATAACTACAAATAAAACGTTATGCTTTCTCCTATAGCTACCAATCTGAATGCAACGTAGTAGCTAGCCTATAGCCGATAGGTCACCTGTTCAATCAACTACTATCGCCCACTAAAATGCGGGCTCTTACGTCTGCTGATGGCCACATATGGGACATCAGCGATTAGTGGTGAATACGACGCATATATCTTTTTGACATACATCGTTATCCGGTGCCAGAAAATCCTCACCATCCATTCTTCCCCGTGGATCCCGGGCGCCGCGAGCAGCTCCTGGAATACGTCTGGAATAATGGCGACGGGATGCGCTGTGCAATAAGGTCTACCATATCTTGAAAGACACAGCAAAAGAGCGCAAACACGTTCCCCCAACGAACGCTTCGCTCGACGGCCATCCCCAATGATAAATACTACGAGACACATAAACGTGATAACGCGTCAATCGTGGATTTGGAAAAAGATACAATTGAAGAGAATTCCTGAGTGAAGTGAGAAATGTGAGCAGGCTGCGAGAGGAAATTATTTTCAATCAGTCAAAAAAGTCTTGGTTCACTCGAGGCAATGTTCTCGGCAAGTCAGTCGGTTTATTGCTGCTACGAGGGACATAAGGGATTCAAGTTCTATTAACTCCGTAGACAATTACGAAAGAGGCAAAAGTATATAAGGATGAAATGATAGAGAAAAAGAATACATTATAAACTACAAGAAATGGTTTATATACTTGCATATTTCAAAAAAGGATAGAAGTAACGGCAGGCCATGGAGTCACGAATATCAAAGTACATCATCCATAAAGTTTTTGAAGGCGTTTCTAAATCCAAACTTATGCCTTCCACGACGCATGCCGTCATCAGAAGGCGAGGACCAAGGACTGCCATGGCTCTGCTGGTAGCTTCCATTGCACGCGCTTTAGTCGAAGTCTCTACCATCAAAGCCAGGCTGCTGGTTGATATGCATATACTGACCAACTTGGATAGCATTGGGCACTTGGTGAGCCTCCTGCTTAGGCATCACATGGGATGGCTCAGGACTTTTCGGATAGGCAGCAGGGATGGAGACGGTATCTTTTCCCGAGGGCAAAGGTTTCCTCTTGATGCATGTACAATGTTCGGACTGGCAAGCCTGGCTTTGATGTGGAGGGTTCGTCTCGAGAAGCCTTTGCAACATTGTCCTGATCTCTGCCTCTGCTTCTGCCTCTACCTCTGCCTCCGCTTTCTGGTCGGCATCATTTTCTCCTTCGCTGCCATCCTCGGACTCATTATCATCGCCTTCATTTTCCTCGTTCTGGCTCTCCCCATCCCCATAATCATCATCATCATCATCATCATCATCATCATCACCATCATCATTAAAGGGTGCTGTTCACATTGATATCAACCCCATAGTCAAGGAGCACTTTAACAACCTCCTTCTCGCGGAAATAAATTGCATAATGTAAAGCCTCGACGAGAATCCATGGCTCCGGAACAGATGTAAGCCACTCTTATACGTATTCCCCCATGCCATCTAGAGCTGCAGCGATAAATGCGTTTTGGTAATAACCGCCACGAAGGAAGGGACCGGCCCCTCGGTCAACAAGCACGTGAAGTATCTCATAATCATTCATAAAACATGCAGACTGTAAAGCAGTCCCATATTTGCCCGCGAAAATACCATGCTGGGCTCCAGTCTCCAAAAGATAAGTCACAGTATCGACAATGGAAACAGCGGTTGAAAGCTGCAGTGGTGTACCCCGTTCGCCCACGGCATTGATATCGGCTTTGTGTTCCAGAAGGAGATCGATGAGTGGAATGGGATCCTCGGCGTGTATGGCGGCATGTAGGGCACTTCCATATTCGCCTCCATTTTCGTTCGGGTCCGCGCCGGCGTTTGGCAACCATCGGGCAGTCTCGATGTTGTCCCCAGCAACAGCTGCCTGGAGAGCCGTATGATACTTTCCTCCTACTGCGTTAATATCGGCGCTATGGTTACAGAATCGTTCCACAGGTTCCACGTCTCCTTGGTAAGCTGCCATCTGGAGCGGCGTGTGTAATGCGCCCCCCTTTTGGTTTACATCGACACAATATTCGAGTAGAGTGTTCACGCAATCAAGGGCTTCGCTTTCAATGGCCCGGTATAACGCACCTCCCCAATCTCCGATATGCTGAACATCCAGTCCCTGTTCAAGAAGATATCGCACACACTCCTCGTCCGCTGCGCATGCCGCGTTCGTCAGGGCTGTGTCGTTGTCCCCGTCTTTGGTATGAATGAAGGCTCCATGGTTAATCAGAGTCTCCACACACTGCTTTCCTGAGCTTTGCCACGCTCGTCGTAAATACTTACTTCTCTCCCTCGGCATTAGCATCGATGTCCATCTCCAGCAAGGCTTGAACGGTTTCCTCATACTGATAATCAACAGCGATATATAAGGATTGTTCAAGAACTTTCGGTTCGATACCATTCCGTGTTAGTCTCTTGACAATTCCCGTATGGCCTTTGGTTGCAGCATTGTAGAATGCAGACCCGCGCGGGATGTTGGGAGAATGTGTTACCAAAAGAGCAACAACCGCCTCTCTATTATTTTCTGTAGCCTTGAGCAGGGCTTTTTCGTGAGAGTCTGGATTCTTATCGTACTGGAGAAGAAGCTGGACAATGTCGACAAAGCCTTCTCCTGCGGCCGCTTCGATTGGCAAAGCACCGTCACTAGCTTGCTTGGTGTGGTCACATCCTTTCTCAAGTAAATACTTGGCAATTTCATACTCGCCTCAGTAGCATGCTGTACCCAGGGCATTTCCATTACTGTATTCCACAGATGGATTCAGCTCGGCGCCGTTCTCGACGAGAAGCTGCACTACATCCAGACTCACTCTGTCGACTGCGGCAGCCAACGCTGTGACCTGTCGTCCGCCTAATAGATTAGGGTCTGCCTTTCTGTCCAGCAGTTGCTGCACAATGCCAAGAGCTCCCTCGGAAGACGCGAGGTACAGTGCAGAGCCGATCTCCCCGTTGGGGCAATTGACTTCGGCACCATGATTGAGCAGGTACTCCACGATCTCTATCGACCTCGCACAGCTTCTGGACCATGTTCAGGTGCCCTCTTCGACAGGCCCAGTACAACGGCTGCAATCCTTGGCTGTCAGTGGCTTGGATCTCCTCGACACGCTGATCGGACTTGAGAAGCAGATCTGCAAGGGGTATGTACCCAAAATACGCTGCAACGTGCATGACCGTGAATTGCTCGTTGAAATCCAATCCTTCATCATCGATGTCAGGATTACATCGGGCGTACGCTTTCGATCACTCGGCTCGCTGTTTGGACCCCAGCACCCAGAACACGTTGACAATGTCGAAACTCTCCACGACATCGGCTGTGGCCTCGAGGGCGTGCTCGATCCACTGTGTGATAGGATATTTTAGGACATCTTTCTCACCGGTCTCCTCGTTATCATCTGCTGTGCTTTGCGATTCATGCTCCTCACCATATCCGAGCTCGGGGATTTCCTCCTCTTGTTCATCCGGATCCTGATTTGTCTCCATATTATTAGTATTATCAGGCTCGTCACGCAACCAGTGCACGCCTTTCGATACCCATGTACATGTCATATCCGACCCGAGGCCGGGAACGGCAATGATGCTTTCCTTGATTAGGCTACATTTCGGTGTGCCATGGATTGTTACCAGAAAAAAACTTACTCGACGCATTTTGGATCCTTGTCAAAGTCAGGCGGGGTGTGAAGGTGGTTGAGACCTTGCTCGATTGACTAATACTGGGTTAGTACATGGTTCAGTACAGTTTGACGGCGTTCATCTTACCTGCTTGACGCAAAAGCAGGCACTTTTCTATTGAGTAATTAGAGAAATATGCGAATATCTTTTGCGCAGTCTGAAGCCCGCGGAGCGGCGGAGTAGCCACTGTAGAAGGTGATGTTAATGTCCTTGCCATTAGTATATGTCTGCAGCTTGGACACTGAGAAAGGGAGACTTGGGACAAGCTCGTGGATCTCGTACATTGACACTATCACCGTCATCACAATATCCCTCAGCAGCCCCGAGCATCCGGAGCAGGGCTCGGGGAATTGATAATTGGTGATCATCTAAGTGTTCCCAATGCGGTTAGCGTCCCGATGTCGCACACCCGCTTGACCTTAACTTGACTCACTCCTCGACTTCTCTTCCTCTTCCTCTTCCTCTCAATTCAATTGCACCAATTCACCAATTCAGGATATCAAAATGAGCGCTCCTAAGGTTGCTGAGAACATGCTCTGGGGAGGTCGATTTACCCGTAAGTACTTATCCTTTACTGCTGATATCGTCACTTTATGACCTCCGATCTGGTTACCCCTCCCCCACCATTGCTAACTGACAATCAGAGGGCCTCGACCCCCTCATGGTCCAATACAATGAATCCCTCCCCTACGACCGCATCTTCTGGAAACAAGACATCGCCGGCTCAATCGCTTTTGCCCGCGCCAACACCAAAACCGGCATCCTGAGTGCCCACGAATTCGCCGAGATCGAGCGCGGCTTCAAACAAATCGCCGAGGAATGGAGCACCAACTCCTTCGTCGTCAAGGAGAACGACGAGGACATCCACACCGCCAACGAGCGCCGTCTCTCTGAGATCGTCGGCAAGGAGATTGGCGGAAAGCTGCACACCGGCCGGTCGCGCAATGAGCAGGTCGCGACTGACATGCGGTTATGGCTGCGGGATGAGTTGCGGAAGGTCGAGGGTTGGTTGTGTGATTTGATCAAGGTGTCTGCTGCCCGTGCGGAGGCAGAGATTCAGTATATTATGCCTGGGTATACGCATTTGCAGAAGGCGCAGCCGGTGCGGTGGAGTCATTGGTTGCTCTCGCATGCGACGGCGTTTGCGAGTGAGTTGCAGCGGTTGCGCGAGGTTATTCGTCGGGTGAACAAGTGTCCGTTGGGAACTGGTGCGCTTGCTGGTAACCCGTTCCAGATTGACAGAGAGGGCATGGCCAAGGAGCTGGGCTTCGAGGGTCTGCTTTACAACTCGATGAACGCCGTGGCGGACCGTGACTTTGCCATGGAGACCATGCAGTGGGGTAGCTCGTTCATGCTCAAGATCTCTCGCTGGGCCGAGGATCTCATCATCTACAGCAGCTTGGAGTTCGGCTTCGTCCGTCTGTCCGACGCCTACTCCACCGGTTCCTCCCTGATGCCCCAGAAGAAAAACGCAGACAGCCTGGAACTCCTCCGCGGCAAGGCCGGTCGCGCTTTTGGCCAAATGGCCGGCCTGATGGTCACCATCAAGGGCCTCCCAACAACCTACAATAAAGACCTCCAGGAATCCGTCGAGCCCCTCCTCGACCACATCAAGACGCTCGGCGACAGCATCCAAATCGCCACCGGCGTGCTCTCCACCCTCACCACCATCCCCGAGAAAATGGCCGCTGCGCTGGCCCCCGAGATGCTCGCCACCGAGATCGCAGACTACCTCGTCCGCAAGGGCGTTCCCTTCCGCGAGGGCCACCACATCTCTGGCCGTGTTGTCGCGCTGGGCGAGAAGCACGGTGTTCCTATGGATACGCTGTCGTTGGAGCAGTTGAAGGCTGTTGATGCGCGGTTCGACGATGATGTTCAGGCTTGTTTGGATTATGAGCGGGCGGTGGAGTTGAAGGATGCTGTTGGGGGGACGAGTAAGAGGGCAGTTCGCGAGCAGACTTCTGTGCTTAAGGAGTTATTGTAGTTTACTTTATGATTAGGATAGGATATGGATGATTGGATGATGCATTTGAATAAAAGTTGATGATCATGATTAGTATACATCTTTCTCTCAATAACAGACATGCTGCATATAAAGAAGAGTCTAGTATCTAGTATTTTCGCAAAGCTCCAGGCCTTAAAACCAATAAATACACAAATTAGAATTAGAAATCAAGACCCCAAATCATCACTCTCCCTCTTCTCATCCACCCCACCCCCATCAACCCTAATCCCCGGCAAAACTTCCTCCTCAACCAACTGAATCCCCAACCCATCAAAACACTGCGCGAAACTAGTAGCATAGTCCTCGCACCCGGGGAAGCGCTCGAAATTTGCGGACAGGAGGACGCCGTCGGGGGTTATTATTTTCGTGCCCCTGGGTTTGTAGGGGTTGTTATTGGAGGAATGGGATGAGGAGGGGTTTGGAGAGGGAGATGGAGAGGGAGAGGAGGTTAGGGGTGGGATAGGGACAAGATGGCGTCGTTCGTGCGGGATATTGATTAATTCGCTTTGGGAGTATGTTGCTAGTTCGGCGCGTTGGCGGTAGAAGCCTGTGTCGCCTAGTTCGGGGGTTGTTTCTGGGTCTATCCTCGTTCCTGCCCCTGTCTCCGTTCCTATTTCCCGTTCTGTCCCTGTTCCTGTTCCTGTTCCTGTTATTTTTTCCGTTGATACCTCCCTCAACGCCGGATGAACGCCCAAATCCTGCTCTATACTCATCACCATATCATGTTTCGAGCTTAGAGTTGAGTGGAGGGATGGATTCGATGAGATCGATGGGATTGGGGAAAGGGGGTGGGGGTGTCGTCGTTCTGGAGAAGGGGATGTGAAGGATGGTGCTGGGGAGGGTAGGGTTGGGGTGCGAAGGCAGGTTGTTGAGGTTGGGGTGTGCGTGTTGAAGTTTGGGCTTGTGGCTGGCATGGTGCTGGATATGGGTGTGGGTGTTGTTTGGGATTGGACTAGGACTTGGGCGTGGTTGTAGTTGTAGCTCGTAGAGCCTGCTTACGAGTTAGCTACCGGTTTCTTAGACATATTCGGAAATCCTGCTTCTTCTCACCTGATAAACTCTCCCCAGACCCGACTCCAGCAGCAGCAACAACAACCTCTTTCTCCCGATCAACATACTGCGGCCCATGCCACGCCAGCAACGTAAACCTCCTCCTCCTCCTTCTCCTCTTCTTGCGTCGGCAGAATAATACGAAAATCACTGCTAGTATAATTCCCAAAGCGAGGATACCGCCAACGACGCCGCCTATTAGGGCTTTATTGTTGCCGCTTCCGCTGCTGGAACTGGATGGGTTGGGACTGGCGCTGGAGGTTGCGGATTCGGTTTGTTCGGTTGGAGAGAGTGAGGTTGTGGATGTAGTCGGACTTGAGGGGCAGGCGCTGGTGCTGGGATTTGTGCTAGTACTCGTGCCAGTACTGGTACTGTTGTTTCCTGTAGTTGTAACCGTATCCGGACGAGACGGAGTCCCTAGTAACGCAGGCCTCGGCGACGGCCCCGAAATACCACCCGGTATAGACCAAACAGTCCCAGCCTGCGGCTGTGTTGTCGCTCCCGTTCCTGTTTTCGTTCCAGTCACTGCATCCGTAGTCGTAGCACTTCCCCCAATACCAGTATTCGTATGCGCTGCTTCTGTAGTCATCGTAGTCCCTATCAACGGCCCATTCATATTCCCTGCCGTCGCCGTCACTATCGACGTACTCGAACTGTCACTCAATGAACTTGTATTCTCATCCTGGTTCGCAGCCTTCCCATCCGGACAAACACCCGTATTACACGGATTAACCGAACAACAACCCTTGAAATCCCCTGCCGAGCAAGTATAGAAGTTTTGTAAACCTGGGCAGTCGTGGGCGTTCATCTTTCCAGTTTTGGGGATTGGTGAGGGGACAATATGTCATTCACACATGAATCAAAGTTGAAGATCGAGTGAATAAGATGGGATGGATGGAATATTAGGTGTGTGTTGAAGATGGAGCAAAGATAGTAGTGAGATGTAGACCACCGTCTTGACTCAAATCAAACCCCAGCTGGCCTGCCATTTCTCGTCCTTGTTCTTGTTCTTGTATATGAAACAAATTGGAAACTAAACCATGACAGGGTTACAACGTGGCGGGCAAGGATGTTCTGTTTCTTTCTTTGTCTTTGTTGAAGGCTGCTGGTTTCCGGGTCGATTGGCTATTTTTTGTCTGAGGGACAAAGGAGTAGTTCTCGATTGCCGGATTGGGTATTTGTTCGGGTTTTGACGATTTTCGAGAAGATCAGCGGATCGCTGACGGTAGCTGTGCTGATTGTTTATTTGTATTTTGTATTTTTGTGCGGAGTGGTTTGTGAGGGAAGATCTACAGGACGTAGTGTCTCCAATGAAACTCCAATTGTATAATGACAAAAACTGCTATAAGACATAACATGGCGGAAGGAAATATGGATATACAAATATAAAGTAACACAAATAAACAAGATCAGAATTTTGCATGGCGTCTTCTTTTTGCCTTTTGCCTTCATCCTTCGTGAGCCCATCACCTGCCCCTAAACCACAGACAGGGTTGGCAGATGACACCCCTGTCAGGGCACAATGGAATGGCACAATGGAACTCGTTCTTCGTAGCCGAAATAAAGCTGCCACGTGAAACGTGCTCCACCCATGCATCATTAACTATAACACTCTCGCTCCCCTGGCAACACGCTTAGTAGGTACGCTTGAACGGCGGCACGGGCTTGCACTCGTTGGTGTCCAGGGTTTCGGCCTCGACTTCACGGTAGCCAAGCTCGACCTTGCCGTGAGGGGTCTTCTGCCATGTGAGGGTGTGCTTCATCCAGTTATCGTCGTCACGCTCGGGGAAGTCTTCACGGGCGTGAGCACCACGGGACTCCTTACGGTTGGCGGCGGCAATAGCGGTTTGCGAACTATAATCGTCAGTATGTCATTTTCTTTTTGTCGGGGTGTCAGGGTACGTACGCGCAAGTCAACAAGTTACGGAGCTCAAGAGTCTCAACCAAGTCCGAGTTCCAGATCATGCTGCGGTCCTTGGTAGCAACCTGGTCGAACTGCGAGTCGACCTTGGTGACCTTCTCAACACCCTCATCCAAACTCTCCTGGGTACGGAAAACGCTGACGTCCGACTGCATCGACTTTTGCATAGCGTTACGGATGTCAAAAGTGGTCTGAGGACCGTCGGCGTTGCGGACAAAGTCGAGGTCCTGGATCGACTGAGCACCAGCGTCGGAGCTCAGCTCCTTGTGGGGCTGGCCGGGGCTGGAGATGTCGCGGACACGGTGAGAGACAGCACGACCGAAAACGATCAGGTCAAGAAGAGAGTTGGCTCCCAGACGGTTGGCACCGTGGACAGACACACAAGCAGCTTCACCACAGGCGTACAGACCGGGGACAACCTGGTCCTTGCCGCTCTCATCAACAGTCAGGACCTCACCAGTGTACTTGGTGGGGATACCACCCATGTTGTAGTGGACGGTGGGCAGGACAGGGATGGGCTGCTTGGTGACGTCGACACCGGCGAAAATCGAGGCGGTCTCGGAGATACCGGGCAGACGCTCGTGCAGGAGCTCAGCGGGAAGGTGGCTCAACTGGAGGTAGATGTGGTCCTTCTCGGGACCGACACCACGGCCCTCACGGATCTCCAGGGTCATCGAACGGGAGACAACGTCACGCGAAGCCAAGTCCTTGGCGGTAGGGGCGTAACGCTCCATGAAACGCTCACCCTCCGAGTTCAGCAGGTAGCCACCCTCACCACGAGATCCCTCAGTGATCAGACATCCGGCACCGTAGATACCAGTCGGGTGGAACTGGACGAATTCCAGATCCTGGTTGGGGAGACCAGCACGGGCGACCATGGCCATACCGTCACCAGTGCAAGTGTGAGCGGAGGTACACGAGAAGTAGGCACGTCCGTAACCACCGGTGGCCAGGACGGTGTGGTGGGCCTTGAAACGGTGGATGGTACCGTCCTCCTGGTTGTAGGCGATGATACCGCGGCACTCGCCGTCCTCCATCAGCAAGTCGAGGGCGAAGTATTCAATGAAGTAGTTGGTGTTGTGACGCAGAGACTGGCCGTAGAGGGTGTGCAGAAGGGCGTGACCGGTACGATCGGCAGCAGCACAGCAACGGTAGGCCTGACCGCCCTTGCCGAACTCCTTGGATTGACCACCGAACGCACGCTGGTAGATACGTCCATCCTCGGTACGCGAGAAGGGGCAACCGTAGCTTTCGAGTTCACGAACGGAAGCGGGGGCTTCTTTGGTCATGTAGTGGATGGCGTCCTGGTCACCGAGCCAGTCGGATCCCTTGACGGTATCGTACATGTGCCATCTCCAGTCATCCTGGTGCATGCTGTACGCCGAGAAAACCCTACGTTAGCGCCGATCTCAAATGCCGAGGTTTTGATGCACGGGCACCTACTTTCCAAGAGCAGCGTTGATACCACCCTGAGCAGCGACAGTGTGACTTCTGGTAGGGAAAAGCTTGGAAACACAGGCAGTGTTGAAACCAGCTTCTGCCAAACCGAAAGCCGCACGCAGACCGGCACCACCAGCACCAACGACGACGGCATCGTACTCGTGGTCCTGCACACCGTTAGAACCCTGATATCACCCCGCAAATTGACCAAATCACCGGTATCCGCTTACAATCACGGGGTATTTGTCGGAGATGTATCCATTGGCCTCCTTAGCGCGCAGCGGGTTGTTGGGGTTGCCAAATATCCGGGCTGGTGGAATTCGATTAGTTCCTGCGGGAAAGCGAAGATCCGTTGCGAGGCTGAATGTCCATACCTGCGGGCCGGGACGAGGAAAAGAGACGTCTCTGGTTAATAGTACGGGAGAACTATTGACAGGCAGTCAGTAGTCGTCCTAAACCACCGCAATGCGATCAAACGAGGGAGGGGTGGTAACCGACCTTGGATGCGGGAGCTAGGCTCCGCAAGCCCAGGGAGCTCATGATGACTGGACGGATCAAAAGAAAGAGAGAAACGCTTTCCTATGAGCCCGGGAGGAGAGGAGAGGAGAGAATTGAGCAAAGAGAGACACACACAAGACCGTAAGGCAGGTAAGAGAGACAGGCTCGTGGTTCGAAGATGCACTTTGGATCATCCGTTTCTGGCGGCCTTTGCGAAAGCCGGCTGACATAAGCATTTCCTCACTTGCCGACGGGGAGGACCGGGGCCGAGGCAGCCAATCATGAAGTCCGCAGTGGTAATCATCCTCGGGCAGCCGGGAATTGCTAATTGGTTGGACGGGTTCTGGGCACGTGGCCGGTGTTCGTTTAGCCGGCAAGAGTCCGGAATATACCGTCGACACTACTCCGGAGTACCAATACTAGTACTAGTAGTACTGCTAAAGACATGCCAGTCTGGGGTTACGGGGTATAGCACGTGATCTACTCAACTGGTCTTAGTGAAGCCCTGAGTATTATGAATCCACTAAATACTAAATATCATCATACATCCGTCCATGCAAAAAATCTCTAGTTGTACTGCATGTACGTCGCCGTCGAGTTGAACTTCAGGTTGCCCTTGATGACCTTGTCCACCGCTGCCAAAAAGTCCTTCTCCGTCGCAATCTTTCTCCGTGCGCGGATGGCAAACATACCCGCCTCTGTTGCAACACTCCGCAGCTCAGCACCAGTGGAGTTGGGGCAGAGTCGAGAGATGAGCTCCCACCGGATGTCGCGCTCCACCGACATGCTCTTGGCGTGAATCCGAAGAATGTTGGCCCGACCGTCGACGTCGGGAAGGGAGAACTCAATCTTACGGTCAATACGACCGGGACGCATCAGGGCAGGGTCCAGAGTCGACGGCCGGTTGGTTGCGAACATGACCTTGATGTTACCACGCGAATCGAAACCGTCCAGCTGTGTGATCAACTCAAGCATAGTACGCTGCACTTCGTTGTCGCCGCCAGCTCCGTCATCGAAACGAGCACCACCAACCGCATCAATTTCATCAAAGAAGATGATACATGCTTTCTTGGTCCGTGCCATCTCAAAGAGTTCTCGAACCATCCGCGCACCTTCACCAACGTACTTCTGAACCAGTTCACTACCAATGACACGAATGAATGTAGCGTCCGTTCGGTTGGCGACTGCACGAGCACACAGTGTCTTTCCGGTACCGGGAGGTCCGTAAAGCAAGGCGCCCTTGGGAGGATCGATACCGAGGTTGACGAAACGTTCGGGCGACAGCAATGGCATCTCAACGACTTCCCGCAGCTTCTCAATCTGGTCTTTCGATCCTCCAACATCTCCGTATGTAACGTCGGGCTTCTCTTCGACAGTCATCATGGTCACGCTGGGGTCGATCTTCGGGGGGAGCGGCAGCATAATCTGGTACTTGTTGCGGTCGACACTGGTCTTGTCAGCACATCATCATATCACGGGGAAAGAAAGAACATACCCAACTCTCATGCCCTCCTCAATATCCGTAGGACTCACTCGCTCCCCTAAGTTGACAACGAATTTGGCAATCTGCTTGACGTTGATAACATATTTGCTCTTATCCGAATCCTTCTCGTCCTGGATAATCTTTGTACAGCGAGAGACTTGCAAGGGCTGCTCCTCGGCCATACGTTGCCGGTCTGCGGCAACGTCCCAAAGGTGTGGTGGTGCGAGTCCGGTGTCAGATTCCTAGACACGTACGTCAGACTTATCCCAGAGCTCACATCGACAGACTATAATACCTTGATGCCAATCTTCTCGTTCACGCTAGCCTGTTTCTCATTGATCTGCTTTTCGAGTCTCTTTAATGCGGTCGCGTACGGTGCGGCACCGTAGGTCTTGAGTACTTGAATGTCGCTGTGATCAATCAGCACCGCGTTCTCAGAGTTACCACCATCGTGAGCGCCACGCAATCAAGCACATACTCATCTGTAAGAGGTGTGATCTTCTTCTCAGGCTCCTCCTCATCCGCAAAGTTCTTCTTGTACTTCTCCCAGCTCTCTCCCGTGGCGCTAGGCATGGTGACAGTCAGCTGCGAGACAGCAAGGTGTTCTAGGGTATCGAAGTCAAAAGCGAAAGAAAGAAGAGTCCTGGTTCCCTCTGCAGAAATGAATGGAATAAACAGGAGAAAGAAAGGGATGTGACGATAGCAGTAGCAGTAGTAGAAACAAGGTCGGTGATGTGATGACGGTTGAGCTCTGCCGTTGTTGGGCGGCGAGAGCTTCCAGAGTAGCGCCAAGCATCATCACCGCCTTTGGAGAGCACCTCCCAAGAAATTATTCCTCCTGCAGCGCCCGCCGCCAGACCATTTTTACGCCATATCATCCACCCTTTTTATATCTCTTTTCTTTTCTTTTTAGGGATTCTGTCTGTATTACAGACATTCTTTCATAATGTCGACCGCAGTCTCCCAGGGACCCCCTGGAAACAACTCCTTCAAGGTGCGTTCGTTCTGCGGGGAGAAATACTACGTGTGGGCCGAATCTGATAATCTGGCAGGACAAGGAGAAGCCCATGGCTGTGCGGACGTCCAACATTTTGGCAGCAAGAGGTATGGGCAATTGTGTGATGCTGGGAATCATCTTTACTGACGTGAAACAGCTGTTTCCGATGCTATCAGAACGGTATGCTTGTTAAGAGTCAATGGTTCGCGGTGGATGAGGGGCTAACACGGATACAGTCGTTGGGTCCCAGGGGTATGGATAAGATGGTATGATTGAAAAGAGCACTTGATATTCATTTGGAGGGGGAATGCTAATGGTTTACAGATCCAAACACCCAAGGGAAACACTATCATCGTACGAACCCCAATCTGTCCTTATCCACAGTCGACCCCGACGCTGACCGCCCACAGACCAACGATGGAAACACTATGTTGAAGGATATGAGCGTTATGCACCCGGCTGCCAGGATGCTGGTTGACCTGAGTGCTGCTCAGGATGTGGAAGCTGGTGATGGAACAACCTCCGTGGTCGTTATTGCAGGCAGTCTCCTGGCCGCCGCTGAGCGTCTGTTGTCCAAGGGTATTCACCCTACCGTCATCTCCGAGTCGTTCCAAAGAGCCGCCGCCGCTGCCGTCGAGATCCTGCACAACATGTCCAAGCCGATTAACCTGATGGACCGCTCTACTCTCCTCCAAGCTGCATCTACGTCGCTGTCTTCGAAGATCGTCTCGCAACACTCGGGTCTTCTTGGACCTATGGCCGTTGATTCGGTGCTTAAGGTTGTGGACCCTAAGACGGCAGAGAACGTCGACCTGCGGAATATCCGGATTGTTAAGAAGGTTGGCGGTACCATCGAAGACAGTGAGATGGTTGACGGTCTGGTGTTGAACCAGCCCGTTATTAAGAGCAGTGGTGGTCCCACAAGAATTGAAAAGGCCCGGATAGGATTGATTCAGTTCCAGCTCAGCCCGCCCAAGCCTGACGTATGCTATACTTCTCCCACGTGGTCCACTTGATGGATACTAACGGAATGTTTTGCAGATGGAAAACCAGATTGTCGTGAACGACTACCGCCAGATGGACAAGATCCTGAAGGAAGAGCGCCAATATATCCTCAACATGGTTAAGAAGATCCAGAAGACCAAGTGCAACGTCCTTTTGATTCAGAAGTCCATCCTCCGTGACGCCGTCAATGACCTGTCTCTCCACTTCCTCTCCCGTCTTAAGATCTGTGCCATCAAGGACATCGAACGCGATGAGGTCGAGTTCTTGTGCAAGAGTCTTGGCTGCAAGCCTGTCGCCAACATTGACTCCTTCACGGAGGACAAGCTGGGCACCGCCGACCTTATTGAGGAAGTCCAGGCATCCGGCGCTCGTTATGCCAAGATCACCGGTATCAAGGCCCCTATCAACCCCGTCAACCAGACCGTCTCGATCGTCGCTCGGGGTGCCAACAACCTGATTTTGGATGAGGCTGAGCGGTCGCTGCACGATGCTCTCTGTGTCATCCGTTGCTTGGTGAAGAAGCGCGCGCTCATCGCCGGTGGTGGTGCTCCCGAAATCGAAGTTGCCCACGCGCTGGCCATGCGCTCTCGCGAGTTGACTGGTACAGAGTCCATTTGCTTCAAGGCATTTGCGGATGCCATGGAGGTTATCCCGACCACTCTTGCTGAGAACGCTGGTCTCAACTCCATCCGGGTGGTTACTGACCTGCGGCATCGCCATGCCCAGGGCCAGCACAACGCTGGTGTCAGCATCCGCAGTGGAGGTGTGAAGGATGACATTACGGAAGAGAACATCTTGCAGCCTTTGTTGGTCAGCACCAGCGCGATTGAGCTTGCTGCTGAGACTGTGAAGATGATTATGAGAATTGATGACATTGCTTTGTCGCGGTAATTTGAATGAAGGCGCCGGGGGAGAATGAAAAGATGTTTTTGAACTACGAGTAATTCATCTTAAAACTATTAGTATTATATTGGAAATAGATATTGTTGAGAATGTATAGTCTCTATAACTTCCTTGTATCTATAACTATATCTTCTTTACTCCGCACTCCGATATATATCTCTGCCTACGGAATACCATGTACTCCGTAGTCTGCACACTTCAATATCCCCTAAAGAGAACACTAAGGAGGCAACACAGTCATAAATATACATCTGAAGAATTATCAATAAGAACAACCTCAAAAGGATCTCAATAAGAGGTGAATAACCGCGATTCTTTGTTGCATCACCAATCGCCAAGACTGTTTCCTTATCGGTTATCGGTCCACTTCAGCCTCATCTCCAGCCCGCCGACATACCACGTCCTCGCACCATTTCCCTGAGCTCAGCTTCGACCGGGAAGACGCCTATTTATTTTATTCGAAATGGCTTACTGAACTGATATAACTTACCTTTTCTCAAACGCGAAACGATCATTCACCGCTCGCAACATCGAGCTCACCGTCTCTCCCTGCGCTGGTCATATGCAGCTGGCTGGCTGAGCTCGTGATTAACAACTCGACGCGCCAATTCACATTCACAGCAATGGGGAATCCCAGCGAAGAAGGGAACCGCGATTCCCTCTCAACATCCCGCCGTCGGTCAACATCCATCTCCTCCGAAACCTCCACCGACTCAGGCCTATCCATCGACACGCCAACAGCCCATAAGATCCACCCAACACCCCAAGAACCAACCCCCATGATCGAAGGCGAACCCTACCGCGACCTCGAAGATGGCGAGCCCCAAGCCGACGAGCCCTTCCTGGGTACGCGGAAGAAGAGCCCCTCGAGCAGCCGTACTCGTTGGGTTGTTTGGATCCTCGGGCTCCTGTGTGTGGGTGGCTGGGTCCTAGCGCTCGTGTTGTTTATGGTGCAGCGGAGACCGAATTATCAGGCTGCTATGGATGCGCTTGAGATGCCGGATTCGAAATCTGCGACGGGGTTTACGGATTCCGGGAAGCCGATTACGTTGGAGCAGGTGCTTGGTGGGCAGTGGTTGGGTCGGTCGCATGGGATTTCGTGGATTGCGGGGGCGAATGGGGAGGATGGGCTGTTGCTTCAGCAGGGGGAGAGTGATGGGAAGGGTGGATATCTTCGGGTTGAGGATATTCAGAATCGGAAGGGTGATGCTCAGAGCAAGGTGTTGATGGAGAAGGGGTATGTGGTTGTTGATGGGAGTGTGATTGTGCCGTATCGGACGTGGCCGAGTGCGGATCTGAACAAGGTGTTGCTTTTGTCGAATTATGAGAAGAATTGGAGGCATTCGTATACCGGCAAGTACTGGATTCTGGACGTCGAGAGCCAGACGGCGCAGCCTTTGGATCCGGGTAATCCAGATTCGCGGATTCAGGTTGCTATTTGGTCACCGACTTCGGACGCTGTTGTTTTCGTCATGGATAATAACATGTACCTGCGGAAGCTGTCGTCTGAGACGGTCATTCCGGTTACGAAGGACGGTGGTAAAGATCTGTTCTACGGTGTTCCCGACTGGGTGTACGAAGAAGAGGTCTTCTCGGGCAACAGTGTGACATGGTGGTCGAACGACGGAAAGTACGTTGCGTACCTTCGCACCAAGGAGTCGACCGTGCCAGAGTATCCGGTTCAGTACTTCCTGTCCAGACCCTCTGGGAAGAAACCCCTACCTGGTCTTGAAAGATATCCCGAGGTTAGAGACATCAAGTATCCCAAGTCTGGTGCTCCAAACCCGGTGGTCGACTTGCAGTTCTACGATGTTGAAAAGGACGAAGCATTTTCCGTTGAGATCCCCGAGGAGTTCCCTGACGATGACCGCATTATCATGGAGGTGCTGTGGGCAACTGGAGGAAATGTTCTGATCCGTACAACCAACCGCGAGAGCGACATCCTCAAGGTATTCCTGATCAACACAGAGACCAGAACCGGCAAGCTTGTGAGACTTGATAATGTCGCGGAGCTAGATGGCGGATGGGTTGAGCCTTCGCAGTCGACCAGATTCATCCCAGCTGATCCAAACACTGGACGGCCAACAGATGGATATATTGAAACTGTGGTCCATGAGGGATATGATCACTTGGCCTACTTTGCTCCTCTGGACAACTCCGAACCGCTGATGCTCACGAGCGGTGAATGGGAAGTCGTGGATGCACCATCCGCTGTCGACCTGAAAAAGGGCCTGGTTTACTTCGTCGCAGCGAAAGAAGCACCAACTCAGCGTCATGTATACAGCGTCAAGCTCGACGGAACCGATCTCAAACCGTTGACAGACACCTCAAAACCGGGCTACTTCGATATCTCCTTCTCGGACGGCACAGGTTATGCCCTGGTCAGCTACAAGGGCCCCTCCGTCCCATGGCAAGCCATCATGAACACGAAGGGCGAAAAGGCTACATACCAGGAAACAATCGAAGAAAACAAAGAACTAGCCCGCCTGGTTCAGCAATACGCCGTCCCGACCGAGATCTACTCAAATGTCACCATTGACGGCTTCACTCTCCAAACCGTTGAGCGCCGCCCTCCACACTTCAACGCTGCCAAGCAATACCCCGTCCTCTTCCATCTGTACGGCGGACCCGGCTCGCAAACCGTGGACCGTAGATTCAACATCGACTTCCAATCCTACGTTGCCTCAAATCTGGGATACATCGTTGTTACCGTTGACGGACGCGGAACCGGCTTCATTGGTCGCAAGGCTCGCTGTATCGTGCGCGGAAACCTGGGATACTACGAAGCACACGATCAGATCGCGACTGCGAAGATCTGGACTGCGAAGCCGTATGTTGATGAGAGCCGTCTTGCGATTTGGGGATGGAGTTATGGTGGATTCATGACTTTGAAGACCATCGAGCAGGACGCTGGCCAGACGTTCCAGTATGGTATGGCTGTTGCGCCTGTTACGGACTGGAGATTTTATGGTAAATCTACCCGCCCCGACACACCCTTAGACAACATTTACTGACCTGATTAGACTCCATCTACACAGAACGCTACATGCACACCCCCGACCACAACCCCAACGGCTACGACAACTCCTCGATAAACGACATGTCCGCACTCCAAGAAAACGTCCGCTTCACAATCATGCACGGCGTCTCAGACGACAACGTCCATCTACAGAACACCCTAGTCCTCCTCGATAAGCTGGACGTCGCTGGTGTCGAGAACTACGACGTCCATGTCTTCCCGGACTCGGATCATAGTATTAACTTTCATAATGCGCATAAGATTGTTTATGATCGTGGGTCCCCTCTTCTATGGTATTTGTTTGTGGCAAGGGCTAATTAGCGCAGGACTGTCAAACTGGCTCGTCAACGCCTTTAATGGCGAGTGGCATACGATTGCGCATCCAGTTCCTGAGGAGTCGATTTGGGAACGGGCTAAGAGGTCTATTTCGGTTTTTGCATCTTGATGAGTTGCTTTGGTTTTAGTATAGATTTCATTTTGTGGCGAAGCGTTGGATTGTACTGGTTGCAATTGGATTTTTGCTATTGAATATAGGGCGTTTTGATGGCTTTGATAATTGAATTTAATTGTGGACAACTTGAGATGCTTGACACGAAGTAGACCCCAGGAGTAAACATTAGACGCTTGGATGTATGTGCGCGATGGATATCAAAACGTAGAAGACATATCAAAGGGCAACAATCCATAACACATCAATCATAAACTAGGACAAAACACAATCTAGTCATAACCATCCATCAAAAAAAAAAAAAAAAAAAAAAAAAAAAAAAAAAAAAAAAAAAAAAAAAAAAAAAAAAAAACATCAAAAAACCACCAACAACGTACTTCCCCCAAATCACCACCACCAAGACCAAGGACGAAGAGAAACTACCTACCATTCCCAGAAGCCGTACGCGAAAACTCATGCCCCCCCGGCCCACAATTCCACCCCGATTCCCATTTCTCGGCCTCATTCCCAGACCGACTCCTCATAACCTTCATCGCCTTCCCAACCCAAAGTATCTGCTCATGCTCCCTCAAACACCGCTCCCCACTAAACGACTTCTGCACAATAGCCCTAGTCATCATGCCCAGTTTCCTCCGCTGAGGAGTCTTCTCGTACATCCGCCGTGTGATTCTTTCAACGTCCTCAGCGGTAGGGTTGGAGGTGAGAATAGGCGCTGGTATATCATCGGGATCATCAGCATACTGGCTCCATTCACCGAGCATCGCGAGCATGGAGATTTGGGCACGTGCGAGTGCGAGAGCGTCATTCGGTGCAACTACGGCGCTGTAGCGCGAGGAATCATCTGGATCGCTGAGGACGCGGAGTGAAGCGCCGACGTCTGTGCATACGACTGGTGCACCGGTTAACGCGGCTTCACCTAATGCGAGAGGTAGACCTTCTGATAGGGAGGAGTTGAGGAAGAGCCATGTTCTTTCTAAGACTTCCAATGAATCTGTGGTACCGCGGAGCGTGACTTTCCCGCGAAGACCCTTTGAGGCAATGATCTCTTGACATTCGGTCGTGTACATTGGGGATCTGTCGATTGCGCCATAGATGTCGAGTTTGTAGTCGGTGAAGTGCCAGTGGTTGATTATGATGTCTGCGGCGAGGAGCGCGGTTTTTATATCCTTTGCGTACCAGACGTGTGAGAGCATTGTGACTGTTGGATGCTGGGATTTTATTTCCTTGACGGGGGCGAATTTCTGCATATCGATGATGCCGTTGACGACGGGGTCTAATTTTCTGCGGAAGATGTTCCGGTGTTGGATTGTGCCTTGCGCGGTTCCGATTTCGACTTCCCAGTCTGGATTGAAGAAGTCCGTGCAGGGTGTTAGGATGTCCGCGTGGTGCAGGACGAGGACGGAGGTTATGCGCATGAGGCCCAGGAGAGCGTTTCTGACGAACGGGGGCAGCTTGGAGAGGGCGGAGGAGAGGCTGATGTTGACTTCGCGCCAGGAGATGGCGTGGTCCCAGATTTGGAGGGTGCAGCCGCGCTTCATTTTGCAGACGACGCCGTAGGAGGCGCTTACGCTGTGGTGCGAGGCTTGGAAGACGTCGGGGACTTTTTCGGGGACGGGGATTGAGAAGATGAAGAGGTAGCGGTACCAGAGTTCGAGAGCGACGTCGAGGGATGCTAGTGTTGGGAGTTCTGTTTGGAACCATGAGGAGGTTGGGACGGTGTTGGGCATTGTTTGGGAGAACCAGAGCTCGCCCCAGCTTTTCTTCACGATGTCGCTATTCCAGACTTGTGTCCAATGTCTGGAGCCTTGGAAGTATGTATTGAGATTCACGAGTGCTCGAGTAGATTGTCTAATGTCAGCCCTTGTAAGATTGACAGCACGAGAACTCTTCAACAGCGTTGCCAGAATCGGGACGAAGTTCTGTTTGATGTCGAGCTCATTGGCAGATGTCACGTCGTCAACCTCGGAATCCAACTTATTCCTAAGCAGACCATGCGTTGGCGTGAGGAAATCCAACCCCCACAGTGGAATAATCTTCAATGACTGGACATTGTGCTCAGTCTGATGCTTGGGAATACCAAAGTCATTTGCCGACTCGCAGATCATATGCCACTTGACAGTCCGTAAATGGTTGACTATGTCACGTCGGCATGCAGAAACACCACCACCTTCATTAGGCCAAGTTCCAGTATCAGCGGCCATAACATGAAGTGTGCTCTCCGTATCAGACCCAAATTCCTTGGTCCTGGTATTGATCACAGCGTCACCCCCAGGACCAAAGTTGAACAGGTCGCTGATTTTTACAGCGAGTGAGGTCCAGCTGGATACATTGTCGTTGAGATCCGCGCTGGCCATGATGGTATCAGCGTGCTGGGTCAGATACGTCTCCGCTGAGACAAGTTCGCCATAATCACGACGGCGCCAGTACGGAGCGAGAGTTCTATCACGACGTAGCAAGCGATCATCCATCCAGCGGACGGTTACGCCGTCGAAATCAACGTGGTCTTTCCATGCCTTCCACATCAGAGAACGCGCGCGCGAAGTCGAGGCAGGAAAGCGTCTCGTGGTAAGTCCCAGGAACCGTTGGAACATATTGGTAGTTAGACTATCACAGTAGAGGAGTGGATTGTCGCGTACAAAGCTGGTGTGTTTCGGCTTGGTGAGTATCCCAAAATGGTCATATTCAATGAAAGCTGGCGTCTTCACATTCTCCCCATTGAGAGTCGTGAATATGGCCGGGTTGAATTTGTGGTCGTATAACCAACGGCTCTCGTAGACATCGGAGCCTTGCACAAACGTTGCCCTCGTGACTTTGGCATGAGGGATCCATCGATCGGACTTTTCTGAGCGACGAAGAGGCGGTGCACACCAGGAGATCGAGCAGCTAGTATGAGGGAAAGAGAATTCAGCACGAAGCAATTCATCCCCAAAATGGGGATTCTTGCGGTAACGGAATTGGAAGCGCACAAGACTCCCGTTCCTAATGTAGGATCCAGAGCTAATAAGGCCGTTGCGATTGTATTGGACACGTTGTGACGCATGCTCTCCGTTCACGCAACGTCGGGATAGTGGGACCTTCACTGTAAAACTCTTCTTTAATCTCGAGGTTCTTGTCGGTATGTGATAGTCGTAGTGATATTCATTGACCAATTGACCACAACTCAGCTCCTGTCTGATATGGAGAAGAAGATCGTTGGAGTATGTACAGACGTATTTCAAGAGCGTTGAATCGTCCGGTTCGGTTTTGTGCTCTCCTGTGTAGTAGTAGACTTTGAAGTGGTTATCTTCCCCGACGTGCCAGAAGGCAGTGAAGGTTCCGTCAAGGCCTTGGACCATGACACTGGCTTTTTTGATTCCGATTGTCAATCCTTTCGTTTCGTCCCACAGACGCTTGACATCGTCACGACCATGGAACAGGAAGAAGACCATGAAGGTGTCTTGCACGATTTTGGCATAGCACCAGATCAAGTTCAGTATAAGTTTGACAGGAACGCGGTAAACTGCAGTATAGTGCTTCATGACATGGTCCAATTCACGCTGGAACTCTGCATCGGCGACGAGAGCGACAATAACGAATTTACTGAGGGAACCAAGAGCATGATAAAAGTAACTAAACGGCGCTTTCAAAAGACGAGCAACCATACCACATGTGATTGGAGGACGCGGAATGTATGCCGCACGCTCTGGCTCTTTGATCAAGGCTCCGCCAGTCCCATGATGCGGATAGCCAAGTATCCTGGCGACGGTGGCTACACCAAGATTGCAGCGAGCAACGTGGACGTCTAACGTTTTGATGTCGGAAAGGCACAATCTCTCTTGAAGCCACTCTGCCTGGTCGACTGATAACCGACCTGGCCGGCCCAGACAACGATCTAACAGCATGATTCGGATCTGTTTCGGTAATTGCTCCCACTGGGTATCACAGTCAAACCCCAGGCACAACTGCCGCAATAGCTCCTTCCTAGCCCAGCGCACAACGGTTGCCGTATTTAATTCCTCATGAAGTTGCTGTCTCGTTGTTTCTGTCATTCCGTCTGTAATAAGTGATCCGGTGAGTACTGCATGCTCATGTGGCATTCCCATAAATGCTTCTGACACTGCGTGTAGCAGAGTCTCAGCGATGATCTGGCAGTTGGCATGGACGTCAATATGTTTCTTCAGTCCTCGTCCAACACTAATGACAAGATGCAGCTGGTTTGCGGTATGGCAACTAAGAGCTCGGATACCAGGACTAAGTGACCCTGAAGGAACTAGCTCAATTGTGATCATCCCTTCTTCCCATCCCTCTACGGCCACTCTCACGAGTGCGTCGGCGTTGGGGAATGCTTCCTCTGTCTTTAGCTTTTCTATGCGGGAGGTCATGATATCCTTGACTTCAAATCCCGGATGAGCTTTGGGCGCTAGCTTCAGGCGAGAGTGGGGCGATATCTGCAATGATTTTTGCCAAAAGGCATGTAGCTCCTCTTGCGACCATTCGGGATAATCCCAAGGCGTAGTGTACGCATGAAATGCCACGCCGGGATTTTCGAGTGAGTCGATTATCCTAGGCATCCCTAACTTTGCCGTGAACAGTGAAAGAAGCGCAGCAGTCCAGGTCGCGGCTGCAAGTCCAATCACCTGGGGATACTGAAATGAAGGCAGACACTGTTTCAATGCGATACCAATGGGCAACCCCACAATAACACCGGCTAGAAGCGGCTTTAGGGCATGGGGGCCAGAAAATATCTTGGTGTACTGGTACCAGAGTAGACCGGTGTACGCGAGCACATATAGAAGGAACATTATCGTTGCCTCCAAAGAATCCTGAAATGTCCAGACAAGAGCTGTCGAGATAGCGAGACTCCAGGTATGCCACATAAGGAATTTGAACAGCGTTCTCCAGTACACGGCTATTTTGAACCTGGTATAACGCTTTCGAGAAATGTGTGCGTCTTGAGCGGTTCTGACTGCCATGGGAGTCTGTTTTCCAAGAAGGTCCTCGAGGTCCTGGGCTTTAATGTCGATCAAAACAGCCCCAACCAGATAATAGGCCAGACCAAATCCGATCGCCATACGTGATGTGTTCCTCAACGAAGCCGAGAGTCCGACAAGGTGGCCACCAGTAAGAAGCTCCACCCATTTATCAAGTAGCGCGATCACGAAGTATAGGACCCCACATCCAATCTCCTTGCCTGATTGACGCCAATGAATGAAGGCATTGTGTAGGCGAAGACCTTTCTGGGAGCTGCGCAGTGTGTCCAGTGCAACATTGAGCTGAATATTCCAGGATGAACTGAAAGGAATAGGCCGCGGAACATCAGCGTACCTGCAATACCAGTCGAGCAAGAAATTGGTCGATTCCCAATCTCTCGCAAGTTCAAAGACAAGGCCACTGAGCTCTGCTTTGGATGATGATCTCCGTTCTCTTTCGGCAAAAACATCCCTAAGCAGTGTTTCTCTTGCTATCTTGAGAACAGCCGGGTCACTGAAACCATTAAGTGTTTTCTCGTCATTGTTTTTGTAGGTTGAAATATACCACTTTCGAACCTCAGTGTCATCGGTTCTCCGAATTCTCTGGTACCAGGTTACCCACTTTGAAGCGACTGTCCGAAGACCAAGTAACAGACACCAGAGAAAAGCGTAGAGAGTAGCCAGATAAATAGCAACATCGTGGCCCGTAAAGGTAGTGACGATCGGACTAATGAATAGGATCGGAACACAGTAGAAGATAATCTTGCGCCCAGATAGAAATGACGACTTGGGATAACTGAAGCTGGCAAGGGAAGCGAAAACCGAGAAATAGGTTGTCAACGCGACGAGGTAAAGGTAAAAGATTATTCCAGCGGCGGCGCCTCTCCCGGCCGATATGGCAATGAAGGCGACAAGACCAGTTGCAATTGTGAAAGCAATGCCAGCAATGAGTCGGGTCAAGATGAACATATTCGCCGCAGCAAAAGCCATAGAGACGAGATAGTACGGACCACCGCACGCAATCCACCCGCCAATTGCACCTGACAGCAAGAGAGAAATCATCACTGCGAGTGTTGCACTTTGTTGCTGATCATATGTCATGAACGTGGAGAGATACAATCCTCGACCGATGATGGTGAGTAGCAGGATGTCAATCAAGGCGGGAACAGCAAATGCACTGAGAAACGTAAAGCGCTGATACAGAGACATTGGCCTGACCCAGTCAATTTGATCCACATCTGTCTGTGCCCCAGCGTACGCAGTAGCTACCTGCGGAGCACCATTGACCCAGTCAGGAAGCTCGCGTTTGGAATATTGGCACCTGAAACGGTCTGATAGCAACTTTCCGAAAGCATTGGGCGAGACATCAAAATAGGCTTCGCAGCGCGACCCAAGGGCAAACGCCTCCGCAAAAGCGGCGGCCTGATCGTTTTGAATGCCGAAGAGAGGGTTTCGATCTGTTACTTCCGTGTAGATTTCATCAAACGCACATTTCCTTGCAGCGCAGAATAATGAGAGCGCTATAATGTCAGCGTACGCATCGATTTGATGCTCTTTGATAATGTCACACAAAGAGCTGGTGATATGAGCGAGGTCCTGTTCCCGCCGTTCAGACAAAATTCGAGTGAAGGTGACATCGACTTCATTGAACAAAGTGAGGCATGTCGAAGTTGAAGAATATTGGCACTGTCGTTCTTTGTACCAGTTCACCCGGGTGCGTACCAGAGTTTCAGGAGAAACAGAGCCGTTAAGGTAGCCAATTGTGCTGAGCTCCTTCAGCTGGACAAAAGATGGTGCATCGACAAGTTGTCTACGAATGTATGTACAGATGGCTTCAGATATTCCGTCTGTTGAATACGTTACCGTTAGGTGTTGGAGTAGGAGAAGTCGTTCCTCTGGGCTAAGAGTGTCGATATCCTGCACAATTCGCCGTGGAAGGCTTGTATTGCCAACGAGGTTGTCCAACCAGTTTCCTAGAGCAGTTTCCGCTTCAAAGCAAATTTGGCGAGAATGGCCTTTCGCAGACAGAAATGTATGCAGTACAGTGCCTTCCAAATCCCGAGCATCTTTGGAGACAAAGATTTCGATTCCCGTCGAATCAATTTGGTAGACGGCCCAAAACCGAGAATCGGTGTCCTTGTGAAACCCAGAGTCCATACCCAGGGTTATGCGCAGCGACCCATCGATCGCAAGCTCAGATAGCTCTTGGATAGATTTCATAGGCCCACTGTTAACTGCCCAATGGTCACAGAATTGCCGCAGAAGCATGCCGATGCTCTGAACTTTGGATACGGGAACTGCATCGAGAAGGCCCAGAGACTTGAGATGTAGCTGGGATTGCAAAATTTCAGCAAAGACAACAGGTGCGACATCGATTCCCAATGGAACGCAACCGCATGAATCATAACTCTGCTCCGTGAATGACACAGATAATGGGCTGTCGTGAGAACTCATAACCGTTGACCAATTTGACGGATCACGGACGGTTATTGACTGATCGTCCATGGCCTCTACCTGCGGGCTAGCCGACTTAAGTACAGCGTCGAGACTTGAAAAGTATCCCCGTAAAATATCCCATGCAGGTATGTCGACAAAGTCCCGTTTGACATCGGAGTTCAGGCGCCAATAAGTGTGCGCCATCATGGTATCTGCATGTTTCAACCATCCAAAGGCGGAGAGTGGTTCTATTGTTTTGATGCTGAGTGTCGCATCATACAGAGCAGAATGGCGGCATGTCCAGCATAATGCGCTGTAAAAGCTGCACCATTGCAATGAACGCCGCATAACTGCATTAGATAATACAGCATTATCGTCGACTGTTTCCCAGATCATCACGACGAAATCCCTAACGCAAGCCTCTGAGACGAAAGCTTTGATAGTAGGCTGCATATCCGTCATCTCAAAATAGTCACGCTTCTCTCCATTTGGCAAGATGCTCGCATTCCTGATGACAAGACCAGAGACTGCATTGGTTCGAAGTTGACCTTTGTTTTCCAAGAAATTCGGTGGCCATGTTTCCAGGTAGATTGTCAATCCGAAGTCTTTGATAATCTCAAGCAACCTAACCCAAACAGCTCGCGGGAATTTGCGCTCCCAATTTGAAAACAGGATCCCACTAAATGATCTGCCATAAAAGGCACCGAAGAGGATATCCTCGATTTTCTCAATTCCAGCGAGCGTTGAATGTCCTCGAAAGATGATTAGATCCAGATCCATCCTTCCCAGTACTGGCTTTGTTCCAAAGTTGGAAACAGCATCAATAACACCTGATTGAAACGGATTGACGATTATGAGGTCCCATTGATTTAGAACTCTGTATTGCAACTCGGTTACGGGTGTGCAGAAACTTCCTAGATAAGCACCAAAGGACGATGGTTTATGCTTAATCGCTTGTAAGTTCCCCAAAGCAAAGTGGCGCCCTGAGAGTCTGTCCAGCTTGCGGGATATGTCTTCTGGTGTAGTCTCTGAGCATGTCCTCGACTAGGAGTCATTGAGTTAGAAAGGGGAGACTTTAAGGATGTTTGCAGATCCGTCCTACCTGGTAGTGGCTGAGGCACCTTCTCACCGCAGATTGAATCGCGTACACACATCCAATAGTAACTGAACCAAGCAGAAAACCGACCAATACCTAGAAGTTATCATTAGCGTTGGTTTATATCGTAAGGGTAAAGACTCATTCACAAATTGCCACGAGTGGTGTCTCATCCCATGCCATCCCACGGGCACGACGTCAAGTATCTGTGCCATGGCGGAGCATTACAGTAAATGTAGTATAGACCTAGAAAGGAAGGAAATGTGGATAAAAAGCAAGGACGAAAAGCATGTCAAAGTACCAAAACAGAGCCACAGCTTGACTAAAAACTCCTGACCCTTCTGCCGGGGAAGTACTATCCAGCCACACACTGAGTCAGATGCATACCACGGTCAAACCAGCTCTAAGACTATATGATCATAGCTAAGTTTACCTTGCAATGGTCATGCTCAGTACTTGACACTTGATAGTCGGAAGGGATTGTTGTTTGTCACTGTTGTAGAATCTGCGAGTGAGGCACATCGTAAGCAATAGGCCACAACTTGTCCATATTGATCATCCGAGTCCGAAAGCTCCATCGGAGTACTCGATTGGAAAGGCCATTAATCCCTGTACGTTGTACCGATTCGAGGACATCAACAAACATCATCCTTCATCCTTCAGGAACGCCTTCTAATGGATGGACCTTCGAGCTCCGAAACACAATCATGGCCGCACCTGAATAGTTGTACGACACGACCTCTGTATATTTTCCTGCTGACCATGTCCCCGGCCTTTCCCGTTAAGGGCAGAGCACAGTGGTGTTGGTATTGCATCATTGCGCACATTGAGAATTCCCAGTTGTTCTCTTGGCATATGAGATAACATGTCTTTCTCTGAATGAAGAAAGGAGCACGCAACATAAGAAAAGACAACTTGGTGGCTGCAAAGACACGGAGGAAACAGTTGACGTTGGGGCGATATGTAGTTATTCCCGATTAGGGATAGCGTGTTTGTCAACATCTTGCAGAAAACTGTTTTGCAAATACGCCTGCGGATACCGTAAAATACATAAAATTGTATTATGGCCACGATCTTCCATTTCGGGACGTCTTCCATGCCAGGTCGCATTAAGCTCTCCACCTCCCTGGCTGCCTTGTAAGTATATCCACATGGCAAGCTGGGTCTTCTGCTGTTATGGTATGCCTTACCCTATTTTTGAACGAGAGGGTTTGAATAGACGTCCACGGATGCCATCATTTGGAACACGCGTTCACCCAGAGCGAGACGATGTATAGAGAGTACTTAAATCCTTACTCGAAGGAGCAAATCATGTTTAAATCCGAGCGCCTCAGTCACTAACCACGAGATGCTAGTGATACCGTTCACAGTCATTGCTCGGAGACGTTGCTTGTCCGCACATGGCGTCTCTACGATATCTTTTTTTGGCTATGAATGTACTCCGCAATAGCCATGTGCCACAGGAACCGCGACTTGCTCCGCTGCGATCATGCCACTCCTGAAATTATGGAGATCTATCTCGTCCTCCAAGCCCGGCAACTATAGAGAATGTAAATGCCGGAACCCAATGGCCTCCTACAAGCGGCTTCTCATTGAGCATGCTATGTATGGAGCCGGAAGGATGTTGTAATCCGTGCCCGGTCCGCTTACTAGCCTGGTAGCTCAATTGGTATATCTTACGTCTTGCCGACGATGAAATTCGGGCCACATTCAAATGTTTTCGCCCTGGATTGCTAAATCTCGGAGCGACCATGATACGAGATTCACTATTTGACTAGAGAGCTCTCATCGATGCTGTCACGGGGCGGTTAGACGTGTGCGTTGTCTAAGTTTCACGGGTGCTACTACACAGAACTCTCGAGTTACTTGGCTGTTCCACTCTTCTGGCTCACCTGAACTTCTTTACCCATCGTCATCGCCCGTTTCCCCCCTGTTTAATCGAGCTAATTCCTCACTCAGGTATGACATAGGAGATTTGGCATTGGGAAGTTTGCCCATCATGTCTCTCATCCCATCATCTTTCTTTTCTAGCGTGTCTCCGGCGGCACCGCCGGTTGACAGTAAGCCTATTTCATCCAACATTTTGGTCATTGCGAAAGATAATGCCACTGCAAGCGACGCGACTTCGGGCCTTAATGCCTATGGTGTCCCGTTTACCGCGCTGCTTGTTCCTCAAGATGGCATCCAGCTGCCAGAACTAAGCGGCAGCGAGGGTGGTAACTTTGGGGGCATCTTTATCACCTCCGAAGTGAGTTATGATTATGGGCAAGAGCATGGCTTCCAGAGTGCTTTGACTCCAGACCAATGGAATCAACTCTACGCCTACCAGCTTGAATATGGTGTGAGATTGGTCCATCAGGATGTCTATCCTGGGGACAAATTCGGTGTCACTCCTGTCGGTCAAGGCTGCTGTGCAAATGACGTGGAGCAATTGGTGTCGATTTCCGATACTAGCGAGTTCCCAACAGCGGGCCTGAAGATAGGCGAGGGCGTCACAACCAAAGGTCTTTATCATTACCCGGCTACCATCACCAATGCAACGAACACAAAAGAAATCGCACAATTTGCAGAGAACGATGTGATAACTACTAAGACCACTGCTGCGGTCATCAACAACTTCGACGGCCGACAGCAGATGGCTTTCTTTATTTCGAGCAACACCACATGGAGCCAGACGTCGACCTATCTTCAACATGCCTGGATTAACTGGATCACGCGCGGAACACATGCCGGACAGCGGCGTGTCACCTTGAATACACAGATCGATGATATGTTCCTTGAGTCGGACATTTACAACTCCCCAGGAACAGTCTATCGTATTACTCCCGCGGACATGGAAGGCATTGTCGAATGGCTCCCGTCGATCAAGGCGAAAATGAACCCCGGTAGTGACTACTTCATAGAAGTTGGTCACAATGGTAACGGTAATATCGAGGCTTCCAGTATGACTGTGGAGGGAGAGTCTATCTGCAACGGCGGTGGGATCGAGTATGACTCTCCTCCCGACACGGATATGGAGTTTAAGAAGCCCCAGGGCACAGGAACCGACCTCTGGCCAGTACGGACAACAGCGTATATATGGTCTTCGACCTGCACAAATCTGGATGAGCTTTTGCTTTGGTGGACAGATGAGGCCAACCGGGACAAATTTGCGCATGTCTCGCACACCTTCACTCACCTGGAGCTGAACAACGCTACCTACGCTGACGCAAGCAAGGAAATCTTTTACAACCAGGTTTGGTTGCAGAAAGTCGGTATCTCCTCAGCTAAGAAATACACGTCCCAGGGTATCATCCCGCCTGCTATTACTGGCCTCCACAACGGCGATGCTCTCAAAGCGTGGTGGGAGAACGGAGTCCGAAACTGCGTTGGCGATAATACACGTTCTGTGCTTGTGAATAAGGAGAATAGCATGTGGCCATACTTCACCACTGCCGAACACGATGGATTTGCTGGTATGCAGGTGAACCCTCGCTGGGCCACACGTATCTACTACAACTGCAACTCGCCCAAGTGTACCGTGGACGAGTGGATTGAGACGTCTCACGGCACTGGTGACTATGGTAATGGTGAATTTGATGACTTGCTCGCCGCAGAGAAAGACGACACCATGGTTCGTCTGCTCGGTCTATCCCACTCACCGTACATGTTCCATCAGGCCAATCTCCACAACGTCAATGTTGAGCCTATTAAAATCAACGGAAATACTGGAAAATATTCGATCTTCCAGGCCTGGGTTGAGACCCAGGTCCAAGAGTTTACCCGCCTCGTGGACTGGCCCATGGTCAGCACAACACATCAGGAGGTATGTATACATATCCAAACCAATTCCATCATAACATCTAACTAAATCCTTGTAGATGTCCGATGCATACCTCGCCCGCTACACCCGCGATCAATGCAAGTACAACATGAGCTATCTCACATCGAACCGTGAGATCACCGGTGTGACAGTTTCCGCCGAAGATACCAACTGCGCGGCGCCCATTCCAGTGACGTTCTCTGTTCCCCCAACCGATACACAGGGATTCAAGACTGAACAGATCGGAAACGATCCTCTAACGGTGTGGGTGAAGCTCTCTGGCTCACCGGTTACCTTTACGCTTTCGAAGCCTATTCCGTTTTAGTCTTTTACTGGTGTGGAAATTATGTTGTGGGCTGGTGGGCAATAGGTGTAAGATGAAAATGGGGTGGCAGGGCTCGGGCTCTATTCATATTTTAGTCGAGAAGTAATGCATTTTAATGTAGTAATCAAGTATCTTTCTTTCAGTATCTTACAATGATCTAGATTCCTTCAACATTTTACCCTTTCATGCTACTATGTGACAATAGCAGCCAAAATAATATCACTTAGCATAACTATACGAAGTGGTGTTCACGATCCGTTTGATGCTACAAATGCGTTGGAACGTGCCACTGGTACATCGAAACAGATATAGGGTTACGCAGATACAAACGCCGCCTTATGCGCCCATATCTCATAATATACCACACACTACCGGCTCGCATTGAGCACAGTACTTATCGGTTACTACTAGTGTGACAGAAATACGAGCCCGACCTCGTGACCACCCTTGTCTGACACGGCCAAGCATCTCAGTTAATCGTGTCTAAAATACCGTTATCTGTCACTTGATGCACGATCTTCATGTCGATATCGCCTGCTATGGCGACCCCCTTCACCATGACGCCCATGGGTCAGTCTACGGGTGGTTGGAAGACATGGTCTACCAAGAAGAAGCTCATCGTTCTTATCTCGGCCTTACTCGTTCTTATTCTGGTTTTGGGTCTCGCGCTGGGTCTGGGTTTGAAACACGATAAGGAGCGGGAGCCAAGAGAGACGCCACCAACGCCTGCGAAATGGCAGCCAGCAGCCGGGTCGACTTTTCAAATTGTGCTTCTCTATCAACTCGACGATACATCGACTAACGCAGATATATACGACATCGACCTCTTCTACAACACAAAAGACACCATTGCCCAACTCCACAACGACGGCCGAAAAGTCCTCTGCTACTTCTCCGCCGGAAGCTACGAAGACTGGCGCGACGATAGAACTCAATTCCACAAATCCGACCTCGGTTCAAACCTAGCCAGCTGGCCAGGCGAGCGCTGGCTCGACATAAACTCCGAAAATGTGCGCAGAATCATGCTCTCCCGCCTAGACACCGCACGCGACAAAGGCTGTGACGGCGTCGACCCGGATAACATCGACGGCTACGATAACCATAATGGGCTGGGTCTGACGCGCGCAGATGCTGCGGACTATGTCAATTGGCTGGCTAATGAGACCCATGCGCGGGATATGTCGATGGGGTTGAAGAATGCAGGGGATATTATTCCGTATGTTATAAGGAATATGCAATGGAGTGTGAATGAGCAGTGCGGGGAGTATAAGGAGTGTGAGACTTATGCGAAGTTTATTGAGGCGGGGAAGCCGGTTTTTCATATTGAGTATCCGAAGGGGAATAAGGTGAATGATACGCTGTCTGTTACTAATATGCAGAAGCAGAGTGTTTGTGGGTCGGATGAGGCGAGGGGCTTCTCGACGGTGATGAAGAATATGAATTTGGATTATTGGATTCAGACGTGTTGATGTTGGCTTTATGATGGTGAGGTTCGAATGTTTCTAGTTAGGTTATAGTAATACATTAATGAGTTCTCTAAATCTCTTTGAGTTCTAGGAAGGACCTCTGCTGCTATATCAAATTCATCATATTCGGATGAGTGTTCCAATACTACAAGTGTATATAGACTAGGGTCATGTATATTTAATGAGAAGCTACTTGGCTTTCTGTATATGACACATACCGATTACATCTGGTACACATCGTTTGTACTCCTCACAGATCCCTATGTACTGATAACTTCTATTCCGTACCCACTCAGCCTTGTAAAAGCCCAGACTCATCATCGTGCCCACGTCGAGCTGAAGACTTTTGCCTGTGTAACCGGTCCCCGCCCCGTTTGCTGCCCAGTCCCATTTCAAACAAAGCCTTCTGCATCTCAACGTCACTACAGGGAATTAGCTGGCACTCGCCATGCGGTGTGGCTAGAGCTGCAATAAACCGAAAATCTTCGATCTATTGCAATCTATGGCCAACGGCCAATAAGGTTCGTCTGGGTCAACGAGATATGCTTCCGAGCGGATCGTAGCGGGTATTTCCGGGTAGAAAATCTCAGGGTTTGATCGGCTGTCTCAGAATGATTTCCAGGGAGCCTTGGAAATGATTATCCACTACTAGTCTCGCGGACATGATCGGGTCGCCTTTTCCGCGTCAGGATCTGGGTTCGTGTCTGGATCGCAGTCCATAAACAAATCTGTCGTACGATCGTCAATGCTACGGCGTTTCCGACTACTGCATACATCTGTCAAGTTTCATCGAAAACTTTTTGAGTTGATTATCTTTCACAGGAAGTCCGGTTGTACACATATCGATGTATACTTCTCCAGGATATCGAGTTATGGATAACACGGCAGGTCCATCGGAAAACCCTCAGTGTACACTACGAATATCCTCCTGATAACGTAGTCACTTGACCTGATGTATTGTGACACTGATAGCTGACATTCGAGATATCTACATCGCCCGGAGATTCTCGGGCAAGCCCTTGATGGGTGACATTGTAGGATCGAAGGAACATGATCCATGATGCCTGAAGGATCCAGCACTCTATCTATAATCGATTAAATATGCCATACTACTCTGCAGCATACCCTTACTTCAATCGTTACCAAGTACTTCTCCAAAAAACCCTTTCCAGCGCAAAAAACACATGCAGTGCCACACACCATCAGAACAACTATATTAGTAGCCTCCAACGAATGATATCAATGGCAAATCAACTGGAACGTTTCATCAGCCCCAATCAAAATCATGCACCGAGTACCTGTACACACTCGATATTTAAATACGGGCTGACAACTGCCTCATGTGGGTGTTACTGCATGCGAGGGCAAAGGCAAATGCTGACTCGAGTCCAATCGGAGAATTGAACAGAGCTGCGTCTTATGTATGCATTCCGGGAAGGAAAGTAGTTTGGTAACGGTGCAGCTGCGTCTAGGACCAGCATATGCTGGCTTGTATTTATATAGTTAGGGTTTGGGCTAGGCCGGATTAGGTTAGCGGATGTATTGGTGAAAGTGGAATTTGAAAATTATGATATCATATGGTATGGGGTGTATTGGCAAATACCAGTTTCTATCTGCTTTTTGTAAGAGTACTATAGACGAAGAATAAACAAAGAATACATGTATATCATAATAACGCAGACAACATAAGCATAGAATGCTACATTCACAGTTCAAGCCGCCATCAAATCGACAAAATCACCCCAACTATGCCCGAAACCCGCATAATAATCCACCCTCAAATGCGTAACATAGACCTCCTCAGCAACCTTCCGGGCCTCCTTGACCAGACTGCGCAGCTTAGAGCCTTGTATGCTATCTGGGACAGAATGGATGACCGCGCAGAGCTGTCCACGGTTGTTGTCGGATAGAGTTTTGAATACCTTTGCTTTGCGACGCTCTTGGAAGGTATCGTATGTTGCTTCGAAGACTACGATGGAATCGGCTGTTGATAAGTAGCGGGAGTCGGGGACGACGCCGGGGTTGTGGAATACCTGGTTATGTTAATTATCACAGAAGTGCACGAACTGAAGCGCATTGTGAACAAGGTAGGGTAGAAGCATCGACTTGAGTAGACAAAACGTACATGATTATCAGGACCCAGCCCCGAACTCCCCTTTACCAAGTCCCTGAGTTCCTGAAAATACCCCAAGGCACGATCATCATATTCCTGCGGCGTCTCATCGAAGAATATACCCTGGACCGCGAGGTCCGGATTAGAACCGTTAACTGGCCATCCTGCATACGTCTCAACATCTCTGCGCACGAGGCCAATATCACGATTTGTATAAGTAATCGGAACGTATCCCAAAAGCCGCACATTAGAGTATAGAGCAAGCCTTGGTATCTCACGCGTGTAATTCGCATCCGGCAGGGCATTCGGACCCGGCCCATTGCCAGGATTAATCACAACGTTAAAATTAACACTCGGGTGTGTGGCGACTCTGCAGTGCTCAGTTCCTGTTCTAAATACAGCACAGGAAGAAACTCAGGTGGCAACATACACATTCTCCAAAGGCGTCCACGCGCCAGGAGCAGGATACACATAGAGAGGGACAAAAACCTTCGATTTCGGTCCCATGTTTTCCTTTCGGAGTGGGACGACTACTGTTGGAGGGATGGTGATGGCTAGGATCAGAACGAGGGCAATGAATGCTAAGAGGCGGGAACGCTTGCTCTGGAGAAACCGGTTGTTTGCCAGTTTTTGGAAGTTCATTTCGGGCAGCGATATGGCTCAGCATGCAGAGATAGGAGAGGCGGGATATAAGGCTTGTCCAAGGTGATAGTGAGTTGTATGTTACACAATTGCATGAAATATTCTTTCTGCATCGCCATTGATTGTTACATTAGCTTCAATGTCACTCTATACAACTCATCGTTGATTTTCATGGGTAATGATACCAGGAAGAGTAATTGATAGGTTTATCAAATTGGCTCTCCCAACTTTGCCAATATAAAATTGATTGATGCTCAAGTGAGCATGTATAAATAAGAGAGATCCAATTCTAAGAGGTGCTTTGAAGTGAAAGAATCAGTTTCTTCAAACATTCACAGTAATGCAAAATGTGCTTTCAACTACGAGCCTTTATTCTGTTTGCCAACCAAAGCGTCTCACTTATAAGAAGCAATTAATATCCTAATCAACCCTCTCTACAACTGCTACAAGGTAATGATGAGTTGATGATTACATGTGTTTGTTGGCTGCCTAGCGCTGACCATAACTACAGAAACTCACCCCTGATACTACGATGTCACCTACCAAGCACGAACAAAACGACCAAAACACAAGATGCTCTCCTACCTTGTCGTATGCGGAGCTACGGACCACAGAGATGGCCACGCCTTCTCCGACTTTAAGGGATACCGCATGGCATTTTGAGAACGGGGAGTTGAAGGAGACTTTCTGTCATGCTTTCCACTAGAGGAGCATCTCATGTAGTTTCAGAACGAGCACAATCTACCGATCTACGTTATAAAGCTCGGAAAAACCGGCCCTAGCGGTGCACAGGCCATATATACCTATTCCAGACAAGTGTATTTGGATGGTTGTCGTTGGTTCACGCAAGTTGGTCCACATGAACTGCTAGCTCGGGTAGAATAATGAATAGCAAAGATAAAGGGACAAACTCAGGAAGGAGACGTTGTCAACATCATACTCGAAGGTCGCAGGACAAATAGTGGAGAATACTGTATTGGAGATAAACAGATTCATCCATCTGTCTTTCGTGACCTTCTGTCTGGGTTTAAGACAGGCGTACAGGTGAAAGCCATTTCTGGGGCTTACCCAGGCCTGTTTGACGGCGTTATCCGATCATCAGAACCAAGAGATCGCTACACCGATAGTATATGCCCTGCTACACGCAGCATCAGCAATCGAATTCGCAATAGTCAGCATACATATCCATTCGTACAGTCCCTGGCGAAGATAACCCTTCCTCGGGGACGGGTATCTTGGAAAATCCGTAACCACGAAGCATTCATGACAGAGCAGTTCATCAACTTGACACCCAGTGGCACCGATATAAAGCCCCAACTTTATGCGAGTGAGCCACTCGATGGCATGTCAGCGGTTGAAGAACTGATTTTCCGAGAGAAGGTGGACGTCCTATACGACCCTAAGGTATGCGCACGTCGCCACCGGATTGAATGGCCCACCAGCGATTCCCTAATCCGTGATACCATCTGCCAGGATAGCCAGTTAGTAACAGGTTCTGCAAAGGCTGTCCTTGACAGTGAAATTTCGAGGTGTGATCCGCGTAGCGGCTACGTACCTGACATTGTGGTCTTTGATCAGCTCTATGCTTGGTCGCCGGACTGGCGAGGGATGCTCCGCAACTTGTATTGGCGTGCCCGACGTCAATCGGCAATTTGGGACGTCTTTAAGCTCCTTGTCGCTCGTGGCTTGTTTCATCCACGTTGATTTACTGTCCCAATGGATACGGATGCGAAGTCCGTAGTTTCTAGGATTGTCAGTTCTCTTGTTTTCTGTCTCTCTTTCCCTGGTCAGGATGATGACTTCATCATCGGTGGCAAGATACCACTGCAGTCCGCGTGTTGGTATGAAGATATTCATTGGTATACACTTTCCTCCCTTTCCTTTCTTCCCTTTTCGATCTGATGATACTGACAATGGCATGCTGAAAACCATAATAGTGCGGAGTGGCGTCGAGCTCGAAAAGCTCTTCCAGATCATCCTAGAAAGTGGATTCCTCGGCGAATGTAACATGCAGTATCTGAACTGGTTCAAAGAGGGACAAACCTAACGCAACAATCGCTCAGAACTCACGAGATGGAGAAAAATTCATAATGCCTGACGGAACAGTCATACCGAAGAATGGCACTGAAACTTTCGGTTTTTGGCTGCCACATGGCTTAGAGGGCACGGACAATGTGAGATTTGCGGCTCAGGTTCATCAGTGCAAGGAACGGTTCAACAAGATCGAAGAAGCGTTTCGAGAGGTCGAGGGGGTTCCTAGAGAGAAGTTGTGGCTTGAGTCTGAACAGGCCGAGGTCTTCGAGCAGCATCCCGAGCTTTTGCCTGGTGATGAAAATGACACCCTCCCCCCCCAAACACGAAGTAGTAGTATTGTTCTCACTGGCATGGATGTCTCTGGTCTGTAAACGTGCAAAAAGTGCACTGTTGGTTTGATAAGAGTGTAGTCAGATCACAATCGGCACAGCACAACCCAAGATAACAAGGACGGGATGCAGTCATTGTCCACCAGCGAGCTGTATGCTGCACGATTAATCTTATTTTCCGTTCTAGTAACGATATTATTGTTGTTCTCGATATAAGTTCGAGTCATATAGAGTTTATTGCTCTTATCTCTAGTAATACACACATTATGATTTCATGACCACCGGTGATCCATTACAAAACGAGAGAAGACGAAATAAAAATAGAACAATTCCTAGCAATCTAGCCACCAATGCATAGCATTCTTTGTCTCCGAGGTATTGGCAATGTTAAAATGATAGGTTGAGGGAAAGAGATAAATAATCTCGAGTGGATCTGATAGCGTAAGTCTGAAGAGGATTGCTAGAAGGTGAAGAGCATATTCAGCCGATAACAATTGGGGTGTTGACAGGTGGGGCCAGCCGGCCAGCCATAAGTTGTCGAGAACGAACACGTCCGTCTCGAGTTGCAGATAGACGTCTTGAGAAAATTAGAAGGAGGTCTTATGGTAAAAGACATGTCGAAAGCGAGCGTTGATGGTCATAGGTTTGGTTCCAGTTCGGATGTGAATGTGCATCATCGATAAAAAACGAAGAAGACGACGACCTTTCCTATCATAATAGGAGAACGCGGGAAAGACCGATCGTAAAGATAAAGGAATCAACCGATTGTTTAGCGTAGACAAGAAGCTTCAGAAGATGTAGAGAAGGCGGGCGATCCTTCTTCACACGCAGTGGAAATGGAACCGGAAGATACCGAAGAAGGGCTGCTTGCCTCGTCGAATATCGGCACTACCGACACATGAAGCTTCTCAACCGGGTCCCTGTTCTGAACGCTGGTACAGATATTTTCAATCGCTGTTTGAAGACGTTTCCGGTAACGAGTAATGATTGCCTTTTCATCGTTTCCCAAGTAGTGCTGCAATAGTCGGGCGCCGTGGACTCCGTACTCTCTTCACACCCCAGCCTTGCGTCCTTGATCGACGGATGAGAAATTATGTTAGTGATAAGTCTCGCCCGACGGTAGAACAAGTTTGGCTGTCGGCAGACTAATATTCCGAGAGTTTCTCAATTTCATAAGCATAGTGATTACTTTAGTTTCTGGGGGGGTTACCTCGCATAGTACCCCCCACCAGATAGCCCGAGCCAAAGTCCGCTCCTGGATCCCAGTGGTGTCAGTTACTATTCCACCATGATAGATATGGGGTAACATACCTTGATTAGAAGCGTGTTCAGCTTTCTCGCCTTCTTCAGTTGCCGAGTTAATTCCTCTTCACGCCAACGCTGCTCTATGACCTTAGGGGCATCGTGAGCGTACCGGTGCAGAGCTTCTGCGATCACTTCGAAACCTAGCGCGGTAATGCTGGCGAATTTGCAAATTGAGATATGGTCTGCTTCGATGCCCATACATTCGGTGCCGCGAATGCAGGGTGCAGCGCCACCCTCATTGATGATAATTTGCTTGGTCGCCTTAATGTTTATAGCACGCGTCTCATACAAGAAGAATATGTTGAAGCGGTTTATAACCTCGGAAAATAAGACGTTGATATTCTTTATAGTCTCGCTATCCCTTTATAGGGCTTTATCAGATTAGGGTTACTCTCCATGAGCTTCCTAGGCACCACGGCGTGAAAGATGTTCTCTAGAATGCTCTCCGACTTGGCAATATTCGACCCATTATGCGGAGTTCCGAGAAATATAATCCTGTATGTAGGGATGAACGGAGAGCGTAGGTGAGCGACTTTGCCGCTGGTAATGTTGTGACAGTGTATTAACATACACTTGACCACGAGGCCACCGAGGGAATGACAGACGAATACTATGGGTCTTTGCATCCAATTGCGAAGCTTAAAAAAATAAAAAAGAGAAGTAGAATTCAACATTAGCGAAAATATCGTTCTGGTAAGGTAGGATACTAACATTGCGGTTGACGATAATGCTCTGGGCCAAAGTCTCTCCGTGGTTATGTATAAAGTCGCAGGAGGTTGCCTCCCTCCAATCCGCCACCACCTCCGTATTGTACCCGTACGTAAGTATGCGGGTGTTTTGTATAAATTTTGGCAATAGGTCAACACTCTGGCAGTCTCCCAGGTATCGTGGGGGTGGCCATTCAGTCCGTGCACAAGTATAACGTCTACCAACGCGTACTCGGGGCAGTATATTTCTGTGAGGCCATAGGGTTAGATCGTACGTCGGGCACCCATGGTGTTAGCGCGATGCGGGCGTGTAGTAGAATGATAAACTGCGCGAAATGAAGTTGAAATCATGTATAGCATCACGTCCCCCCTGAAGGAGCCGTCATGATCGGTTGAGATTGGCGAAGAATCACGGTTCAAATGCTAAGCTCCTATGCCTGGTGTAGCTGGAAGGAAATGTATGAATTTCCGGTGGTCGATATGGGTGTCGACAAAGGACTGCTTTGGAAACCGTTAATTTTCTTCTCTTGAAGTGTAAGTCCACAAACAAAAACTTACTGTCGACGTCTTCCTTGATAGAACTAAGCGAGTCACGGCAGTGACTGCTGGAGTGCGATCCATCCAGAGGAGCAGTTGCGAGGACTCGTCTCGGGGAGAGTGGGGAACACCCTCCTGAGCAACAGAATAGCCCGCGGGAGCAGCAGTATAGTGGGAGGGGCGTCAGGAACTGTACAAGCCAGACAGAGGGGACCCTGCCTCGCGTGTCGAACGGGTGTACAGGTCAAGAGTATAGGGCGGACGCAGCTATCACGAATGAAGAAATCAGACCCGCAATTGTATATAGTGAGAATGAAGAATCCAAGCCAAGAGATTAAATTCAAACAGAGGAAATGGAGGTAGTTACGGAGGTAGAAAAGGCAACGAAGGCGGCCATGGGCCGACAACGGTATATGACTGCCGCCTAAATGATTCACGCTATCATGACTTCTTCACAGCATAATTAAGTAAATCAATTGGTACATATATAGGCAATAAACCCCGAATCAAACTGCTGCGGCCTGTTGTGCTATGATGAATAACTGTATACATCCAGATCCCATGTCACTCCTTTTATGGTCCCCTTGAAGTTGACACTCAGTCCTGATAGAAGTAGAAATTATCACTCCACACAGCCGCCCTGAACAACAAAGTTTGACTCAGCTTGCTCGATCTTTTATATCATCCTCTGTTTCAAGGTACCATTCCATGGGAAAGCTAATTGCTATGCTCATACAGGGTAACGAGCAATGGATCCAATGGTAATCCTTTCCCCATAACGTCATTCAACTGATACTAGCCTTACTGTTGGTACAATTTAGTGACAACGCTGGAGACTACTCGTGTAATTGAAACGAAGTGGAGATAACTAGGGAGATATCTACTGAGAGAAGTGCAGGGGACGCCCGTGTAACAATCAGTAGACTGCGGGGAACGTTGGCGATATATTCTTTCGGGGCCAATATCACTGGATTTAGAATCTGTTCATTAATCTAAATAATCATGGTTTTTGCTAGTAATCAGATGTTGAATAGGCCTTCTCATTGGCATGGATGTTCCTGGTCTGTAGCAGGGTTGGAGCTGTCGGAAATACCGTACCTTGAAAGGAAAGAATAATCGGGATTTGCTTGCGGTGCCTCTTGTTAAGCCTCGGAAGAACGGTGGGAAATGTTGGGAAGGATGCGGGATCTAGCAGTCCCTCCTTAGCTGCGACTAGCCGCATTGGAGCACTTTCATAATGCATGTCTGTGCAATGACAGCTCAGCCAAACAGTGAGCATTATCCCCTACTTCGCCATCTGGGCCGTACATTATAGCTAGAAATAACTAAAATGTATCACAACATGAGGCTGTGACCGAGTACTTGAGGGTTCAGCGTGGTACATCTCTGACTGCTCATCTCACAGTGTTCGAAGTGTAATCCTGTCTCCTCACTGAGACACTGTGGTGGTTTGATAAACATGTCTCTTTCGGGGAGTGTGATTACATTACATGAAATGCTCTCCAGGCACTGTGCCGGTTCAGGGTATGTTTTTCGTTTGCTTTTTTTTTTTTTTTTTTTTTTTTTTTTTCGAGGCTGATTTTCTTTTTTTGATTGCTATACGTTTTGGCAGTAGACTCGTGCCAGTCACCCTGCGTCCGTTATATTAGAACAGAGTCCGTCTGCATCGCGATCCGCCCTGCTTGATCGACATTTCTGCAAGTTTGCCGTTTCGATTTGATCCATGATGGAGACTCCGGACCGATATGACTCGAGCAGTCCTTTCGAGTATTGCTTCCCGCTTTCCCTAGATTCACCGACAACGGACGCATCAGTTTTATTTGATAGCGATGGCTATTTCGAAGAGCTGCAGAGTGATTCTCCTTCTGACCGGTACATACTGGTCACCGGTGGACTGGGCTTCATTGGCAGTCACACGACTTTGGAACTTCTCAAAGCGAATTACAACGTTATCATAATAGATAACCTCAGCAACTCTTTCCTAAGCGTTTTGGAGAGAATTAACTTCCTGGCGCCCACTTATCATGAGCAGAGAGGGACCAAAATGCCGTTGTTGCGGCTGCATTCCCACAACTTTCGAGATCAACGAGCACTGCGGCAGTTGCTTGAAGAGTACCGGATTCCGTCGGAAACGGGTCATCCCACGTCCAGAATTGCCGGTGTCATCCATTTTGCTGCCCATAAAGCAATCGAAGAGAGTATCCGGGAGCCGTTGAAGTACTATGCGAACAACGTAAGCGGACTGATAGATTTTGCGGCAACTTTGGGCGAATTTGGTATCAAAACGTTCATCTTTTCTTCCTCTGCCACAGTATACGGGACCTTGGCGACTTCTGGCCTTCCTCTGAGAGAGGAGCTTTGCGTCCATAGAGAACAGATCATTAGAGACGACGATGGAGTCGACAGAATCGCAAAACCCGGTTGCACGGGAATCACTAATCCCTATGGCCGCACGAAATGGATGTGCGAGACAATCCTAGCTGACTTGGCCGCTTCAGACCCTGAATGGACAATCGTAAACCTGCGATATTTCAATCCAATCGGTTGCGATTCTTCCGGTCTTCTGGGTGAAGATCCGAAGCAAATCCCAACGAACCTCCTACCGACTGTTGTCAAGGTCATCACGGGGCAGTACAAAGAGCTGCAAGTGTTCGGAACAGACTGGGAAACTGAGGATGGCACCGCCGTTCGTGACTTCATCCATGTCACTGACCTTGCCCGAGGACATATCGCTGCTCTCAACGCCGCAAATGACGATAAACTAAAGGACAACTTCCGGACATTCAACCTCGGTGCAGGACATGGCCATTCCGTGATGGAAGTGGTAAGCGCCATGGAGGAGGTCTCTTCCAAGCATATTCCGGTGAGGGCTACCGGGCGGCGCCCTGGGGATGTTGGCTCATGTGTTGCTGTGGCCAGCAGGTCTCACGAGGAGCTTGATTGGAGGACAGAGAAGACGTTGAGAGACGCGTGCTCGGATATCTGTCATTTCTTGAATGTTAGTGGTCTGTCTTCATAGGTCAATATGGTGGCCAGGCCTCTGAAGAGAAAGTGCATTGCAATTGGGCGGCATTTTGATTATTTTGTTGTTTTTTAATTGCATGGCGTTGGAGCGTGTATGATATATGTATCCTTAATGCCCTGAATTCGATACACCACATATATATATTCACCTGATCTGTACCGAGATTCTACAAGCAAATGACGACCCGTGGTGTCCAATGCGGAAGTCGAACTATTCCAAAGCCCATGTTGGCACCAAATGAAGGGGAGTCTTGTTCTGTATCTTGAAGTCTATAGTCGTCTTCAACTTCATTTCTGCTGGGCTACAGGCCACAAAAACAATTGTCGGAGAAAAGTGCACGTGACTTCACCTCCGGCTTGGCATCAAATTCATCCCGCAGTTTTCAGCAAAAACTATCTCCGTGCCGGGCCTCTACATCCACCAGTCCGCACCGAATTGACCGAACCCTTCAGAGGTCCCAAGAACCTCGTCTGGATATCTCCCGGCTTTCAATTGCCCGACAATAACCCCCAAAGCCGCCACCATGATTTGCCAACGCTGTCGCACCGGCATCCTCTCGCGCCTCCAACCGCAAACCCTCACACGGGCAACCTCAGCCCCAACCCCCTCACCCATTCGCCAAACCTCCCTCCAACGCCCCCAATTCCACCAAACCCGTCCCTACAGCGACAACAAGCCCTCCGTCTCCGCAACCCCCCCACCACCCAAACCCCGCCAGCCCATCGCGGACGACATCTCAATACCCTCCGCCGTGTCCTCGGCCACCCCCGGCGTTTCGCAACCGCTCAGCACCTCCGGCGCCGTGCATGCAGACGTGCACCCGGAACAGCCGGTGAAGCAGGCGCCCAGGGTTGTTAGCAGCTGTGCGGCGGGAACGAAGTTGAATGGCTTGAACTATTTTAAAAATAAGCCAGATGTGTTTGCGCGCGAGGATGAGGAGTATCCGGAGTGGTTGTGGGGGTTGTTGCAGGAGTTTGAGAGCAAGAAGAAGGCGCAGGATGGGGGTGTTGATCCTAGTAGTATGTTCCTTTTTTCTTTGGTTTTTATGGGTGTTTGGGAGAAATTGTGCTAATTGGATGAACAGCTCTGAACAAGAAGGGCCGGAAGAAGTTGGAAAAGAAGCTCGCTGCTCAGGCTGCTGCCATGCCCCCGAAGATCCCCGTCCACCACCAAGCTATCGATATCACGCCCGCGTCCTACAACCGTCCTGAAGCCGGAGATATCTTCACAGAGGCTACGGCGAGTCTCGAGAAGCGGACCGAGATCACGAAGAGCGCACGCGAGGCTAGAAGAAAGGAGATTCGGGAGTCTAACTTCTTGCGCGGTCTTTAAACACCAGGCTAGGTCGTTTATTGCATGGTTTTGTGGAGGACTGTGTACAATTGAGTCGATTGAGGCTCCAAAAGACATTGAACATGTATTTTTACGGCAATTTCCTTTCATGCGACGCTGTGTTTTGATGTACATGAAGGCGCTTAAATGGAATATCTTGGGGTTTATTCTTTCGAATGATAAAAATGAATTGATTTACACACGTCTTCCACGAATACCAATAAATACACGCAATAACCTGGGTATATGACCTGCCTCCCTCAACCAAACCTAGGAAACCTAACCTCACTTCGAAATCTTCCACTTCGTAGTCTGACCCTGCCCATACAACCACGGTAAACACGCATCCCACAAAGCCTTAATCTCCCCCCGACCAATCCCCATCAACTCCCGCCACAGCTGATTATCCAACTTCTCCGTCCAAGCCAAATAAGCCATCAGGATGAAATCCGCATAACTAGCAGTTTCCCCCTCAAAAAACGGCCCCGTCTTCCCATACCGCCCCCTCAACATCTGCGCCAACGTCTCCACCTCCCTCTTAATACTCTCCGTAATCATGCGCAAACCATCCGGATCCGAAGGCCTCAGTTCCGACAACGGCTTTCCAAACATCGCCGACCGCGTCTTGATAAAGTACTCCCGTCCCTTCTTGTCGAGGATCTTGGGTACGTGCGGGATCACGAGGACTAGCGATTTCAGCACCGCGTTGCTGACTAGTTTACCCACGGCCAGGGAAAGCGCGTAGCTGGCGTCGCCGTTGGGCCAGAGGGGGCGCTCGGGATAGAGACGGTCGAGGTGGTGGGCGATGGGGAGGGAGTCCATCATTGCGCCTGTTGCAACGCGGATGGAGGATGGGTGGTAGATTGCGGGTAGGGTGTAGGCGAAGGGACCTTCGGGGTAGGAGGTTACTTGGAGGGAGCGGAGGAGGGGGGTGATTTCGGGGTAGGAGATGAAGGATTGGGTGTAGGGGATGTTTTTGTAGTTGAGGACGAGGCGAGTTTTGTTGGTGTTGAAGGACCATGCTTTTGTGTTGTCTGTTTGGGGTTATTCTATGTTAGCGATTCTGAGTGGGATTTGGATAAGAGGAAGGCGCGAGGGGTACCTGGGAGTTTCGACTCGACGTCGAAGAAATGGACCGGTGTTTCTGCCATTGTGACGGTTTAGTGAGATAGCAGAGGTGCTGTTTTGTCTATAATGTTGTCATTGGGGTGTCTGTTGTGCTGGTGTGACAAAGTTGAAGGCGCGAAGAACTTTTTTGTTCGATGGCGGAATGCCGTCATCCTTCCCAATGCGGCGGAACGGAAGATATAGATCTTTACCGATGCGACTTCATTATGTTGAATTCTTTTACTGCTTTGATGAATTTGCCAGATAGTTTGTGATTCCGTGTTTTGCTATACTAAGCACTTCTGTACTATATACTGCAGGTCAAGTCAATGCTTGTTGAAGGCTCCGATACGACTGCTTGCGCCTGCGCAATGGCATACTACCGGTGATGCGGTTGATAACCGATCCGGTCAAGAGCTCAGAGAAGAAGAATCATATCATATGCAAAATAAATACACAGGCAAGAATCCCTGAATGTTGTTGACCACGGCTTCCCTGTATGCTTGTAATGTTCCCCACCTGGTGATAGAGGGGCATTGAGATCTTCAACCGGGGTTATTTCGGCGGGAGATCCATGGGCTGGATTGATCGAGTACCCTGGTCATAGAGATACTCCGTACAGGGGGCGGTTTCGATTCGAGTTATATTCCAGTATGTTGTTGTGTCGGTCAAGGAGACTGGCTCTAGAATGTATATTCTGTACGGATGGTGATGCCCGATCTAATACGCGGGCCAGTCATGTGGAGACAACAACTCAACGCCCAGCACCACTTCTCCTGCTACCTGCCTTTTCCATCCTCTTTTCTTCTTCTCACGACCCATCTCTAGCTTCATCATTTTTATCCCTGAAGCATTTGATCTTCATACTCATTTCCACCGGCTCCATCTGCAGATAAACAAACTCGCACTACTGCATCTCCGGCCAGCCGGTAACGCATTGATCAATAGAGGGACCGGTCCATACACCTCTTAAGGTGACAGTTGGTCTCATTCAAGCACAATATTTGCTTAGCTCTATTCGATTAGCAAATCCCTATCATCACAACAAACGAAACAAAATCAGGAGAAAGAAAAAAAAAAAAAAAGAAAAAGAAAAGAAAAGAAAAGAAAAAGCAAAATGGCGAAAACCACCGCGATGAAAGAGGAGGTGCACAAGCTCGTGCAGAAGACCAGTCACCTCGCACTAGGCTCTCCCCCTGACCCAAGCGCAGAACCAGCTATTCCCCATGCCGCAGAAGGGCACGAGGCTGTCGCGGCATTCTCGCCCACAATGGCGTCGTACCTGGAGTTGATCTACAAGTCCGTGTTGACCTCTGAGTCGTGCAGATCAGACTTCCTCCAGAAGGTCCAGAGCGAGTCTTCTGATGGAAAGGAACATGCAGATCCACTTTCCTCGTTGGCAGACTTCCAAGCATACATGGCTAGTCCGGCTTCGGCTGCATTGCGACCTCCACACAAGCAGGATACTTCGGCCCCTATCTCGGACTATTTCATCTCGTCCAGTCATAATACGTATTTGACGGGTAATCAACTCTACAGTGACGCTGCTGCCAGCGCATATACGAACGTATGTTTGCTTTTCCTTGTGCACTCCTGAATCATGACTGTTCGATTATTCGGGGTGGGATTGGCGGCTGGTGGCTGCAGGTCCGGGGATGTGCATTCCTTCCGTCATTGCATATGCAGTCATACCACGGCAATCCCTGACTGGCCACCTGCTAACGTAATATAGGTTCTCCTTGGTGGCTGCCGATGTGTAGAGATTGACGTCTGGGATGGACAAGCTGACTCAGACGACGAAGACACCAGTAGCAGCAGTAGCAGCTCAGACGACGAGAAACCTCATAAGAAGGAGCAGAAGGAGCGTCAAAAGCACAAGAGACTGGAAAAAGAAAAGAAGGCAACTAGCCGCAGGTCCCGCATTAATGATGCCGTCTCTTCCAAGCTGGGCGGCATTATGGGCAGCAAGTCTACACCCCAAGACGCATCTACTGTTGGTGATGGCAATGCCCAGGACCATCCGGCTCATATACCGCAACGTCCGGAGCCTAGAGTGCTCCACGGTCACACACTCACCAAGGGGACGACATTCCGTGATGTCTGCAATGCGATCCGCGACAGTGCCTTTGTCGCCAGCGACTTACCGGTAATTGTCAGCTTGGAGGTTCATGCCTGTCTCGAACAGCAGGAGATTATGGTGGAGATCATGCAGGAGGCGTGGAAGGGGTTCTTGATCACCATCACACCGGAAATGTTGAACAGCCCATGCATGCCTATACTGGAGGATTTGAAGCGGAAGATCTTGATTAAGGTGAAATGGCTGCCAGAGTCGGTTAGTGGCGAGGCGAATGAAGCCGTAGAGGATCTTGAGGAGCTCGAGGGGGTGCAAACACAGAAGTCACAGGAAGGATCCACAGCGCCACCACCAAAGCCTTCTAAGATCTTGAATGCTCTGAGTCGACTAGCTGTCTACACCAAGGGATTCAGCTTCAAGCGCTTGGATCAACCAGGTATGTACCCTGTACTATAATTCGATAAACCCAACTAACCATGATACAAGAGGCAAAAATACCCGGCCACGTATTCTCGCTCTCCGAAAGCGCCGCCAAAGAAACATCCCAAAACTACCGCGATGCTCTATTCGAACACAACCGGAGCAATTTCATGCGCGTGTACCCCTACGGTCTCCGCGTGAACTCCTCCAACCTCGACCCAGCCTTCCACTGGCGTCGCGGCGCGCAGATCGTCGCCCTAAACTGGCAAAACCTCGACAAGGGCACTATGCTGAACCACGGCATGTTCCGAGGAGAACCCGGATGGGTGCAAAAGCCACAGGGTTACCGAAGCTCCGAAAAACCCTTTACTCTGATTACTCAACGAACTCTAGATCTCTCGATTGAGTTCTTCGCCGCACAGGACCTCTCCCTTCCACCCGGCGACACGAAAGAGAAGAGCTTCCATCCGTACGTGACCACCTGCCTGCACATCGAACAACCGGGAGAGGAGACCGGTGCCGGGGCGGACGACGACAGCACGGATACGGAGAAGAATTACTACAAGCGGACCATCAAGAGCTCTGTCGGGGTGACGCCCGATTTTGGTCCTCAGACGATCGAGTTTCCGCAGGTTGCAGGGCTCGTTGAGGAATTGAGTTTCGTCAGGTGAGTACACCCAGTCTCCCCTAAGATATTAGACCAGTCTAACAACGGGCAGATTCAAAATCAAGGACAACGAACTCGGCCGCGACTCCATGGCAGCATGGACGTGCATCCGACTCGACCGGTTGCAGAGTGGCTATCGTCTTCTTCACTTCCACGACTGCACCGGGTGGAAATCGGGTGGTGTGGTTTTGGTGAAGATCACCAAGAATATTTCTTAGAACTTTCGCTGGCAGGATTTGGCTCTGTATAGCAAGCAATACCGGCAGAATGAAATGCACATACGAAATCGATTTTCTCGAGCTCTGGCCGCTTGCCTCTTTCCGTGTTAGTGCTCAATCTGAGCCCTCCCTGAGCAGCTTGAGTTCATAACTGAGCAGAGAGTGAGCCGATGGGTGCGCAGCCTGAGTAAGGTAGCCTCAATAAAATGCACCCAACCACTTGGTTCTAGACTCCTTCATGCTTTGTTGAATGGGGGTTATGTATTCATGTTTTTTATTTTTCTTTTTGCGATCATGAAAGTATTTATGAAAGCATACATAAGACATATTTAGTAAATTAAGACTATAACTTACATCACCTCAATTTCGACACAGTATCATGAGACCGAAGCCGCACATGAACAGACTGCGCAGCTTCTTCCATAGAGCTAATAGTAACATGCTCCTCACGAACAAGCTCATCCCCAAGACCATGATACAGCACCGGCAAAAGCGAAGATTTCCAAAGAGAAAGCTTATGTTCCCGATTGACCAAGATCGTCGATACCAAGAAGACAATCCCCAACAGCAGAACCATAGCAGGGAGGGCAAGAAAGCCCCAATCCACAGACACATACACCTCCGGCACAGCGACTGTGCCATTGACGGTAAAGTTGCTGACGTCTAGACTGTATTTGATCAGGGATGCGGCGATGTTGGTGAGAACGCTCTCCAGACTGGACGTTAGGACCCTTTGCAGGTTGGGTGGTGTGGCGGCTTTCATTGAGTACCAGTGTGTTTCGTTTGTGGCATCGATGGTTTTGTTTGTGCATGATGTGAGGAGGTCGGTGAGGCTTGGGTATAGAGTGTCTACTGGACAGATTGCGAATTCGTCGATGTCTTGGAAGACATATGCGAGGCTTGTGTATGGGTCTTTTGAAATCAATGACATGTTCTTAGGGTAGCCGTGCGCTGGCTTCCAGCAGGTTGCTGTATTATTGGTGACGTTTGTTCCATCGGGTAGGGTTAGAATATCAACGTCGTGCTAGTAGGAGAATATTCGCCCATAATCAGTCGAAGTAGGAATGACAGATAATTCCCCTCCAGAGACAGTAATATCGTATGTCCGAGCACACATGAATATCACACATTCCGCCACGCGGGTGATTGAGAGGATTTTCTCGCCATTGACAGGAAGTCGTACATCACTGGAGTTACTTTGGTGCAAGTCCAGTTCCGCGTGTGCAAGAACAAAAAGGGGGTCATTCACCCCCTGATAAGTCTGATTCCAGCTGTCATCCTCCCCATTGACTACCCAGATGATATCGAGTGGGATAGTTATGTGGAAACCATCATTGCCAGGATTGTCAGAGTACTGCTGATATGATTGAATTCTGATCGGACTTTCGGACCATGCTCCATGAGGAAGCGTGACATTGCATGGTACCCACAGATGAGTGTCATTTATGCTGGTGCTGTTGAAGCTGATGAAATTATCGCAACCGACAAGCGTGGCTAAGGAGGTCACGTCTTCACATTTAGTACAGCAGCCCGTGGACAAAAAGGGAGACTAGGTACAATTTCCGGATGGGCAGTTTGCATTAGTTGGAAAGTCCTCCGACCAGAGCCCAGCGTTCATTGCATGAATGAACTTGTTATCTATTCTGCCGCCTTTGAAAGCCAGGAGAAAGGGAATCTCGCTTGTGTGGCGGTTACAACGCTCGATGTGCTGTTCACCAGTCGAACAGGATAACTAATGACCTGCTGCATGAAAGGATCAAAATCCAGAGCAATAATTGTGGTGAAAGTACCGATGAAAATAAGATAATGGCCTGGATGTTGGCGTTGGAATAGAATCATGAGCAAGCCCATCGGTCTACGGCTGGCGTCGTAAAACGATTGTAAATGATATAGCTGGCGCTGGTGTCCCTGTTGGAACCAGATCATTTCAATTGACCAATTGCGGTGCCAATAATGCATAGTAAGGATGATTTGGAGGCCGTTGCAAGGACAGACACGATTGTATTCAGTGTCTGCCCTCGTGGAAGACTGGGAGATGGCTTTTTGTCGTAGATTATCAGGAGACACGTGATAGCGATGAAGCAAAGCACACTGAAAATAACTGAAACCAACTCCCAAAACCAAGTCTCAAGGCTCCGGATTTTCCAATTTGAGTCTCTGTTCTTTGTCCTGGGGACTCTGCAATCTGGACTGGTCATTTTGGTCCTGTGTCTTGGTGGTGGGAATTTTAAGCATGGTACAATAACACGTAACATGGAGATGCTGGGAAAGAGAAGAAGATATTGGAAAAGATGGAATGGGAACAGCAGGAATTGTGTTGGGCGCTCTGTTTCCCCTTTATGAATGAGTGATCAGCAACAAGGTTGTATGTAGGAACAGTTTCCTCAAATCGACTGAATTGGGGCTATCGAAGGTGTTCTCGAGATCGAAAACTTCGCAGATCTACCTACTAATGGGTCAGAGCGGCCTTCCCCCAGGGAAATCCGTCTCATCCCGAGCACTAATACTATTATTAATTCCGACGCTAGGCCATCGTATATCAGGGCGATAATGAGCGTGTATGATGGGTCGGAGCGTATAGGGATAATTTGCACCCAAGCCGTAGATAGAAGTCAAAGTTTGATTCAGTGAGGATGGTGATCATAGACTTACTCTAGCTCCTGCAGATGGGCGTGGTATCATGATAACACACATCTTGCACTCTATCAGTAAGTACAAATATGATATTCCATCAATTCCTCTTTTCTTTGTATAGCAGTGTGAGGCCATGATACCATCTATCAACAGAAATCCTAGCACGCCTGCTTCAAGAATGACATGCTAGATCTTGGTCCAAAATGTACCTAGAACCTGCGATATCACGACATCCGGAACCTCACGCTCCGATATACAGTGCGCTGTGTTCTGTGTTTGGGCATCAAGGTCAACAGCAACTAGGACAACGGAGTAGTACCACCGAGGATCACCGCAGAGATCGTCTGGGGCATACTATGATAAGATGCGTACAGAGTAGTTTCAGCTGAGACTGAGAGAAAGCCTATTGGTTAGAACTAGAATGAAAGGGTGGACCCTATGCATGGTTCAGCTGAAGTTCGACAGTGGAGAAATAGACATTACCTTCGGGTTGGGTGCGTTACTAGGAGGTGTGTTGTTGTAGTAGTAGTAGTAGTAGTAGTAGTAGTAGTAGTAGTAGTAGTAGTAGTATTAGTAATATATAGTTTCTTACTCTCTATAGAATGCTAATTGGATGGGTGTGCAAACTGCAAACTCTTTAACACTTATGTTGCTGCGTATGTGCCTATACAGATTATTGCACACAGCATTTTCCGCAGCTCAGCTGGTGGATCTCACCTGCCAGCTGTTAGTGGATCCTCCATGCATTGGGCGAAGTGCGGGCGCTTTAATCCAGATGAAAAGAGAGAAAAAGAAGAAAGCAGGGCGCTCGTGAAGCGATGCGGATCCTCCAGTTTCTTCAGCCCACCACGATCGCGCCATGAGTTCGAACACTATATATTAGCTAAACCCGCCATGTAATTGAGGGCCTTCAATTCGTCCTCATGCCATCACTTTACTCACCATGTCTACTATGGAGACCCTCAAAGCCCTCACGGCAGACCAAATCGAGAAGGGAATTAACGATTCCTCCGTCTCCCCCCAGCCCCTACCATCCATCGACCTGATAGTCGACGAGTCGAAACTCGACTACCGCCCCAATTTCGTCGCCGATGTGCCAACAGACGAAGCCCCCGAGGCCATTCCCGACTCCTCCTCGGAGAGTGATGACGATCAACCATCCACTCCCAATGAGGCCACGGACCTAGACCAGGCAGTTATTGGAGGCGCGGTCGTGGAAAATGTCTGCTTGGTCATGCCTGATGAATATGCGGCGTCGTTCGCTGGCCTACCTGTTATCCCGATCAAGGGGAGTGCCGGTGTTCAAGCCCAGATGCTAGCTTCAGTGCCAAAGGATGAGGCGGAGGGACGATCGAATCAGCTTCCGATTTTGCTTTTGCCGGATGAGAGGCCGACGACGACGGCTGTTGCTGCTTCTATAGAGAAACAGCCGCTAGCTGACACTGTTGCCCTGGCTGATATGATCAAGAGTACCCCGAAGATTGATCAAGATGCTGGCGGTGTTAGCGGTGACAAAAAGATTGTCAAGACTGAGCTTGAGGGCTATGTGTTGTCAGGGGATATCAAGAACCTTTTCGGTATCAAGGGTTTGAAAGCCAAGCTGTACAAGTTCAAAGGTAAGTGGAGAAACAGCAAGAGTTCAAGACGGCACTGACTAATGATAATTGTTAAGGCCCGGAAAAGAAAATCGACAAGGAAGACGAGAGCAAGAATGTCGATGAGCCCGGAGCTGAAGACCAGGATGGCGATGCCGACGACAACGGAGACAGCGAGGACGACTCCGAGCCAGCCCGCGAAAAAGTCATCCTCAACCCCGAGAGCTACGCCCTAAAAAGAAAGCCCCTAGGAACACTCTTCCCCTTCATCAACGACATCGACCTCCAGAAGATGCCAATCACGAACCTCGCGTTCACCTATTGTGAAGAGAAGGAAAGCGACTTATTCCCTCCCGGTTTGCGCCTTGAAGCCGACGTTAAGCTCGAGGATAGCATGCAGTGGGCGAGCGATGCGCTAAAGTCAATGTTCGCTGGCCAGGAGACCCCCGACTCTATTCATCTCAGTGCACATCTGGCGGATAAGAGAGATTGGACTAAGAGGCCTCGTGTTGAGAAGCTTGTTCTTCGGGGTGACTTTCACGATATGGCGCTGAAGACTTGGGATTTTCTCCAGTTCAAGACCATGGGTGTTGAGATTACCGGCACAAAAGCTGGTAGGAGCAAGAAGGGTGATAAGGAGGGAGGTAAGGATGATGGAAAGGATGAAGACAACCAAGGTAAGTTGGAAAGTAAGGATAACACCTCTGCCGAAGACCCTCCCAAAGATACTACCAAAGTGAAACCGGAAAAGCCCGAGTCTGGTGCTGTTGACAAACCAAAATCTGCAACGAAAGACACCGAGGTACGCTGTTCTCATCCCATTCCCAATCTCTCCACTGTAAAGGGGAAACCAGTTAACACCAGCTAGCCTGAGCCCACGGACGATGCTGAAGACGCGGCTGAGACTGAAGAGGCAGACGACGAGAACGATGACGATGAAGAGAAAAAACCCAAAGAAAAGCAGTCGTGGAACTTTGGTTTTGGCTTCATTGGGACGCTGATGTTTACCAAAGTTCCTCACGCCAATGCTCCTGTCGAGTTGAACTACCGCATTGCTCGGGACTTTGAGGTCGACGAAAGTCCAGATGACGCAGATGACAAAAAGGATGATAAGGACGAGAAGGACGAGAACGATCAGAAAGACGACAAAACAGATACAGAGAAGAATGCCAAAGTCGACAAAGACATGACCCAGCTTCCTACCAAAGACGTCGCCAAGGTTGATACCAAAACGCCCGCTGGAAAAACTTCGAAAAAGCTCCAGAAGCCCAAAAAGCAATGGTCGAATGGCGAGCACAAGAGAATGTGGAACTTCGTCATCTGGTGCGAGAAGTGGGACGATATCTACGGCATCGAGAATGTCTCGGTAAGTCGAGATTTCTTCATCGAAAAATCCGCTGCTAATTCTCTTGATACCTTCAGTTGGACAAAGCCGCGCTCAAGACATCGTTCGAGCAAGGTAAATTCAAGGAGACCTTGCGTTTGGACCTACTCGCAGACTTGAAGCTGGGAAGTGGAACCTTTACAGTTAAAGGGGAGATTTCGAAGAGTGAGTGGGACTTCTCTGAGCACATTCAAAGCATCGACTAACCCGTGAGCAGACGAAAACTCCTTGGATGCCAAGATTGGTGACCTCAAGTTGAGTGAGATCAAGAAGATTCACGCACAAATTGCCGGCTATGAAGTACCAGAAGACAAGGGTACAGACACCAAGGCCAAGGAGGAAGAAGAAGAGACCGATGCAAAAGAGGAAGCCAAGGGGAACGAACTCACTTTCAAGGAACTCCATCTCAACCTGTCCAGCAAGAAGCGCAAGGAGGAGAAGACGACAGAGAGATCTTTGCAATTGGACGGTCATGTTACGTTCAACGAGCATGCCAGCACCAGTGCCCTGCTTAAGATCAATCAGGATGGTCTGACAATTAACGGAGATATTCAGGAGTTCAATATTCCCGATACAAGCGTCAAGATCCAAAAGGCAGGTCTGAATATTTACGTCGCCTTCAAACAGGACAAGAAGAAGATCAAGGGCAAGAAGGGTGACAAGACAGCCAAATCCATCACCAACAAGCCTGCGCCTGCTGAGCAAGACAGCAAAGCCAAACCCGCTGATGAGGAGAAAGCAGTAACGAAGCCAGATGCAGAGAAAAAGAAAGAGGATGATAAACCCACAAAGCCCAAGCGAGAAAGCCAGTTCTCCGTTCTCGGAATCGTTCAGATCGAAGAGTTCGTTGTCACGGTTGGTCTCCACATCGAGCAAAAGAAGGACAAGAAGAATCGCGAGTGGCTTGCCATCGGCAGTGTCAAGAGCGTCAAATTGTCCAAGCTTTGGCCCGAGCTGCAGGGCGGGTTCTTGGACTTGGAGCTGGACAATATGGCACTGATTGGCTCATCAGAGGAGAGGGAGGTAAAGGAAGACAGTGAAGATGAGGCGAGTGAGGAAAAGAGCGAGGAAGAAAGCGAGGATGAGAAACCTGAAAGCTGGGATGTCCTCGCAGAGGTGGATTCGTATAAATACCCTATTGCCAAAGGTATGCCAGTTTCTTTAATCTCTAAATGATCCCGGCTTGTTAACAAACGAAGGCGTTCAACTATGTGCAACCATTCGGAAATTCGACGCACTTGAGAAGATCAACAACAACCAAAAGATCGATGGCCTCGTGTTGATCGTGGGCTTCTCTTTCGAAGGAAAACTCGAGATAAGAATCAACATGCCGAAGTCTATGGAGGTAAGACAGCCACCGAGTCAATCGAACACAGAGCTTCCTATGTTGATACTCCTTCTAGATTGCTCTCCGCGACTACGCAAAACTTGGCGAATTCGGTGCTGCCATCGCCACAGATAACGGTATTCCTTACCTGCAGCTCAACGCTACCTTGAAGATGTTGTTCGACGACCAGCCTCCAATCAGGGTCAGAGGTAACGTCAAGGGAGCCATCGATCGTGCCGAGGGACAGCTGTATGTTCCATTTGCTCTTCCGATGCATTTTATGGAACGCTGACCAAATGACCACAGCTTTATGGACTCGAAGGATAAATGGATCAATCCTTTCAACTTGAACAAGAACGTGGTCGTATCGAATATGGGAATTGGTACCGGATTCAAGTACGCGACTGTCGTTGTTCACGGACCAGAGTAAGTCACATCACTCATCCTCATCGAAAATGATCGGGCTTTTCTATTGACACATAACAGTCGCATGGAGGCAGCAGGAAAGATCAAGGTTGGCAAAGAGTTCGAGGCAGACATGGCCTTAAGTCTAGGTATCGGCAAGGACCAGGTCATTTCGTTCAACATCAGCGAAATCAACATTATGGAGCTTGTGAAGCTCGCTGGGGAAATGGCTGATATTAAGGCCCTGAAAAACATCGAAGGTGCTGATGACATTCTCGTCTTCCGTGACTTGAAGCTGTATCTCTCAACGGGTGCAAAGGTTTTTGATGTCTACTATGAACGCGGTATCCATATTAAAGGAAGTATGGAGTTTTTCAAAAAGAAAGGCGACTTTGAAGGGCGCCTCAACGACGACGGTTTCATGATCAAAGCAGGCGTTGATAACTTCAACATCGGAGGCCTTGAGCTTAGATCTGCCAAAGACGATGGAAAACGGGCGTCAATGGAGATCACAATGACAAAGGAGACGCAGAAGATTCTGATCGATGGGATGATCCGTTTTCATGCTTTGCACCTGAAGATGTACATTGACGCCGATGTGCAGGAAAGACGCCTGGATGCCGATGTTTCTATTCAGTTCTTGGAGCAACTTTCCTTCAAGATGAAGGCACATGCCGAGATCCCTGAAAACAAGACACTGGATGGCCTGCTGGTCAGATTTGAAGCAGAGCTCCGTCCTGACCTCTTCGGTGCGATCTTTGATGGTATTAACAACGGAATCGATGCGATCGGAAAACTTGCAACGCAAACCATCGACGACGCCATCAAGGACCTTCAGGGACAGATTAACACGCACGAAGGCGAACTGGCCATTATGAAGAAGGATTTGGACCAGATGAAACTAAAGTCGGATGGAGAGGTCCTGAAGCGACAAACGGAGGTAAATAAAAAAAACAACGAACTGACCAGCTTGAGAAACGAGCTTGACCGATATGACGAAGACGTCAAAGATGCCCAGGCCAGAATGAACCGGAACAACGATGACATCAAAGCGAAGGAAATGAAGAGAGATAGCGTGCAGCGTCAACTCGATAACAAAGTGCGAGAAATGAGAACTGAATATGAGAGCAAGGTGGCCGAGCAACAGCAAAAGCAGGCAGATTGGGAGCGTAAGAAGAAGAGCCTTCAAGACCAAAAGGAAGCCTCATGGGGAGATTCTCTGAGAAATAGCGAAAATGCAGAAAGGAGTTGGAGTTGGTGGGAAGGTAGGTGTCTTCTCACGATTCCCGAGTTCTACACGGTGCTAACGAACAATTGATTTGCAGACCAGGTGCATCAGGCATGGGTCTGGAAGGAACAGGCCTGGACAATTCATCTGAATGCTGGCTTTTTTAACAAGCTTCCAACGGTGAGTTTTCTCCAACAGTCTCATCGCCATGCTTGCAATTAGGCTGACCATGTTGTGCGGGAATTAGTGGTTTAAATTCCAAGAAGCCAATGCCGGCTTGGAGCAAATTAAAGTTCGCCGAGATGCTAACAACGAGATTCTCAAACTTGGAAGGGAAATCGCGAGCTCTCCGGTCTTTAGACAAATTGAAAGTGGCATCAACGATGCCGTCAGAGAAATCGACAGGTTCGGTAGAGCTCTCGACTCGCTGACGAGGAACGGTGTCTATGGCTATATTCAAGAAATGTCGAGAGACGAACGAACTGAACTGGATCGCCAAATCCAACTACTCAATGAGCTCCGGGACAAGAGCAGGAGGTTAGAAGCTAACCTCAAAAGCGCAATCGATGCACTTAACAGGAACAAGGGCAGAATTACAAGCCAGGAGAAGGCAGTTCAATCGCGCATTTTGAAGCTGGAGCAAGAAATCGAGCTCAAGCCTTTCGAAGAGGCGTATCGGAACAAGAAGAATGACCATGACAGAGTCGTCGCGCAGGTTCAAGTCATCCAGCAAACCCTCAAAGATATCAGAAATGGCATCGATGCACATACCAAGGCAGCGAAGCAAGTTGTCGAAGCGCTCAAACAGGCAACGCCCCGGGTCACACTCATTGTTGTCAAGGCCAGCACCGAGGTATTCGCCAAGAATGAGCCACTTGTCTTTTCGGTTGATGTAGCGTGGATGGGAGTGAAGAAAAGGTATGAGGTGACATGGTCGCCGGGTTCAAAACCAGCAGATTTGTACAAGGACATTGCAGACAAGGCGGTCGGCTTCCATTGATTCAGGATCTTAATCAGCAGACCAGCAGTTCTCTTCAGAATGATATTCTTTCATCTTCTCTCATCTCGTATGGTAGACTATACATCTTACTCTTTTTTGAAATGCACGTGTCATCAACTCCGAGCGCGTCCCCAGAATTTGCGTTCCAAGAATAGATATTGATGCTTGTCGCAACGGTCTGCCTTCTTCTTTATTATTGAAGGTGAGCCGGAAGCACTGGCATCACCGCATCACCAGTCCGATGGTCAATTGTAGCCATATTCCTTTTGCTGTCTGTGTATGCCTTAAAACGTGGGGCATTGGCAATTCTGTTCTCTCAGGCTGTTGGGCGGCTTAGTTCCAATCGCTGGTAATCACAAGTTTTGTGGCTGTGTTTAGCATGTAGTCTCCATGCGGAATTTGTACGGTTGTCTTCGGGAGGTGGTGGACTATTTCAGGAGTATTATGGAAAGCCAAAATAATACAATTGGACATAAATATTCCAACTTAATATACCTGGGTTCAAAGGCGTACTCTATACAAACAAGTAGTGGCCGCAAAATTGACATCCAAAGGAGCAGAGCTGCCTGTACATCATACGGCATTCCAATTGCCAGCAAAAACACCCCAGACCAACAAAAGCGAGACATGCATAGAATTTCGAATCAGCCCCAAGACGACCCCCACATCAAATGCTCAGCTACTGACATGATAGCAATAGCCGGATAGTATCGATAAAGCAAGGCAATGCTGTTTCCTTTGCCTCCAAGGCCAAAATGGCCCCTATGCTATTCAAGTACCATGTCATCGACTAGAAAATGAACAATGGCTCCCGCCCCTCGGCATAGTTAAGCCGATCGAAGATGCTTCTGAAGGTGACGAGGTAATCTGGAATAGAATGCTGGACATGTATTACGGGATGGGTAACTGGAAAAGATGGCTTCCTTTCTACGGCCCAGTATCTGTGCAAGAGGTCAAGGTATGATATGGTATTATCATCCAAGGGGGTCCATCATTGACGTGTGTTTTATTGCAGTTTCAATTCGTCAGGGCAAAGGGCCGAGATGGCTTGTATGAGATACGCGTCACCCCGGTTGACATTGAGCAGGTCGAGAAAGTAGCAGACCGCAAAATTGAATTGAATAAGGAATGCTTAGCCAATGCTTTAATTACTGGAGAATACTGTTCTGATCTCTATCATCACCCGGATTGCCCGGCATCTATCCCCGAGGACCTCTTCGGTCCTCAGACATGCATCTTGGACCAGGCAGGCGAAGCGGATGTGCGAAAATCCAAACTCAATCAACTACATCTTCTAAAGGAATGTGCTCGAAACCCGCCAATGGCTAACGGGGTAAAAGCATTGGATGGAATGGCGCAAGATAGTTGTATCTACAACACGAAGTACGTCAACACTGCTGTCTTGGTTATATCAGTCTAACGGTTGTCTGATAGGGAGGTCATCGTACCACAATGCGGCAAGCCATACAGACGGAATGAAACAATAAGAGGAATTGAGATGATAATGGGATGGCAAATGGACCGTATAAATATATACGGTCCAAGGGCCCTTGCCTGGTCAGCTCTGGGTATGGCTATAATCTGGGTTTGTATATTGGTTTGGGGCGGACAGTCAAAGAATTGGGGCAACGCAATGGCGTTTGGGCAACTTCTAGCTGCATTTTTGGCTATTATTATCTCCTCTGTTAGAGAGTAATTAGCGGTACTTATAGGAGACGCATTTAACTCCCCTGTTACACTCATTTTAGCTTACAATGTCATTCAATGCTGTGTTAGAACCATCCTCGTATTCCTAATAATTTCTCCAACGGGGTACTCCTCCATAAGGTACAAAGCAAGATATTATAGCCCACACATTCAAGTCTACTGTTCCCCATTTCTGTAACAGATGCCATCTTCACTAGACAGTCAGCTTACAAGACAACTGACTCCAAGTAAAGATAAGCATACCGATAACAGTGATTTCTGCCCTGTGACAAAAGCTCACAGACCCGGCCCCGAGTGCCCTCACTAAAGCGGTGGTCTCCGGAAGTTGTGGTGGTTCGAGAGATTCAGAGCCGTATAGCCACATATGAAAGTGATTTCCTCAACGCTTTGGAAGCTTTCCTTTTCCGCTTTAGCGCTCACCCCTCGCTTCTTTTGGATCACTGAGCAGATTATTACTGAGCAGGTGGTCAGCCGACGGGTGAGCAGCTTGAGTAAGGCAGTCTCAATAAAACGAACCATGCTAACATCATGCGGAGGTTCAACTGCCAATAATTGAACATTCCGGACCAACGCAAGCGAGACATGCATAGAACCTCGAAATCAGGCCAATGCTACTACTTCAAGACATCGAATTCAACAAAGCCTATTATGGTGAAACTGTTTCTTCCATTTTGGCACAGTATGTCTGTATTGTTCATTGGCCTTTCACTATCCATATTCGACATTGATTGAACTACATCCAAACATCTGTCCCGGGACTCTTCCCGGGTAGGCCTCAGCTGCCACTTTGGGTTACTGTAGCCCGCAGGCCATTACTCCTTCTCTTTTTGGCAGCTTTTCTCCCCTCGCTTCTCTCAGTCAATCAAGCTATCATCTGATCATTCAGACCATCCGTGGTTGTCATGCCTTCCTCCTCATCCCCAGGGCTCTAGCTCTTGATTGTTTTGGATCAAAGGACTGTACCTCCTTTGATAGGTATCATTGGTCCTGTTTCGAGGTCGCTAAACTTTTCACTTACTTTATCCTGTTGGATGATGGCAAGCATCACAGTCGCGAATTGCTCTGGAGTCCCCAGTCATGGTCCTCACTACCAATGATCTTCATCTTTTCTGGGTCCTCATTCCAAAGGGGGGTTTTGATTATGCCAGGTGCTATGGCCGTCACATGAACCCCTAATTCCTGGTCCAAGTCAGCAAGAGATCGTACAAATCCGTCCAGTGCGTGTTTTGTTGTCCCGTGCACAGGGACGGCCAAGGTGATATATTGGCCAGCGATGCTTGAAATGTGAAGGATGTGCTTTGGCGATTTAGCTTTGAGAAATCGTGATATAGCAAGTTGCGTTGAACGACACGAAGGACCGACTAAGGAAGGAAGCAACAGGCCCAAGACACATCCGTTTCACCCGTTCACGTTTATTCAAGAATAATCCCTGCATTTTATGGCCCGTAGAGAGTTTCGCTCATTCATCTTCTTATTCGTTGTTATTCTTCTCTGCCAGTGGAGCTTTCTGTAGGCTTTTCCTGGATCTGCAAGCTCCACTGCCAACTTCGATCTTTGGGTCTGAGGTTATGTTCATGTCGAGCTTGAAAAAGCCCAAATCAAAGTAAAGGAAGACAGGAGAGGCCAGCTATTGTTTAGTCAAGCCATGGCTGAGCCCGAGCTTATTATACGAAGACAAGGGTTTTCGTGACCAGGTATAAATGAGCCTATTCGCTTGTCTCGGGCTCAAATTTATCCATCTTAATGCACGTGGAGCCCCGCGCCTTCCCATGGTTGAAAACCAGAGCAGCCGTCATAGACATATCATATCTCCTATTGGTATATAGTACTTATTCCCGGACCCTTTTCGAATGTTAACGCATTATTCTACATTTACTTCGTCAAACAGTTTCTCGGATTTAATCAGCTTATCGACTTAGTTATCATGGCCTCAGAATTGTCCCAGCAATACCTCCAAATTCAAATTCAAGATGACTTGAAGTATGATATCCGTATCGAAAACGCGGACCTTGACAGGTATTTCCATTTTTCTTTAGTTTTGAAGGCAGTGTTTTCTGAGGTATGCACAGTGGCCAGTTTTACAGAGAGGATGATCGAAGCGATATTCTAACATCTGATGATGTCGACGACATGGCCATTCGCCATAACGGTGGTATACGAACTGTCTGCTCTATGTACGGGTCTCAAGGAAGCATCGATCTTGTTGACGATGTAAGGGATGCGAGGATTTGCAGTCTAGCCTGGAGAGCCTCTATGCAGCCCGGAGAACAGAATGAATTCAACAAACTCCACCACGATACGAGGTACATGGTTGAAATTGGCAGGTGGAATGAATCTGGAACTATGGGAACGATCCCTGTTACTATTAAGGAGCAATATTGACCACAACTGGAGTTGGTCTTTTGCCAATAGCCACTGTGCTCACTCCACGTCCACTTGTTCTTTAGGCCACAGTTGAAGCATGTAATCAAAACTGAAGATCCCCGCCAAGATGTCCTGCACGAACCCTGCTTTTTTTGGCCTCTTCGTAAATCCCCCCCGCCCAGAGCGCGGTGGGAAGGGGCTTGGTAAGGATCAGGTCTTTGGTGGTGTTATAGAGCCACTCTTCATCTTCAGCGATACCACAATAAAGCTCATTGTAGATAGCCTGTATATCTAGCGCATAGTCGAACTGCGACCCAGGAAAGGTAGCCGAAAAAACGCCGACGCCTACTAGCCACTGTGATATCGCAGCATATCCATGCAAGGTAAGCCACACGTAATGTCAAATAAAAGCGAAGGGGGAGTTTTGTTACGGGGCTGGTCATGCAAAAGATGTTGTCCAAACTGCTTCAAAGAGAAGAAAAAAAAAAAAAAAAAAAAAAAAAGCATACAACAGCCGCGATTCGTTGGTGGTGATATTTGTTCTCGCTGTCCTTTCATTATCTCTTTCTTCTATACTATGATATGCTAGCAGGAGCACCATCCACTGTCCTCGCGAGAATATCCAAAGCAACATCCATCTTTGGGCCTGAGTAAGCCACACGAAAAACCCTCGGCCACCCACGTGTATTATTGGTTGCGAACTCAAACTTTGTGCCCTGCGATTCATCGACAAAAGGATTCTCAGTAACCACAGGGAAGTGGATGAAATAATCCCTCCGGACCACACCAAGCGTAAAACTATTAAATGAGACTGACTCTAATGCCGGAAAGCTGATGCTGAGAGTCCTCAACATTTGTTTTATGTCCTCAACATTTGCATACATTCGCATAATATCTATTTTGAAAACCCGGAGGCTATGTCGGCATCTCTGGAGTAGAACCATTAGGTCCTCAATTGACGCTGGGATACATTTTAAATGAAGTTCCTGTAATTGTGACCATGGGGGACCTGCTGATGCAAGACGATGGATAAGTTCTGTGCCGCCACTCAGACCTAGGCCCTTGAGATGCAGCATGCGAAGATTGGGGGTGTGAAGGAGCATATTGAATGTCCAATCACGAACAATGCCATCATCAAGTTCATATATCAGCTTCAACTCTTCAAGGTGCTGCCCGATTGCAATGAATTGGTCCTTGTCTGAAACTCGCAGTCGCTGAGGGTCTGGAGCATAGTTAGATTCATCCATGAAATTGACTATAAGTGCAGTGACAGGATGATGGGTCCTTGCAACAATGTCCAGGAGTGCTGTGATTGAGTCTGTTGGTCTGAAATTGTCATTATCTGACTGATCTCTAACCTTGGTGATAACAGCATGTATCTCGAATGACTTGCAGTTGACCAGTTGGCAGAGGATTTCACCCAGTCGTTTCACAGCAGGATGTTCCTGGAGATTGACGAGATGGCCAGACTGATGGCGATGTGAACCCCATTTGTATCCTTCTCCAAGATTTTCGAGGCACTCATCGAAACCTGTAAAAACCATATGTTTCACATAATGCCATAGTTGAGCGTCCCTTGAGATCGTCTCTAGCTCTCCCAGATTGGCACGGGATAGATCAGTCTTGATACTTTGCAAAGAGGCACTCCAAAACACAGAGGATGCTTTTCCATAGAGGACTTTGCATGTCATTCGCAAAGCCCCCAAATCAGCTGGCTGCAACGAGGAGGCCACTAGTTTGACTAGTTCTAGTGGCAGGTCACATAACAGAGTATGGGGACTGGGCGATTCTTTTCGGCGATAAAGACTCAGGGATTTGAACTTGCAGACAAAACGTTTGCTGGTACTATTTAAGCCCATATTTCCTTCTTGTTTGTCTTTCGAGGTCGTTGATGGAGTGATCGTTGATGGAGTGACAACGTTGAGAGAGTGAAGAGCCCGGGTTAAGTACTTTCTTCGGACTGCCGATCCAAGGCTGAGCGGGGCGGATTCGATATTAGCACCTGGTCCGGCCTCAATCTAACTAGTTAGTTAGTGTGACACGGCTTAGTTATATAAAATTCACTCTATTAAAAGAGTTATCTAGTTATAGTTTGGTAGATTAACTTAACTTAATCACGCGAATATGATAAAGCAATAATTACAACATCACCCGCGGGCGAGGTTATCTACATGTATTCATCTTCAAACGCTATCAAACTAAATATATCAGCCTTTTTATGTATACGGACAGCATCAATATCAAAGTAAGCAAAAAGCAATGTGCCACCTAACCGAACTAGTTGCTCATTCGTTCAATGGGAGCCGTTTCCGGCGCCCCGCTAACCGTGTCATTGTATACAGAAGCCGGGGTAGTGATTGGGAGCCAAAAACGCCTTTGAACTACATGCAATTACAAAAACAATCCTCATCCATTAAAGTATTACTCCGTACGAGATGAAGAATCCCGCCAATTCCGCTTAATACTGCGATAAATCAGATTCTTAAAGCGTGCCAATGGGTATGCAATCAGCTGCTATTCTTGAGAAAGAAGTAAGCGATTTACGTGCTTTGAACGTGAAGCAGAAGCAAAAGCGTACACAGTCTAAAAGGCAGATACCCCATGAAGGTGGCCTTCCAGTTCAGGAAGCTGTTGAGCTAATTGAGGCCCCGATCGAGGCCCCGATAGCTCCAGCACCCCCCCAGCCAAGACGGCCTTCACCACCTTTACAGCCACATATGAGGGCTTTACCAAAGTGCGGTACCTGTGGAAATGAAGGACATAAGAGAAATGCATGTCCAGGTAGACCTAGATAGCTTGTTTTGTTAATTAATTAACGTTTTGGTTGGAATAAATGCATTTAAATACTATATATGGGGGGTTGGTGGCCCACTCGTTTTGTGTGGCCCACTCGCTTGTGAATTACGTTAGTTATCCATCGACCGACGGCTGCCTGAGTTATCGGGCTGCTTAGGGGCTCGCCGGGGCTATAACCTTTTGGAGGGTAAAGATGGTTGATTGTCTAAGGGGCTAATCGGTCTGACTGGCTACTAATAAACGGCTGAGCGAGGGCGGCCTTTTAAGTTATTCGCAAAGCTTGGCGATTAATGCGCAGTAAACTGTTACCGTTGAAAATCAGCCGTGACACCTGAACCTTTTACCATACATATTATAGAACGTAGTGGCCATGACAACAGAGTCATTGAACGAAAATATCCCGTAACAACGTGGAATGAGGCAAAATGAGAAAACAAAACAATAGGAAAAAGAAGAAGGGGATAGACCATCAACTAAGCAGCTTAATGACGTCCGTAGATTGTAACAACGGCGCAAATCGGTCGATCGCATCATTTCCTGTAGCACTGGGTCCGAAAACCCATTCGGTACTGACATAGATGTCGGAATGAGCGCCTGCATCCAGGCCCGAAACCTCAGCTGGAAAGCAAACATGATGTGCGTCCTGGGCATTCTCAACATCTTGGGCATTCTGGTCATTCTGGTCATTCTGGACGTCCTGGGCGGTTCCGTGATTGTCTATGTCGGTGGCGAGCTTCTTCTGATTATTGGGGTCAAACTCGTCATCGTCCCTCTTTCTCTTGCGGTCTGTGGGCGGAAGGTGGTACAATTGGACAAGCTTCTTATCGACGAGATTCTCGTCATCGAAATACAAACGGCGCAGCGTAGTTAATTCGTCGATCGTGGTGCGGTCGAGTGCATAACAGCGGGCGCTTCCTAATATGGCGATCCCTCGTCGAATCGCAGCCAATGGGTGTCCGTGCCACGACTTGGGGGTAGTAAGAAATTGGAGAAACTCGACGGGGGTGTGCCCTTTATGGAGGAAATTCTTCAGGTAGTAACCACGATATAGTCCACCAGTCGCGTCGTGTGGCACTAGGCCTTTCGAGGCGGAGTAATCACGGTACTTCATGATGGTTGGGACGATTCGGCCAGATGGTGGATCATCCTGGGCACGGCGCAACTGATCTTCAATTTCATATCTTATGAAGAAGTTTAAATCCGTCGGAAGGAACACCCAGCAGGGGTCAAGGGAACGGTCGAAAGCACTATGGCAGGAAGAACAAAGCGGAATACAGTTGATCGCTGCTCTGAACGAAAACGGGAACAGACCGGCTTGTATCCAATGATGGGCCTGGAGGCTGGTTAGCTAATGTAGGAAATGTATGAGGATATAGTATACACACTTGACCATCTTTCTGTGCAACAACATGGGCGAATTCAGGGTCATTGTTCAAGCAACTCCAACAATCCGCACCAGACAAGCGGGTAACCTCGAGTTTGACGGGGTCACTGAACGCGTTCGAAATGTCTGTTCGAGGTTGCGAATCTTCAGAGCGACGAGGGGAGCGGGAGGGAACAGGCGGAGGAGGCATCAGAGCCCGGCCGTTCGATTTATCTGCCATCATTATTAGCTGGTGGTGTTGGATGGAGTTTGGGAGCTATCTCACCTCCGTAATCGACAGCTAGTAGCGCGATCAAATTCACATAGGGAAGCAGCCATCGAGGTCAAATGCGACTGCCTTGCAATCTGAACAGTCGCAAGTACTCTGTATTGCTCTAAGTCGGCCGGAATAAAAGTTCGCCGCCATGTTAGTACCCTGTTAGTACCCATCGGGTCACGTGCTTGACCGCCCTCGCTTTCTGCCCGGTAGACATAGCTAGCCTGAGCCGATAGGCACTCAATAAAATCAACTACGTTTGCCCACTAAAATACCCATCGGGTCACGTGCTTGACCGCCCTTGTTAGTACCCATCGGGTCACGTG